TTTCTTTCTCTTAGACGTCTATCAATACTGATAGACAGTTGAATCAATGCATTTAAGGTAGGAGGAAGTTCTGTACGAGAGAGTTCATCTTTCACAGCTTCAGATAATCCGAGACGGAATTGATTGCGTAAAGTAATGTCATTCCATTGGGTTTCTGTAGCCCATCTTTTGAATTCTGCAATATAATCTTCAACAGGTCTATTCTTTTGGTGTAATGTTCTGATGGTTAAATCAGCAGTAGTTTGTTTAAAAGGATCTTCATATAATAAAGACATAGCTTCAAAGAACTCATCCAATGAATCCAATATGGGATCATCATTTTCCAAAAAGGAATGGGCCCAGGCCATAGGTTCACCTCTTAAAAAAGAGATCACTGAACAGACTTTGGATCTTTCGGTGGGATAAGATCTAGGTTTTAAAGCTATTAGTAGTTTGCAAGAATTCAAAAACTCTCTGTACTTTGTTCTATCTCCATGAAATTTTTCTGGATTACAGACAGCAGGATCACCAGCCGATTGAAGAGCGGCATGAGGAAGATGACCTTGAATGTCTCTAACATAGGTTAATATTCTCTCATTTGTAATTTGCAGTTCCTGTAACCCTTGAGCAATCGTATCCACTCTATTGGTTAGGGCAGAAACTTGAGAGTTAATATCTGCTGGTTCCATTGAATTAGGCTGGATTATTCTGTAATACTTATTTTGTAATATTTCTTTAATTGGAACTCAACTGCAGCATTTCTTGGTTGCAACAACAATAAGGTTCACCTCCTTTTATATTGGTATGAAACTATGGTCACTGTACCTTTAAATATCCATGAAGGTAAAATTAGGCTTTGTAGCAATCCCTTATGAGTAAGAGGATTAATTAGACAAAGTGACACTTTAGTGAGTTTTAGATACTGTATAATATAAATAATAGTAATTGACTTGTTTGGTAAAAGTATTACTTAACTTAAAGGCAGTTCTGGCACTGGAAGGGTTAATTCACCCAATGAAGGAGAAATTAGAAGTCCGTTTCAACAAGCTGAGAACTAGGAGTGGAGAGTGGGGAAGTCCGTTTTAACAAGCCGAGGTCTGGGAGTGGAGAAGGTAGAATTCAGAGTTACAAGCCGAGGTCTAGGAGTGGAGAAGGTAGAAATCCGTTTACAAGCCGAGGTCGAGAAGTGGAGAAGGTAGAAATCCGTTTACTAGCCGAGGTATAGAAGTGGAGCAGGTAGGATCAGAAGTAGAGCAGCTGATCTTCATGCAGCACCTGTGCGAATAATCCAGCCCTTTGAATCTGGCGCGGTCCTCCTAAGTATCGTGGAGGGACCGCGTCAGAGAAAGGGGCGGGGCTGAGCGCCGTGAACCCGGAAGTGGGTTCCGGCGATGAATTACATGCCATGCTATACCTGACAGTAGGAAGATAATCAATTAATCTCTATAGGAGAGCCACTCACATTTGGAGGAGCTATACAAGAGCTCTACTTTGTAGCGCCTGGACAGTATAATCCCCGTCTAAGGATATAGGCTGGTATAAATGGTGCTGGTCTTCCAAATGCGAATACGGATTTAGGTGATATATTCAAAAAATAAAGAGCAGAGAGAAACTCTGATAGTGTAGTATGTACTGTAAGTTTAGATGTAAGAAGGTAATTTACTTACAATCTGTAGAGCAAATCCCTGCTCTAGTTGTATCAGCATGGGTGGTATTATCCCCACCTAGGGATGTAGTAGAACCAGGTAGCAATCAGGATGTAGAACTGGATACAAAAAGAAGGTGTACCATAAAAAGTAGCTATTTATTGTATAAAATATAAAAAGTATACTGGTAAAATAATAGGATACAAAAAGTCCTCAGATGAGTCCCACTTGACGCGTTTTGCCTCTCCAGAGGTTTTATCAAAAGTGTGGAACAGTCCTGCAAGTGTCCAATATATATGAGATACTTGCAGGACTGTTCCTGCTACTTTTTATGGTACACCTTCTTTTTTCAATCAGCCGCTTCATATTATAGCTGTATGTACATATAATTTTGGGCGCAGTATACTCTCTATTCCTTTTGCTCAAGAATAATATTGAAATAATAAATTAGTACAATAAAAGTCCAGAAGGGGCGGGGCAGGATAGCCGACCAAGATGGTTGCATTAACCTGAAGCTCCTCAAGGAAAACTTCCTACAAAGCCTAATCTTCGACATTTGCACTATTTTTTTAAACAAACCTGCATGTTGCTATCAGGGAGCACCGGGTCAAGTGACTGACCCGCTTGAGTCTGACTTTGGTGGGCATAGCTTTCACGGCCTGCAGAAGCACTTGAGGCTGGAGAGGCGGAGGATCCTCTGCCGGGTCTAGAAAGCACCCACTGCTGAACCCTGTTCCCCCTCCCCCTTTGGACTGGTGGGGGTTATCCCGGTCACCACTGGTACACTCTTGCAGCCCACTATCAGTGGCTTAGTAAATCGAGCAACTCCAGGGGTCGTGGCGTATGGCTCAAGATGGCCGCCATACTGCAACCTGCAGCTATACTGACCTTCCCACAGTGGTCTCACTACGACAACCTGCTTCTTCAGGCCTTTGACAGGCTGTGTGCCAAGTTCTGGGCACAACTGAGTTCACGCATACTTACCACTCCTAAAAACCAAAGTGAAGTCCTCTGGGCCCGGTCTGCAGATCGTTGCCACGTGGCTGGATCTCACCCATGTGGCCAGTGCAAGACTTTGCGGAAATGGAGGCTTAAGCGTCTGCCACGACCAATGCATAACTGTTGCACCCGGGAAAGGAAGGAGGAGGAGGCCAAAGTTGCTACATGCTTATGACATACCACTTGTTACGCCTCTTCACCGTGTCGCCAGTGGTGTATCCTGGTTTTGTGCTGCCCTAGGCACCACAAAAAACTCAGGCACCCTCCCGCCCCACCTTCTAAATACACATACACACTCACTGACAGGCACACATACACTAGCTAACAGACATACATACTCACTGACAGACACACATGCACACATACTTACTAATAGACACATACACACTCACTAACAGACACATACTCACTAACAGACAGGCATACACACTAACCGACACACACAAACACTAACAGACACACACATAGTAACACACTTACTAACAGACACACACACTCTCTAACAGAGACATACACACCAACACACTCTCTAACAGACACACACATAGTAAGACACTCCCTAACAGACACACACACACACTCACTAACAGACACACACACACTAACAGACACACACACACACTCACTAACAGACACACACACTAACAGACACACACACACACACAAATACACTCACATTTTTTTTTAAATTCAATCCCCCCAGCCTCCCTACCTTTGGGAATGCTGGGGTGGATTCTCATTTTCCCTGGGGTCCAGTGGGGCTGCTGGGCGGCTGGCCGGTCAGTGAGTGCAGTCAGCGAGGGAGCATGATCCTCCTGTTCAGCTCCCTCGCACGCTGCGTAGTGATGCCGGCGCCAGAATGATGTCTCCGACATCACAGCGGTGTGTGCGAGGGAGCTGAACAGGAGGATTACTGCTCCCTCGCCGCCCGGCGACAAGAGGAGGGAGCCCGGTGACAAGAGGGCTTTTTTTGCCGCCCCCCAGAAAGTGCCACCCAAGGCAAATGCCTTGTTTGCCTCACGGGAAATACACCGCTGCGTGTCGCTATAATGCACCTTGGGAGGGAACACACTCAGCAAGTGCCATCCATGTTGTCTGAGGGTCTCAGCTCAGCAGACCTGAATGTGTGCATCACCAGGAAGCTGGAGTCCTGTACCTGTGGTTGACCGATGCTGGCCTCGTGAGACACTTCCACAACTTAGAGGAGTTTCACAGCCCTATGTTGACAGCCTCCTACTCGCAGGCATCGGCAAAACGGCTCCTAACCCAGCTCTCATCATTTACTCACGCATAGACCGCACTTCCTATTGTTAGCTCGCATTGCTTGACCTATACCCAGTGGTTAAACTAACATCCCTAGTTATGCTTCCCTACTAGATTAACCTACGTGTTATGTCTCTATCTCTCTGCATAACTTTATATGCTTAAGCATGTTCATTTAACCCCAAAATTGTGCTGATTTATCAAATTCCATGATATTGTTTATTTGAAATTGTCCTAATAAGCTTGTACCTGTTGATTTGGCATTACAAGCCTGTTTGTTATTCTAAGCACAGAAAAAATAAAGAATTATACAGCAGGCGGACACATTGACTGGGAAACTCCCGGTGGTATACCACGGATGAGACCGGGGATCCCCAGCCACACTACATAACTAGCAGCCTCCACAGACTTGGCCCCAAATAGGCTCGTACCCACCGCAACACTATACCCATGTTCTCCCTTTGTCATGAATAAATGTAAACCGGCAAGATGCCCACATAGGCATCTATGTTTTACTAATGATGTCAACACTGTTACCATTATTGACACATGACTGTTTGTATGAGTCGAATATTGTTATGCATAACACTGTCTGCCACTCAAGCAAAAGTAGAGAATGAAAAACTAAAGAAAATATACAATTGATTAAATTCTAAGAATTCTACAAAAGCTATTTGTTCTTCATACAGCAGTCTTTATTTATGTGTGAAATAAATAATATTGTCAATTAGTAATATAAGCCTCAAAAATAATATTGAAATAATAATAATAAATTAGTATAATTAAAGTCCAGAAAATATATATTTTTTTCAATTCTAAGAATTCCACAAAAGCTGTTTGTTCTATATACAGCAGTATTTAATTATGTGTGAAATAAAGAAAATATTAAGCCAAATACCCTATTACAATATGTTCAGTGGCTGCTCACTCTCCGTATTTGACCTGGATTTTGTGCTATCACTTTTAAATACACTTTCTTCTCATGTATTTAAATCAGAGACAGGTGTAGCGTTAATACGTTTATGAGAAGCCTATTAACACTTTGCAACCTTAGCGTGGATTACAATGGCTAATTGAGTCCTAAACCCATTGTTGCTGACACTAGGGTTGGCAGCTTACTCAAGGTGGCACATTATAAAGACGAGGAGGTGATCACTCTTGCTATAGAGCAGGTCTGGCAGGAACGCAAGCACCTTAAGGGTCTCTCAGAGGAAGGAGAAACATAGACTGGTTTCTTTTTAGAAGGGGAAAGGACTTTTAAGATTTGCCACCATGAATGGAACAGAAGGTCCAAATTTCTATATTCCCATGTCCAACAAAACTGGAGTGGTACGAAGCCCCTTTGAATACCCTCAGTATTACTTGGCAGAACCATGGAAATATTCCATATTGGCTGCTTACATGTTCCTGTTAATCCTTCTTGGCTTCCCTGTCAACTTCCTAACTTTATATGTTACTGTCCAACACAAGAAACTTAGGACACCCCTAAATTATATCCTGCTCAACTTGGTTTTTGCCAATCATTTCATGGTCCTCTGTGGTTTCACTGTAACCATGTACTCCTCAATTAATGGTTACTTCGTTTTTGGCCAGACCGGATGCTACGTTGAAGGCTTCTTTGCTACTCTTGGTGGTGAGTATACATAAACAGAAAAGGTTGCGTTTATGATTTACTAATTGTTCCCTTGAGTGTCAGGGGGTTATCAAACCAGTGCTTCTTTCACTTATCTTGCTCTCTCTATATTTAGGACTTTATTTTTTATTTTGCATAAATAGATTAATATACTGTTACCTTGCAAAAAAGTCACTATTCCCTTCTTTAAAGAAATACCAAAACAATTTGCCTTATAGCTTTTTAGTATATATGAAGCATTTATGGCTTTTTTAAGGGGAAAAATAAAAATATATAAGTAGTAAAAAAAATTACAGGATGAATTTAAGGGTAAAAAGACAAAGAATAAGTTCTCTAAATGTATGCCTTTGTGATTGTAGATTAGCTTTCAAAAAGAATACTTTGTAGTTCATGGTTGGTATTTTAAGTCGCCAACTTTTCAGCTTCTTCTCAGTCTGTTAGTTTGTCCTTAAACCCCCAGTTGACGTGTCATCACGTTTTTAGGATTACCTAATCTCTCTTTGTTTCTCCCTGACAGGTGAAATTGCCCTCTGGTCATTGGTGGTCTTGGCCATTGAAAGATACATGGTGGTCTGTAAACCCGTGAGTAATTTCCGATTTGGAGAGAATCATGCTATCATGGGAGTAGCCTTCACATGGATCATGGCTCTTGCATGTGCTGCTCCCCCTCTCTTTGGATGGTCCAGGTAGGTTTGGAACAGAAAAATATAATGATTACATTAGAATTATAAACATTTTTGAGGCAAAATATTACGTTCAATCATGCATCATTGACATATCTCACCACGTAATCATAATGAATTAAAGGTCTACTTGGAAGATCTCACTCAAAATAGTGTCTTGATCTGAAGACCATTACTACAGCAAGAGTTAAAGATATTTAGCAAAAAGTTAACAAGAATGACCTCATGTCCTATGTATAGCATATATGGTATGTACTTACCATTGATATATAAAGAGGCAGAATTATATTCTCATCTTGAGAATTAGGGCCCTTTTATATGCATGGCAATACCTTATTGGCCTTAGCTACTGCTGATCGACATTGCACATTGTGGTCTAGTTTGTTGTCTATAACAATTCCTAAATCCTTCTCATGTGTAGTTATCCTTAATTCACTACCGGGTAAATTGCTTGTGCAATTTTTACCCCAAAGTGCAGAATTTTGCATTTATCTACATTAAATTTCACCTGACATTTGAGTGCACAGTCCACCAATCTATCTACATCCCTCTGCAGTGAAGTAATACCCTGCTCCAGTGGTGTATCCTGGTTTTGTGCTGCCTTAGGCAACCCCCCCAGCCTCCTTACCTTTGGAAATGCTGGGGGGTTCTCCCTTTCCCTGGGGTCCAGTGGCTGCTGGGCTGCTGGCATCATATTACGGTTCCCGGCATCACTCTGCGGCGCGCGACGAAGTTGAGCAGAGAGCTGAGGGGAAAGTGCTCCCTCGCCTGCACCGCCTGCCCGACCAAATTTTTAGTTAGCCACAAGGCTAACAAGACATTTGCCCTGGGCATTTGGGGGCTTCTTTTTTTGCCGCCCCCTGGAAAATGCCGTCCAAGGCAAATGCCTTGTTTGCCTTTCGGCTAATACGTCCCTGCCCTGCTCTCATTGTATTACTTTACCGAGTTCTGTGTCATCTGCAAACACTGAAACATGACTTTCAATCCCTATTTAAGATCATTTATACATATGTTATAATTATAATAATATGAATATATAAATAATGTAAGTGGCCCCAGAACAGAACCCTGAGGGACACAACTTACCACTTTCACCCAGCTTAAATAGTTACCATTAATGACAACTCTCTCTTTAAACCAAGCTTCTACCCAAGAACAATATGTTTTATCTAGACCAATTTATTTTAGTTTGAATACTATCTAAATACTATCTATCTAATTTTGTGTAGAACTGTATTAAATGACTTGGCAAAATCCAATTAGATTACATCCACTGCAACACTCTGATCTATACTTATACTTAGTTTGTTGTAGAATGCAAGATCTATGTTTCATAAAACCATGCTTATTTTTGCTAATAACAATGTTATTCTCAATAATTCCCTGAAAATTACCCATTAATAACCCTTCAAATACTTTCCCAGCCACGGAAGTTAAGCTTATAGGTTAATAATTTCCAGGCAAAGATTTGAACCATTTTTGAATATACGAACCACGTCTGCCTTTCTCCAGTCCTCCAGTAAAACTCCTGAAAAAAAAGAATCCTGAAAGATTAAAGACAGAGGTTCGCTTATTTCCACACTTAGCTCCTTAAATACTCGTGGGTGAATACTATCAGGCAACCAGTTGTTTATATTACCTTTCTTTTTTTCCCCTTAGAATTAATGTACTTACATTTTTTGTTGGGTTCAATTTGCTCTCTTTGGCTATCACTGTCTCATTTTCAGGTTTAGCCCATTTAATGACCTTTTTGCGTGCATAATTAGCTTAGTTATATCTTATGATAATGCCACTGAATTGTCTGTTTTAAATGCTTTAAATACTCTTTTATTTTATTTTATTTTTTTCCTGGGTTACCTTCCCACTGAGCCAAAATTGTTTCAATTAGTATCTTTTTTTTTTTTCACTAAAGAGTTTATGCCAGTCATCAAGTTGTAAACCTGCCATTATCTGAAATTTTAAAATACCCCATGTGTATTTGTTTTTTTTTGTTTATTTCAAAAGACCCTATATTGTGATCACTATTTCCAAAGTGCTCCCTTACTTGAAGGTTTGTCACAATATCAACATTGTTTGTTATAACAAGATCCATACAAGCATCCTTTCTACTTGGTAATTCTACTAATTGTGACATAAAGGTGTTATTAAACAGATTTAAAAATCTGATTTCCCTTGCTGAACTACTAGTTCTTCTATCCCAATTTATGTCTGGATAATTGAAATCTCCGGTTATTAAAGCGTTACTCAGATGTGCAACTTTCCCAATTTTCATTTTGCTATGGTAGCCTATTTCAAGTTGTAGTCCCTTAGCCTGTTCTTTCCCAAGAAATAAGAACCTCATCTAAACCCTTCTCTACTGGAATGGTCTGTGTTAAATATGGGGTTCTTAAGGCAGAGAATGGGAACAATATCGAAAGCTATAAGCATTTGGTAAAAGCTGTACATATCCAAAGGCAAAGTTCTCCTTAATTCATATTTGTTTTCCATTTGTAATGAAGAATATATATAATACATGTAATGGGGAGGTCTATAGGCCCAAATGAATTTAGAGCATATCTTATACATCAGAGATATCAGATATAAACAACAGTATACTATATAGACAATAGCAAGCTGGATTTTCCAGGAAGTTACAGACACTTCTGGGAACAACCATGTTTTGAGAAGCAAAATCTCTCTCTGACCCTGTGTGTTCTTTTCTGCAGGTACATCCCTGAGGGAATGCAGTGCTCATGTGGAGTCGATTACTACACCCTTAAACCTGAAGTCAACAATGAATCCTTTGTCATCTACATGTTTGTTGTCCACTTTCTAATTCCATTAATTGTCATTTTCTTCTGCTATGGCCGTCTGGTGTGCACTGTGAAAGAGGTAAATAGCCTATTACGCAGTTCACCTTATCTTGAGAAATAAGATTCCACTCCTTTTCTACCTTTTTTATCTCTATTTTTTCCTGCTTTCCTTTTACCTCTGTCACTTTCCTTTAGTTCTACTTATCAGTCTGTCCATCTTTATTTTATTTTTTAGGCTGCAGCTCAACAGCAGGAATCAGCCACTACTCAGAAGGCTGAGAGAGAGGTCACCAAAATGGTGATTATCATGGTAGTTGGCTTCTTGGTTTGTTGGGTCCCCTATGCTAGCGTGGCATTCTACATCTTCACTCACCAGGGAGCTGACTTTGGACCGGTCTTCATGACACTGCCTGCTTTCTTTGCCAAGAGCTCTTCAATCTACAACCCTGTTATCTACATTATTTTGAACAAACAGGTACCATCTACATCAAAAGCTTTATCTCATTTCTCAACTCTGTAACTGTAACAATATTAACAATCTTTACTCTTCACCCATTTAGTCCTTTTTCTATTTCTTTAGCTCATCAATTATTCTCCTCTTTCTTGCACCCTCTCATCGCACATCTGAATAAACTATTGTCTTTCTCTTCCAATCCTACATGATCATCCTCATTAACCATGATCTGCTTCCTTGACTCCCAAATATGCCACTGCCCTCCATTTTAACAATTCATGGTCATTTTTGCAAACCATCAATTGTGCTCCCTCCTCACAAATCCATCACATTTTCCTTATTATTGTATTTCCTATAATCTTAGTCCCAATACAATATGACCAACATCCCAATAGTATATCAAACCCCAAATCCACACATGCCTTCCTCCACATATCAATTTAGATAAATTTTCGTCATCTCAATAATAATCCCTTCTATCTGTCTTTTACCATAATTCATATACCTTATTTCCAAACATAGTTTATATAATTAATGCTCTTCCTTTATACCATATTAACTAATTATTCCTCTATAATTACTCCACACCATATTGAGTCAGATTAAGGATGCCCAGGCCTAGGCTGAATTCTAGAAGTTGTTCTTTTGCCCTCCACTTCCCCTCCTGCTTACCATTTGGCAGTAATGGGCTGTTATTCCTGATTGTCCAGTGAAGGGCCCTCTGGACTGGATTCATGGTGGTCCAGTGCAGGGTTAATTGGGAAGGAGGATCCCTGGTGGTCCAGTTGGGAGCATTGTAGTCTGCACCATTATCAGGACTGACAATTTTAAGAGCTCCCTGGATGCAGAATTGTCATTGAGATTCACCAGGGGACGGCAAGGGATCTCTTAAAGTGATATGCACCCGATATCGGTGCACACCACAATGCTTCCTTGAGTAGGTGAGGTGGTTCAGGGACAAGTAGTAACAAATAGTGAGACCTCAATCTCCCTGATGTCTCAGAGAAGACAGCCTCAGAGCCAGAGCCAGAACTCCAGGACCAGACAGAGTGGCCCTGCGGGTCCCTCTCCTGTGATCACTTTAGTCCAACTGACCTTTTCCTTTATACTTGTGCTTTCTCAATTTAATTCTAACCCACTTATATCATCCTCTTTATGTATCTCCAATCCACTACTTTCTGACTCTGTGCATGTTACGGATATCTTGACCTCTCCTTTCATCCATGTCCATGCTAATTACTCTCTTAGTCCCCAGCTACCAACCTTTTACCAAAAACACCCTCTACATTACTGTCTAATATAACGTAGCATTATGGTACATATACTTAACTGGTTGTTTCTTTTTTCCTCCAGTTCCGTAACTGCATGATCACCACCCTGTGTTGTGGCAAGAATCCCTTTGGAGATGATGAAACCTCATCTGCAGCCACCTCCAAGACAGAGGCATCTTCTGTGTCCTCCAGTCAGGTTTCTCCTGCATAAGACCTTTACCCAGGCCTGTCTTAGGGTCCGCCGCCTCACACCCCAGCCCAATTTTCATTTTGTTAAGGCAGCCTATTTCAAGGTGTAGTCCCTTAACCTGTTCTACCCCAAGAGGTAAGAACCTCATCCAAGCCCTTCGCTGCTGGAATGGTCTGTGTTATACTTGGGGTCCTTGTGGCAGCGAAGGGGCACATTATTGAAAACTATGAGCATTTGGTCAAAGCTGTACATATCTTATGGCAAAGTTCCCCTTAGTTCGTACATTTGTTCCTGAAGAATTCGAGAGGCTTTGCAGATGTTCCAGTAGTTGGCAATCATTATGGGGGAGGGGGAGGTGACACAATTATGCCCATTTGTCTCTAGCCAGGTAAACAACAATTTTACAACAGAAGGATATTTTTGTAATATATGTTCAGATTTTCAGTCAATTTCCTCTGCTTCTTGGCAATGTCTGATAGTGAGGATAGACAGACCCTTTGCACAGAAACCCTGTAATAAAGAGCACTTTGCAAGTAAAAAAAAACACAAAAAAATGAAAACGTCTTTTTTTTTTTTTTATTATTATTATTATTATTATTACTATTTATGATGCATCTTTCTGGGTCCCTATACCTTCCTAAAAGTGAAAGCCCTACACAAAGTTTGGAAGGCTTCTCATTAGTGTTGTGTGAAACTGATCTGGAATCATCTACCAAATACCAAAGACATTGTTCATAGTTAAACAGAACATCATACAATTTGTTTTTATGTGTCCTCATACGTTTCCAGATAAATTCTAAGGGTTTTAAAGAAGTATGCTATATTTCAAAGTACCCCAAATAATTTCTAAAAACACCTTTACTGATTTTCTACTGATTTAAGAAATCCAAATATTGGCACGCAGTAGTTCTGTCTGCAGAGGCAAACAGAAGTGAAATTGTCAAAAGACTAATTTAATCCAAAACTACAATTTAAAATAATACTTCAAACCAATGCTTCAAAATAACCCTTCCTCTTGTGTGCAAGTCTAATAGAGTTCAAATACAAAATACTGTCAAGAAACAATGAGCTTACACGCTAACAACTGAAGCGTGTAATCCTATTGATAGATCCATTGGTTTCTTTTACAATCCATTATGGTTATTTTACCTCCAAATTAAGAAACATGCTAGTGTATCCTGATCTCCCCAAACTATTTGGGGAGCATCACATCTTCTGATGCAAGACTGGTTTTCATAGCACACTAACCTGATTGCTGCCACTCGAGATTGTAACATAGAATGTTTGGCGGTGAAAGAGTTGATTTTTGTCATATTTATTATATCCCTACCACTGAAGTTTGAGATGCGGCTTGTTTAACCCTGTCACTGCTAAACAAGACAACAGTACTCCCTCCACGTGCACTGCTATAAGAAAACACCCAGTGCATTTTTTTCCCCTTATTGGCAGTGAAAGGGTTCACATGTCAATCTCAACACTGGATGTGAAAAGTTTGTCTTATTTGGAAATTTGATATTATTTTTTTTTTTTCATTTTGCAAATCTATGCTGAGGAAATGTAGAGATTTTGGAAGACAACTGATTATATTAACTCTTGAAAGTCCTAAATAGATGGGTGAGTAAAGGGGTTAGCGGATCAGACTGACTTCTTGTACAGTCAGTCTCAGAATCAGGACAAGACTTATATAAAAAATATCCGATGCTCTATCACATTAGATATTTTCCCCATATTGGCTATTTTGGTCTAAACATTGCAAGTAGGTTATTGACTTTGCACAACTCACAGTATAGAGAATGCACCCCCCAAAATTAACTAAATAGTGATTCAATCACAGTTTTGTACATATTAAAGAACAATATTTGGTAGGCCTGTTTGCATTATGTGTGTCTATAGCTGCATATTCACACACACATATCTATATAACCAAAACTACTAACAATCTGCTTAAATAGCTCCCTTTCCCACCCAAAGGGGAATTAAAGTATTTTACACACAACCTTGATTCATATCAGCAGGTGACAAATAATTGCTGCATTCATTCAACTCGGTGGCACTCATTTTAATCAACCTCATATGGACATACAAAGGCAAAATGTACCCTGAATACAACAGAACCTGCAACCCTGAGGTTTCAAAAGGTTTTACAGTTGGCGTATTAACCAATTGAGCTACCTCACGTATACATGTGTGCATCATGTGCAGAAGAAATGGACATACAGGGACGATGGGATTCTGGTGTCTGTAACAGACTTTCTCCTAAGTGTAGTAATGTATTTTCTGTACAATACTGTAGATGACATGTCCACATAAAGAAACATTTCCTGCTTAACTGTCTGTTTTTGTATATTTATTAGGCTGTCTCGTCACAGTATGAACTCAGAGCACTCAGTGGTGCTGGTGGTGCTGGGTGAGGGTGCGGGAGGGGGGGGCAGTTCTGCTTTAAGATACTGGTGATTGGGCTTTAATCAGAACTTTTAATATTGTCCCTCTCTCATATGTAATCTCAACAGAATTTGCCAAAGATTTTTGTGCACAAAAATTACTATTTAAAAATGCATACAGAGGTCAGCAACCTGTGGCAAGTTTGCCATGCATGGAACTCGAGGCGCCTTTGCACGGCACTTAAGGCTGCTAGAGATAGTCTATGGCATATCAGGAGTCCCATTGGGACCTCACATATCTGCCAATGCAAACCGAGTGGAGATACAGGTAGTGAAGGAAAATCCTCAATTTACATATTGCAGCACTTAGAAGAAATGATCTCAGATCACTTCCTCCCAGCATTTTTGAATGGGAATCATCACTCGAGTAGAGCAGTGCGCAGCAGCTATCGCAGCTCCTGTCCTTGACCTTTAGATCCCCATTAGATCCCAGGAATGCCACCCACACTGCGAGATATACACAGAGCTGCAGAATAATCTCCCCCTTCTTACACATAATGCAAACAGTCCACACATAAACACACTTGCTGACCCCACAAACACACCACCACTGGCAATCCACATACACACACACACACACACACACACACACAACCATACAAGCAGCTTCTTACACGTAATACCACAAGCAGTACCACACATACACACATCACCAAACACACAATGTGACATATCATCCAGACAATTACACAAACAGCCCCCATTCACAGTCCACATTAATAAGTATAATACATAAAACCACAAACTACTTATGAACATATACAATATAACAGCTCATATAGACACAAATACAATGCTACAAAGCAACTGCAGCACCCATAAATAACACAAGCACAATATGGCAACACACGCCTCAATTTAAAAAATAGAACCAACACGCCAAAGGACTTCAAGATCTTGGACTACTATAAAGTTTCCTACCCCTGCACCAGTCTGACCTAATGACATATTTGGATACAGCCATCATTATTGGTATTAATACTGGAAAAGATTTAGGGACCTCTTTATACCTGACCCATTAGGAGTCTTCGATCTTTTCTATAGAATGTCAGATGTAATTAAATCCAGTATTCAGGATAATGGCATGTCTTTCAATCTCATGTAATTGCCCTGGTTTTACATCACAAGGGAAAACTAACTGTGGGAGCAAATTGCCCTGGTTTTACATCACAAGGGAAAACTAACTGTGGGAGCAAATTGGGAACCCCAAGGGAGCTGTCTCTTCTAAGACCCTGCTATGGAGACTGGAAACCAGTTACTGGAAGAGCTATGGTTCTAAATAATACAATGGAGGGCTCAGCGTGACAAAGAGTATAATGTACTTTAATGTGCAATATTACAATTCTTATGAAGACCTCTGAAGCCAATCAGGAAGGCAGTGTCTCAATCCATCACTGGGTTAATTGGAAATCACATCATTAAAGAGATACAGAAATGTTAACTCAAGTTCAGTCTTCACTCTGTCAACTGTAATGGTCTGTGAGTCCTCAATTTCCAAGAACCGGGGTAACTTTAATTTATGAATAATAAAATAATATTACCATTACCAGTGCAAACGTCACATTCCATCGTGTAAAGCTAAAACATACAAAAAAACACATATACCTAAAATATTGACATTATGCAGAATATACATAACATGCCCAGAGAAGGGTGACCCAGTGATTGATACTAGATAATAGAGCACATTAACAACGCTTAGTGGAGTGATTAACTGCCTAATTTTTAGAGGAATGGAAGTGCCTGCATATACTATGTGCACGTTGTTAGGGATAGCTGAGGGACACAGAACAAGCTGTAAGACCTTCCAACAGCCGTGTATATTATCAGTCTTCTGTCCTCCGAGCAAAAGTAGAAATAACACAGCGTTGTGTGGGCAGAAGTGAGAAATGTGTTTCTTGCTTTAGAAGTTTTTATCTCGTGCTCTGTAAATTGAATTTTAATCATACAAAGGAGGCAAATGCAGGGTCTAGCTATTAGAACAGCATGAGATAATGCATGCTAAATTAAACACACTGTGCAATAAAGGAATTTTAAACATTAGATCTCACCTTACAGGAAGTGTTTAGAAAGTCTGCACACGTTAAATTCAGAAAGGATTTTACTAGACCTGTATAAGCAAAGTGAATTAACTCCTAAATAGCAAAGGATTGAGCAATGAGACTATGATTTTTCACAACAAAGCTGCTTCACTAAGCTAAAGTTTTAATTCTAGGGGTGTGATTGGATGCCTGACCATGGGCGGGGCTTTAATGAGACATTTTATTTGACTCACTATTAAAAATTTATGTCACCAAAATGTATTTTAGAACAAGAACAATAATAAAGAACTAGATTCTGCGATTCCCCCCTGCCGAACCTACGAAAGGGAAGGGGTAACCCTCAAATAACACAATGGGAAAAACAAAATCCCAATGCACTTCATTTACAGGGAGTGCAGTGGGGGGAGCACAGTGGAGGAGAAGGTTGCTATTACATCTAATATAGAAACAGTACCTAAAGCGGCTAAACATACAATGTGCTCTAGGGACATGTGGTTCAGGTAGGCACTAGCCTTGTGTGGTGCCGAGATAAATAGGGCTATCTATAGAAATGTTATTGTCTTTAAACCCCTGTTACTTTCGATATCGAGCTCTGTCAGACTCCCTCTTCTGGTCATCTATTCTCTCTTTAGAGAGGTTTCCACAAGGATTGAGGGCTTTCTGTTTGGTGGCTTAGTATCTACAATGACTCTTCGAGTATCGCCTCAATTTTCCCATGTCCTATGGTGGATTATATTAGGTGGCTTTCCCTTATAAAGATAGTGTGTCTGTAGTTTCCACCTTCCTCATAGGTGTCCCTAGACCAGGGGTAGGCAACCTTTTAGCAGCACTGTGCCGAAATAAGATTGTGATGTCCCGTAGCGTGTCGATCCTATTTGTTTAAATTGAGGTGTGTATGTTGCCGTATTGTGTTTGTGCTATTTATACTGCAGTTGCTTTGTATCGTTGTATTTGTGCGTATATGAGCTATTATATTGTATATGTTCATGAGTAGTTTATGGTATCGTGTATGATACCCATGAATGAAGGCTGTGTATGGGGGCTGCTTGTGGAATTGTGAGTGTGGTTGGAAATGTCACATTGTGTGTTTGGTATTGTGTGTATGTGAGGGGCTGTTTGGGGTATTGCATGTGTGAGGCTGCATGTGGGGTTGTGTGCATGTATGTGGATTGTTAGTAGTGTTGCGTTTGTGCGGATTGTGTGTTGTGTTTGTGTGTGGGGTGTATTATTTGTAAGAGGGGAGGGGTATTCCTCAGCTCTGTGTATATCTCGCAGTGTGGCTGGCTTCCCTGGGTTCCAGTGGGGACCAGGCTGCCCAGGTACAGCTCAAGGACAGGGGCTGTAATAGCAGCTGCGGGCTGCTCTACTCCAGTGTGGATTCACATTCACAAGTGCTGGGAGGAAGTAATCTAAGATTACTTCCTCTATGTGCTGCAACGTATAAATTGAGGATTGTCCTTCACCACCTTTTCATATTAGCAGATATCTGAAGTTTCACTGGAATTCCTGATAGGCCAGACCCTGTATGGCTCTAGCAGCCTTGAGTGCCGTGCAATGACACCTCGAGTGCCGTGCGTGGCACGTGCCATGGGTTGCCTACCCCTGCCCTAGACTACTGCTTATCACATTGTACGTTTAGCTGCTTTAGGTACTCTTTCTATATTAGATGTAATAAAGTTAGGGTTTTGTTTTAACAACCTTCTCCTCCACTGCACTCCCTGTTAGTGGAGTGCATTGGGATTTCGTTTTTCCCCATTGTATTTTAGAACAAGAACATTGTATCTTATTTACACAGACTGATTTCTAAACACATTATTATTATTACTATGAAGTTCTGTTATGCATGCCAACAATATGGAGCTCATAGAAATGAGGGACATTTAGATAGAAAAGATGGACAGAGGGATTAGGTCCCAAAATACGGATGGTACCTCCTAAATAGGGACAGTTGGTAGGTATGAATTTAGGTCCTATGCTACAAAGAATGCAACACCTAACAAGATCCACATATTCCCAAAACTAGTGTATTATTATTATTATTATTATTATTTTATTATTTATATAGCGCCAACAAATTCCGTAGCGCTGTACAATGGGTGGACTAACAGACACATAATTGAGATCAGACCACTGACGTACAGGAACAGAGGGGGTTGAGGGCCCTGCTCGATGAGCTTACATGCTAGAGGGAGTGGGGTATAGTGACACAAAGGGTTAAAGTAGGGGAATTAAATAGTTTGTTACAGAAGGGTTTATTGAGTGCTTGGTAGGTCATGTTTGACAGGTGAAGGAATGGAGTCATCGGGTGGGGCATGAGAAACCTGCTGACAGTTTAATTGATACGCTTTAATGAAGAAGTGAGTTTTCAAAGATTTTTTGAAGGAGTGGAGGCTGGGTGAAAGTCTGATTGAGGAGGGAAGGGAGTTCCACAGAATAGGTGCAGCCCTGGAGAAGTCTTGAAGGCGAGCATCAGAGGTGGGGATCCGGGCAGAGGATAGGAGTAGGTCTTGGGCTGAGCGCAGGGGTCTCGACGGGACATACTTGTGTATGAGGGAGGATAGGTATGTTGGAGCAGCATTATGTAGTGATTTGTAAGCAAGCGCCAGAATTTTGAATTGGGCCCTATATCTAACTGGAAGCCAATGCAGGGACTGACAGAGCGTGGAGGTGTGGGAGGTGCGACCGGACAGGAAAATAAGCCTTGCAGCCGTATTCATTATAGATTGCAGCGGTGCAAGCTGGGAACATGTAAGACCGGTGAGAAGGGGATTGCAATAGTCAAGGCGAGAGAGAACAACAGCATGAACCAGTACCTTAGCCGCGTCCGGCGTTAGATATGGGCGGATGCGCGCTATGTTCTTGAGTTGGAAGCGACAGGATTTGGCTATCGATTGAACATGGGGAGTAAAAGAGAGATCAGAATCAAAAAGAACTCCTAGGCAGCGAGCCTGGGAGGTAGAGGTGATAGTAGCGCCGTTGACTTGGATGGCGACAGACACAGGAGTAGCAGCACTTGAGGGAGGAAAAACTAGAAGTTCTGTTTTGGACAGGTTGAGTTTAAGGAAGTGAGCAGCCATCCAGTTGGAAATAGCAGAGAGGCAGTCAGAAACACGAGTCAAGGTGGGCGGAGAGAGATCAGGGGAGGACAGGTAGATTTGCGTGTCATCTGCATATAAATGGTATTGGACGCCAAAAGAGCTGATGAGTTTACCAAGGGAGGCAGTATAGATAGAGAACAATAGGGGGCCGAGGACAGAACCTTGGGGGACGCCGACAGGGAGGGGCTGGGGAGAAGAGGCAGAGCCAGAGAAAGAAGCACTGAAAGAGCGCTGGGAGAGGTAGGAGGAGCACCAGGAGAGATCAGAATCCCGTAGACCAAAGTTACGGAGAATGTGAAGAAGCTGTTGATGATCAACAGTGTCAAAGGCGGCAGAAAGATCAAGGAGGATTAGGATAGAGTATTGGCCGCGAGATTTAGCAGCAATTAAATCGTTGGATACTTTGGTCACAGCAGTTTCGACAGAGTGACCAGCGCGGAATCCAGACTGAAGGGGGTCAAGCAGAGAGTTGGATTCAAGAAAGTCTGTCAATCTGGCGTAGACAACTCTCTCGAGGATCTTGGAGGCAAATGGCAGTAGTGAGATAGGGCGGTAGTTGGATGGGGAGTTGGGATCAAGGTTGGGCTTTTTCAGAATTGGGGTTACGGTTGCATGTTTGAAGGCAGAGGGAAATGTGCCAGAGGAAAGGGAGAGATTGAAAATGTTAGCGAGAGGAAGAGCAAGAGAGGGAGACAAAGTGCGGATGAGATGCGAGGGAATAGGATCGAGGGATGTATGTGGGTCTTACTGTCTATGGCACAATTTAATTAAGGAGATGCGCAGTAAAACCTACTGCCGAAGTAATGTCCAATGTAGGAGATGCCCTTTAACCCCTTAAGGACCAAACTTCTGGAATAAAAGGGAATCATGACATGTCATGTGTCCTTAAGGGGTTAAACGTCTTTTTATTTCCTAACCAGCTCCACTTTCCAAACAAAATGGAGATTCCTGAATGGAGATAATGAGAGCAGCACTTTTTAGTTACTCCACGCAGCCCTAAACTGTGTATTACTATAAGCGTACTTTATTAAGATTACAAAACATACATATGACAGTGCCAGAAAGTATTTTGTCTCACAATTATCCCTACGACAGAGGTGGATTATGCAGTATCACATAAAGCAACTGCATTTCTCATGACGCTCAGCCAGCCTTCTCTGCAGTGCCAAGGAGAGAGAGAGAGAGAGAGAGAGAGAGACTCTCCTCTCTCTATCTCCAGAGGTCTGCAAACATTAATGAAGGTTCCTGTAAGGCAGAGAGTAGTGGGAGTGATGTACTTTACATTTAAAATCCCTCTGAGAAACAGACTTTATTTTAATATATCTCAGTTTGCAAATTATTACAAGGGAAAACTAAACCAAGGATGCCAAGGATGTGTATAAACGATATTGGTAGTGAATGGGTTAAAGGGGTATTAAAGCAGGTTCCATTAACTAACAAGCTAAATTATATTGGACCTGATGTCCTTGCATCTTTGGTAAATATATGGAAGTGCAGAGAGACTAGAAGTTGTTTACTTACATTACTTACATCCAATTCATACCATTTCTTATTAAATGCTTTACGAGGTCATACCCCCTTAAATAAATACAAATTATTCAGAACGGCTTCAGTAAACATGCCTTGTTCACATGACATTAATACAGAATGTCTGCTAAATCGTCACTTATACCATGTTTTGAAGAAATGTATCCACGTTTGTACATTTGGAAGTTTGGGAGGTAATGGCCTCTGATGAAAACACCTGATACATGTTCCTGCTGAATGGAGGCACCTGATTAGCTCTGACCCAAATGACCTTCACAAGGTATAAATGAGCAGACAAAGGGTGATAGAGGTAGTGCTGTTGGTGTGATAGTAAATTCAGGGTAATATGGCTCCTAAGAAAGCAGTGCCTCCAACAGAAGTTAAAGAAAAGGAAACTGCGCCTGCCCCAGGTGAGTGTCTATGTTACTGCTACAGAAACTGAATTAATATGGTCCTTGCCCCTTCTATTTCAGTCTCACTGAATAAAAGACATTAGGTTTAGTGTGTGTCCTGTATAATCTAATGCTGTTAGTCTTTCTCGTAGGAGGGTGACCTCAACATTCCACCCACATCCCTAATACTGGAACTCCCGTGGTTCTCACAAACTGCCACTGATGGACTGCTATATAGCAAATTGCTGACCTGTCTATTGTCTCTTTGCTCAGTGCAATTTGGAATTTAGTTATTTATGTTACAACTGCTTCCGTTTTGATTTTAGCAGTGTGTGTATAGCTGATGGTGGTAGTGAGTTGGAGTCCTTTAATGTTCTATGTTGTCTACTGTAAAGTTCTTTCCTCCTCGATGCACTTCCAGCTCTTATTCGTATTATTATGCACCATAAATGGTTAATCTGTATCGTAACTTCCTAATACTACACATTTTAACCCTAATCGCAAACTCCAAGTTGTGACAGTATTCTAGCTTTTTAAAACACTGTGACTGTGTATCCTGGCATAGGATATATTATATAGTAAATAATCTGCCTTGCTATGCATACCCTTCCTCCAAATATGAGCTGACATTCTCCCATTAACCCCTTAAGGACACATGTCATGACTCCCTTTTTATTCCATAAGTTTGGTCCTTAAGGGGTTAAACTCTTGATTAGGCTTTGTTCTGAGGGACGCTTCCAACCTGCCATATGTGTGGATTATGCGTTCTCTGCATTTCTTTCTGTAGGTAAGGTGAAGGCCAAAGCCAAGCGCAGACTCTCAAAGTTGGTGATGCCACTGGGCCATCCTTCTACGCTCTCAATGGTAATTGAAGCCCTGAAAAAGGACAGTGAGCGCAAGGGGACCTCCGTGCCAGCCATACGTACCCGAATTCTGGCTGCACATCCCACTGTAGATCCTATGCGCCTTAAGTTCCTCTTGCGAACAGCCTTGAACAAGGGCATTGAGAAAGGCATCCTGATCCGACCTCTTAACTCCAGTGCGAAAGGAGCCACTGGACGGTTCAAGGTAAATGTCCCTGACATAGCTAACTTGCTTGTATCGTCTTATGTTAATCTACACACTTGGCTAACAATTCAGCAAACTTACTGAATTAACAGGCGATAAAGGCTTATGTAAAAGTCTTGTGCTGGTGCAAGGATTCTTTGGCCAGCCACAGACTGGAGCAGCCCACCAGGAAACTTCTGGCTATAAAATGCAGCACATACGGAGACTAACACCTCTGGTGTCGCATGTTTTAAAGGGACACTATAGTCACCTGAACAACTTTAGCTTAATGAAGCAGTTTTGGTGTATAGAACATGCCCCTGCAGCCTCACTGCTCAATCCTCTGCCATCTAGGAGTTAAATCCCTTTGTTTATGAACCCTAGTCACACCTCCCTGCATGTGACTTGCACAGCCTTCCACAAACACTTCCTGTAAATAGAGCCCTATTTAGGCTTTCTTTATTGCAAGTTCTGTTTAATTAAGATTTTCTTATCCCCTGCTATGTTAATAGCTTACTAGATCCTGCAAGAGCCTCCTGTATGTGATTAAAGTTCAATTTAGAGATTGAGATACAATTATTTAAGGTAAATTACATCTGTTTGAAAGTGAAACCAGTTTTTTTCATGCAGGCTCTGTCAATCATAGCCAGGGGAGGTGTGGCTAGGGCTGCATAAACAGAAACAAAGTGATTTAACTCCTAAATGACAGTGAATTGAGCAGTGAAATTGCAGGGGAATGATCTATACACTAAAACTGCTTTATTTAGCTAAAGTAATTTAGGTGAATATAGTGTTCCTTTAATTCTAATGGCAGCGCCATTGACCTGGAACCAGCATTCTGGGAGGCTGTCAATCCTGTGCTGATGCCTGACAATGGAGGAAGGTCAGGCTTCTAAGGATTACTCTGACCAAAAAATGTCCCCTTCATCTAATGCTTTAGACCCCCCTACAATACAAACTGTCACTTTTATGAAATATTACACTCCCCATCTCTCTTCTCCTACCCTCTCACTGGTTTTCAGTAGTAGTTAATACCACATCATACACAACATGGCAATGCTGTTCTGTACCCTCCAGCTCGCAAAAGGTGAGAAGAAGCCAACCACTCAGAAAAAAAAGATGTCTGAGAACATCGACCCAAATGCAGAAGAGAAACCAATAAAGAAGACTACTAAAAAAGCAAAAGTTGCTAAAGGTCAGTAACTCCTTCCCCATGGTGACTTTGGAACTAATGTGTCTTGGTAAACGGTGTTCTATGCTACCAGCTAGCACTTAAGTGGTTTTTATGCTGAATCCCTACTGACCTGCTCTAATTATGGTGCATGCTAATGCTTCAAACTTACAAGTTTCTTGTAATTTAAGCCTCTAACAGCAGAGGGTAGCGGTCTGGTAGGTGATGTAGGCTGACTGTGTAAACATTCTCTTGTGCAGGTGAGAAAACAGATAAGGTGGAGAAAGCTGAACCCAAGAAGGATGTGGTGAGTGACTCATTGTGTGCCTTGGTGATACGGGGCTGATCTGCTGCTTTCAGTGTGATCCTCAGATCATCCCAGTGTATTCTGTTTAATGATAAAGGAGTCTTGTCCATGAATCCTACATCCACAAATGGATGGCTTAAAATGTACCTGTCATTCCTGGCACAACTTGTGTGCTTTCCAAAGATCATCAATTTATAGGTATACATTATCCTGGCAAACTACAGCTTTGGAGAGAGGCTTAAAATGTCTAAGCGTTAGTGTGAACTATTGTTACCCTTAATGTGCAATATGTCTAAATTGTCAGCCACTAGCACACTGGTGCAATCTGCCACCGCACACCCAAACCACAAACTTTAAACTCTCCCTACCCCCAAAAAGCACTTCTTATACAAATGGTCTTTTATACAAGAGAAGAACTCCACTGTGGGGTTAAATAAATCTAGACTGGTATTTCGCTTGTCAGTCAACTAACCTACATGGCCAATGGCACGTAGTGTAGAAGACGACCCACAGTCCTCCTGCTCTCCTCACATGGCAATTGCAGTGCATGCACTGACTAGGTTTTGGTGACAATGTGATGTCACACTGACAATGAAGGCAGTGTGTTGGCCCCAAAGTCTTTGCCCTGCTTGGGAAAACAAACATATGTCTGGCTTGGCAGTTTTGGATTTGGGAAAAGAGTCCTAATGGGCTCCTCTTGGCTAGCTTGAGTGTCCATGACATGCAAACTGTCTTTCTATATCAGGATATAGAAATGCATATCTGTAACAATGTGTAGCAGACTGTTATGGGAATGCCATCATTGAAAGGGGATAGGGCATATTTCGGAGGGACCCACTAACTTTAGGGGTGTGAATGAAGGTGGGGCTGTCCTGAGACTTGTGTAAATGCAGCTAATATATCTAATTGAGCACCAGCATGACAGACTAATCACTACAATGTGAATAGTCAGGATTCCAAAGTTTATTATACAAATTCTTGCTAGACTGAAAACCTAGCTGATCCAGACTGTGTGGGTTGTTGGCTGACATTGTGTCATGTTCTGACTTTTGGCAATTGTATTCTGTCAGAAGAAAAAACCTGCTGCAAAGAAAGATGGCAAAGAGAAAGCTGTTAAGGCTACTGCAAGTAAGAAACCAAAAGCTACAACTCCAGCTGAGGGAGCCAAGCCCAAGAAGGTGCCAGCCAAAAAGGAGCCAAAAGCGGGGGCTTCAAAAGAACCTAGTACAGCAGAAGGCCCAGCACCCAAAAATGGCAAGAAAGTAAAAAAATGACCAATGTGTCAGCAAGGAGTTTTAACTTTGTAAATGTAACTTATAATCTAAATTATTTCTTTAAATAAAGTGTTTAAATGTATACCTCAGTCTAAGATTCACTGCCTGCTATTGATGACCAGAGGTCTAGTTACATAACTGCTTTAATTTGAGTAGACTTTCATAGATGGGGAGGGAGGGCAGAGCTGGATTAACATAGGAGCTGAAGAAGCTGCAGCTCCAGGCCCATGGAATAGGCCCATTGATTTAAAAATGTGTAAAATATAGATTTTACTACACTACTCTTAAAGTTGTTCACCTGGCCAGTATTTATCTGGGGCTGTAATGCCAGTATTCTCAGAATAAAGAGATTACTCTGCAATACCATTACCAGCCAGTAGGGTCACTGTGTGGAGGCAGGATAGGAAGCTACAATATATACCTGCATCTCTTTACTCACTGATCTGGGGGGGAGCAGCTACACAGCAGAGTCCAGACCGCAGCTCTGAGACTGCCTTCAGCTCAGGGAAGTGAGGGCTGAAGCTGCAGGAGACATAGGGACACTGAGACATGGAGAAGTCTGGGAATGCAGAGACATGAACACCCACTGAAACACTAGGACACAGATGTCCCCAAGTGTCTCCCTGTCCCTAATATGTGTGCCCATGTCTCCCACTGTTGCCATATGACACAGGGAGACACTGGGAGCAATCATCTATACACAAGTGAAAAATTATTTTTTTCAGAATTGTCACTCCTCAATGTAAAACATAATTAGTTATGCAAATTAGTAAAGGTGGCAACCCTAACTACTCTTAAGTATGGAAACTTAAGAGGGATATATGAAAACAAAACTTATGTGGACTAGCGGAAATTAAATTAATTAAGGTAATGCTAACACTGCAGCATGTTACCTTTTTTCTACATCCACCTTTTTTCTGTCTCCGACTGTATACCAGGAGCTTCTGTCTGCTAGACAGGTGGACATGTGAGTTCTAGGGGACCATCCTTGGAAAGAAAAGCGCAAGCACATCATTAGATGCATTTATGCCAAGCTCAGGATGCTGTTGGGCAGCAGGCTGCCAGACATGCCTCCTTATTGGGCATGTTCAGCCCTTTCAGAAGTTCTGGTTACATGATCCTTATCAGTGGCACCATTTTACACCGCCCATTGACTCTTTGCTTCACTGGACACTGCTGTTAGGGGGTATGGATTTACTTGAAAGATGAAAGCCTGAATTAGACATTAGCATTTGAAGATGATTTTTATATATCCTGTGAGTTTCCATCCGGCAACATCTCCACCAGATACATATTGCTTGTATGACTATTCTAGTGTTTTTTTTTTTTTTTGTACTTATGCCCCTCATTGTCAGCACTGGGCTCTTAAGCTGGGGGTGAGGGCTGGAGAAACGACCAATTGACAAAGGCTCTGTAGTAGACATTGCTTCAATCTCTAGCTGTGACCCACCCATTAAAATTATACTCTAATCCAGCTCTTTTGTACCTGAACCTTATTACTGGGAGTGTCATCACTCACAGGCCCGGACTGGCCATCAGGAAAACCGGGCAAATGCCCGGTGGGCCACGGGCCGAGCAGATCCAACTGGTCTATGCTCTGCTTTGTTCCATTAAGGGCCGGTGGGGAGATAAAAGACCTCCCTCACCGGCCCACATGCTGTCAAACGTGGCCACTGGAGGGGGAAGAGAGGGAGACAGCCAGCCTGGAGTGAGGACCCGGCGGAGCTCTAACTTGCAGCTCTGCCGGGTTTCTCTTGTGAAATCTGGACCGTTGCCATAGCAACTGTCCGGGTCTCGCAAGTGACCTCTAGCCCCACAGGCTAGAGTTCACTTACCATGAGGACCACCAGGGATGGGTGTCAGCAGGCTACGGGGGGGGAGGGGGTGTATAATCTATATATATTTTTTTTATTTTTTTTAATAAAAATTAAAACAAATATTGGCATTTACCAGCCTCCCCAATACACAATCCTTGCAAACACACAGCGCCCTCACACATACACACTCTGGATCCCCTATGCACACACTAGATTCCATTTAAGCAAACACATAGTGTCTCCATAAATGGGATACTGTGAGTATCCCAATTATGGAAACCCCTGAGACAAGTTTCAAGCAAATACAACGCAAGCATGTTATTAAATTTGCTTGCGCTGTGCACAACAAATACAGGGCCCTTTTCTCATGCCCTGGAAGAACATTGAACCAACATGCTCACTTTGCGATGGGGTGTGCTTGTCATTGGGATGACAAAACATAACCTATCTGGCCCTGCCCCCTTTTCAGTGGGCCGCTTTGAATAAAAAATGCCCGGGACGAATTTTTTTTTCCCCAGTCCAGGCCCTGGTCACTCATGTTTCAGAAAGAACATTAGTACGGTTTTCAGTGGGTGTACACAAGCCTGTCCTGCTATTGGAGGCCAGGCCTGACCTATGGGTCTTTCCAGAACCTGTATGTGATGGGTACAAAATCCACTGTAGTGGTTATTGTACGGGGATTCCCTCAATGTTAATAGTCACCCTCTTAACAGCTTGACCACACAACTGGGGACTACTGTGTGCTATCCGACTCCACTGGATCAACAGAGGTAAATCCTACAGACTGTCTGTGGAGAGTGCAGTCAGCCAATCTATGCTCAGGTAAGGCTGTAGAAATACTACCGGTTCTTCCTTCTGCTAAATGTTGTGCATTCATCTGCAATCCTAATCTTGTTAAAGTTGTGGATGTCATTTTCACTTGGTTGTAAATGTTTCAGGCGTATGTTATGGTATCCGCTTGTATTGTGGGATATCAAATGGCATTTTCAATAAAGCAATGAGAGGCATTCTTAAATATCAATTTTATTACAAATTTACCACATGTTTTAATATAGAATCTCACAATAGAACATTAATACAAGAATTCACCTATATACATCTCCATACAGTGTGCATCATCAAAGCTCCCTCTAGTTGTGGATTGAGGGGGCAGAAAGACATCAAAGGGGTAAACATTTAGATTTTGGACTTGTATCTGCTGCCCTTTGTCTCCTACTCAGGAATTCATAGCCAGCAAATGAGTTGTACAGCGCTCCTATATCATGTCTCAGCAAGTAATCAAGGGGAATGACATATACAGGTCGAGGCCCCTGACACCTGGACTAAAATCCTTTTTTTAATGTAAGATGGCATTTTGGCAAACCGACTCTGCCATTTAAGTATCTTGCTGATGGCAGGCTTGCACCGGCATACAATACACTGCAGGGAAATGGCAGCTTTATTAAACTTCTGAAATCCACGAGTGCCTCTCACTAGCCAGCTGCCTGGGTTTTGTTTGTAACCATATCTCTGCTCAGCAGATATTCACAGCACTTTTAGACTTAATACTTTACCATATACATATATTTAGAAAGTGTTCAAAGCTTACCCCTTGGTTTGCTAATGTGGATTTATTTTTGGCAGTTGGGGTTAGTAATGATAGCCAGCTATCCATGTCCGATCACAAATCCCACTTTTTAAAAGTAATTTAAACATTTGAAAGGTTGTTTGCCCATCTGCATACTAAAGAGCACCCACAAAATTAGGGGTTTGAAAAAAATTGGGTTTAAAAATAAAATAAAAAATTCCCTTCACCTGTCTCTCTCTGTAGTGGGGGGAGGGGGGGGGGGAGAGTTACCATTTGGAATGTTCTTAGAATAAGGATGGAAACCTCACTCACGTGTGCTGAGCAACTCAGTCAACACATGGACGAAAGTCTTCCTAGTGATACGATTTAGGGATGATTATTTTATCCTCTAACAAATCTGGAGTCTAGTTAATGTTTATTAAAACTCATCAGTTTTATAGTAACTTATCCTTGCATTCCCTTCAGAAAACAGCCAATCCCCATTCTCTCTCGGATACAATAATACTTATTTGCTAGGGGGAAACTGTTACTTTCTACCACGGCACACCACATTTATTTTATTTTTTTAAATTGGTATTCCTGAGATTCTGGCAATAAGGCACTCACTGAAAGTATCTGTAACTCCACCACAGCAAGCCAATGGCTGACTTTATCATCCTGTAGTGCCCTAGTAGCTCATACAGAATGGAAACCGTCAACACAGGTTAGCAAGGTTGTGCAATAAGTGTCTGCTTGGATAATGGAGGTGTAGACTTAATACGGACTTAGAAAGTGGTTGTCTCCTTGGTAGCAATGTCCCCTTTGGCTTACAGTACATTTCATGGTTGCCAAACAGGACAAATGGCATATTATTTACAGTGCAATGGTTAGTGACCCTGCAAGGGCCAATCGCATTCAGGTTTCCCAAAATCCTGTACAGGAGGGAGGAGCTTTCAGTGAAGGAAATGAACAATTTCACTTTTTAGAAGGGCAGTAATTGGGGGGAAAAAAGCCTAAGTAGCAAATGTTAATCAAGAATTAATAGGTCCATATTTGTTTTCCATAGGCTCACTCCCAGAACTGGATGCTGTAGTTAGATTTTAGTACAAGTAGCACCTGCCCCCTAATAAGGGAGCTCATAACCTGGAGGCTTAATCTCAGGGTGCTGAGTGGCAGGTTCTCTTCCCATACAAGGAGGGCTCTCTGTTTAGTCCTATCTCACGTGTTCCCTCACTAAGCATTGCTGCTACACGTGTAAATATCGTCCTCCATCAATATAATCACTTGCTCAAACTTGTGCTGCAATTGTGCCCGTTTGGTGGTGGGATTGGAGTCCAGAGCGGTGACAATCTGCAAGATCATGAAGAAGTTTTAATAATGCCATCAACATTGGGTATTCCAGCAAAAATAAAGGAAATTGGTAAACAAAAATTTACAGAATTTAAACAATCCAGGAGTTTTGAAAAACATAAAGCACTTTGCATACAAACATACTACAAGTCTATGGAGTTCCCTAAAAATTTCCAATATGTACCTAAAAAAAAATGCATTTTGTTCTGCTATGGTCATAGCTTAACCATTAGATCCCTAATTAGTAATGGGATTTATGAAACAATTTCCTTAAAGTAAGGATGACTGGTAGTAGTTGAGCTTAAAGGAACACTATAGTGTCAGAAATACAAATGTGTATTCCTGACAGTATAGGTCTAAATAGCTGTTTAGGCCCCCAACCCAACTTACCACCGGTTAAAAAGGTGATGTACTTGCATGAGTGGCAAAACATCATCTCCTCCTCATAGAAATACATTGAATCAATGCATCTCTATGGAGAAAGATTAGCGCTTTAATGCAGTGTGTAGAGATACTGAACGTCAGTATTGTTCAGGACTGACCCAGGAAACACCTCTAGTGGCCATTTGAGTGACTGTCATTAGAGGTGTTACTAGACAGTAATGTAAACACTACCTTTTCTCTAAAAAGACAGTGTTTACATGCATTAATTGTTTGCATTAAAAAGCCTACAGGGACATGGTATAGACACCATAACAACTACATTAAGCTATAGTTGTTCTGGTGACTATAGTGTCCCTTTAAGTACTGTCACAGTCTATTTTTTTTTTATTTTTTTTTTTTTTATTCTAAACACTGACTCTTTAATTAAAACTCTAACAGAGAATCTGATGTAAATCATAAGATATATGTGAGAAAAAGTATGGATTACATTGTTTTATGTATGTCTGGTTTTAGCAAAATGTACCCATGGGCAGATATTCTGTTAGCTCATTCTACCATCTCCTTGCACTGGCTGATGGCAACAGTCATTTTCTTGCAATAAATGCAAATATATTCTATAGATGAAATCATCTGCTTTCACACATTGTCATGAAATGCAAAGACACCACTAGTGACAGTTCCGCTTTAAACTCCCTTGGACTCTTCCTTTTCTTTTGATATGTTTTTGTTAATTCTTTGCTGGAGTAAAACAAGTTTAGGCAGGTTTTTAGGTGCATTAGGTTTTTAGGTGCATTAACAGGTTACTCCAACCACAATGACTATTTCAGTGATTTGAAGTGGCCATGGTGCTTGTAAACCCTGCACATACAGAGTTTAACCCCTCTGCTGAAAGATGGGTAATGTCACTTCTGGCATCACCATCAAGGTATCATTAGCCAGCCTGGAACAAGAGCTAATATCAACTCTGTGCATATTGGACGACTGTTGTCAGCAAGCAAGGAATAATGGCAATAGGCATTCAATGGTGGCACAGCCTCCCCTCCCCCTGCTTGCTACACATGTGCTTCACTCAGCCCACCTAACTCCGGCAGCTAGGGCGGGTAAGTCAGCGGAGGAAAATCGGACCATGATAGCAAAGTTTACTTTAACCAAAACCTTTCATTTTTGTAAACAGATTTGTTTTGGATGAAGTAGCCCTTAAACTCATCTCAGTTGTTACATTGTTTACTGTAAAATGTTTGTTAGCATTAGTCCTGCCTCTAAGTTCATAACATCCCCATCACATGGGGACAAACACTGTTCTTTTTGATGGACACTGACCTGGGAGCGGTACTTCTTTGCGTACTTGTAGATTTCAGCCATTGCCACGTTGGTGTTAAATTTATTCCGATATTTCTATCACAAAGAAAATACATGACGTTTGTTTAGAACAGTGCTCCACAATGTTAAACAGGGTGGATTGAATCAACAGACTCTATTACTGTAACAATACATAGAATGGTATCTGGAACAAATCAATAATTCCCTCTGCCCAAAAAAGACATAAAACACATGATTGTTACCGGTCTACAGCCTTGAACATAGGGTTATTCGCTAAACTCTGAAGTATCGCAAATTAAACCTAAAAGAGAATTCTCCAGCACAGCAATAGTCCCAATTTTTTGTCTCCATTTTTACATTCAGATTTAATTTGTGAAAAATCTGAGTTTAGTGAATAACCCTGAATGTTTCACCCTCTGTCCCCCCATAGTGATTGAAAACCTGCCTGTCCGGTGCCCGGAACTATATATTTATATACTATATGGTGAGAGGAATTCCACATCCCTATAAGGTTATTCACTATGATCCTAATGTGACTCCAAAAGGCAAAATCCTTGAATTTGATCCAAAATTACCATTTAAATATTCACAAAAAGGACAACTAGACATGTATTTGGTGAATAGCCTTGAACTTGATAATTTGATAAATAATACATTTTACTATCAAGTACTGACAGAATCCATACAAAACAGATGATTCCGAACATTTATCAAACACCAATTCGTCCCAAACTGCCCTTTAATTTGGTGATATGGATCGTTGAGTTCACCGGCTATTCTCTAGTAAACTTAAAGAGCTGCGTCATGGAAATCTGAACTTGGCTTGTGCAAATCAGAGGGTCATACATTTAGTACATTTCCTCTGAATAATAATTTGTTTACTCTAAAAATAAGCTTAGACCATGACTCCATGTGAGCTATTTCCTGTAGATTGTGAACTTGCTTGGGAAGGGTCCTCTTCAGCTACTGTTCCCGTATGTCATAAATGCTTTGTTAGAATAAATGGTTTGACTTGTTTCTTGTTGTACAGTGCTGTGGAATATGTGGGCGCTACATAAATAATTATAATTGTATGTGTATGCTCTTGCAGTAACACAAGGCACTGGCTATATCATTGTGGATCTGCTGTAGATCTTAGGTTATAGTGAGACAGACGTGCTCAGGGCCCTCCTCACCCGTGACTCCTCTGCAAGGTGTGCGTTCATTTCCTGCTCGCTCAATGGGTTCATTTCCTTAATCTGCCGGTAATATTGCTGAACAATTTTGCGGTATTCTGGTATCTCCTTGGCATAGAGAAGCTTGTTGGTTGGAGAATCCTGAAATATTTGAATGAAAAATGTTTAGCGTTAGAGATTCAGAGAGAAACAAGTATACATTTAGCCGTGTTCGACCAGCCCTGTCTCTTTGTAATTTACATGTGTCTTCTGTTGTAATATTAATTCTACTCCTTTGAAGTTTAGCTCCTTAGGGCAACCAGTACATGTTCTTATCTTAACCTTGGTCACTGAACTCTAGTCACCTTAAAACATTTCCAGCTGTGACTTAGGTTTTCGAGACCCCATAGGGCAACTTTCCCTGTAACGAATAAGTAGAAAACGCTCACCCATGGTGCAGCTTTGTGCATGTATCATTTAAATTATTTATCTCAATCTCAAGAAGATGAAGACAGAGATAGCAGAACAAAATATCAGTGGGAAAAAAATATAATGAGTAAGATATGCCTTTAAGGAAGGTACTTCATTGAAGTTTTGTTTTTGTCCAAATTCCAGACAAGTGACAGATCATCTTTAACCTAGAGGCTTTGTACTCCAATCTGACAAATGTATAAATATTAACCCCTTAGGACCAACATTATAAAAATTTACACACATACTAATAGAAAAGCCTTACATGTCAGGATGGTCCACATTTTCACTCACCAATGGCTATATAGCTATATATATATATATATATATATATATATATATATATATATACACATACACACACACACACACACACCACAAAATAAGTTTTGTAGTATGCACTGATACCTTTTTTATTTTAAATTCTTTATTTTTGATCATTCTATATAAAAGTAAGGATCTTACAATCGTAATATGAAAAAATATACAAAACAATTCCTGTGGCTCGATTTGTCTAGTAATGGGGAAGGAGAATTTAGAATTTTTAAAACAAAAGTGAAACATGGAAAAACGGAGAACATGGACCAGTTAAATATTCCTCTAAGGCAGGGATTCTCAACCCAGTCCTCAGGACCCCCTACCAGTCCAGGATTTGGGGATTACTTTGGTGTGTCTCAGGTCTTTAGAAAAAGGGAAAAAAACACCTTAGACTCTAAGGTGTTTTTTCCCCCTTTTTCTAAACACCTTAGACACACCCAGGTAATCCCTAAACCCTGGACTGGTAGGGGGTCCTGAGGACTAACGTTGAGAACCCCTGCTCTAAGGGAATAGGAGTGGCACAGTAGGTGAAGTTGGACAACTAGATGCACAGGGTTAAGTCCTGCCTTGGGGCAACTTGGAAGTCTGTGAAGAAGCGATGTAGATTTTACTATGCAACTGTTGCAACAGGCAAATGGCCAGTATGCAAGGCCCAAACCAAAATGGTTGAACACAAAAATATGTGTCCAGGTGAGCAGAGTCTTAGAAGTAACTGCGGCTGTCAGTGGTAGGATCTTGGTGGGACTTGGCAGCCCTATCATTGGTAGTTGTGGTAATGGTGCAGTTTAAGATGGCTCAGGTTACCTCACCTGAGCGACACCTTGGTATTGGGTGTTGTGTTGTGCTGAGATGAATTCCACAATCACCAAAGGGTCTAGATTTGCCAGGCCAGAGATTGTCACCTTCGGTGGCTCCGCAAGGCCCAGTGTGTGCACTGATACTTTTTTAGTGGACTAACATAATATTTAAAAGATTGTTGTTTTTTTAAATTTTAAATATTATTAGTCCAATAACAAATGTATTAGTGCATCCTGCAATACTTCAGCATTTTGTCTACTAAACCAATACGGCTAATTCTATCTATCTATCTATCTATCTATCTATCTATCAATGTTATGTGATGCAATATTAATACAAGTTTTAATAATCTAAATGATAGGCCAGGTTCTGGAGGATTAATAACCTTTAATAAAAAGTGGCACACTTAAACCGTGACCTTTTTTCTTTTGCACTACAGTCAGACGTGTGAATAATCTCTCTGTATACATTGCGTCAGGCACCAGGCTGTGTCTACAGGAGACATATACAGGGTTCTGGTGTGACAGCCAACAAAGAATTTGGAGGACGGCCAAGGGGAGTTTAATCAAGGGGAAAGGGCACATCTGAAATAAGAAAGTTAATGTCTTCAGATGTTTTGCTTCCTTACCTTGCCCAGCTGCATGTCCGAGATGGAACAGGCATCAATGAATGCTTGTGCTATAACAGATAGACAGGCGTCCATATGGTCCGACTTTTCCATATCAAACACAAACTCTGGATTCTTCAGGATGTTCACCCAGAAACGCAGCGGAAGACTGCAGACAAATTCATTACAGTTAGAGGGACATTGGCATGGGTTAAGAATTAATTTGAATATTATGTGTCACGTGACTGTATACAAACATATATTTTATTACATGATTCACTTTGAATATTTGCAGTCTGCTGGCTCGGTGTAGGATTATTGTTTTCATTCGGTACCTGACAATTCCCACTAAACACACACAGGCTTGCTCATCATAAAAGTGAGAATTGTTGGGAATCAAAAGTAAATTTCAAATTTAAGGTCAAAGTAGCCAATCTGAAATCACAGCTGAATTAGAGAATCTTTACAGTTCAGATCTTTTTGATCTTACTGTATTTTCTGGCGTATAAGATGACTTTTTAACCCTGGAAAATTTTCTCTAAAGTCGGGGGTCATCTTATACACCGGGTATAGGGTCTATATGGCTGCCGGGGGCGCCCTGCGCCCCCATCGCCGGCCCTTCTAATGCTGCAGCCCCCTGAGCGCTCTATAAAAAGAGCTGAAAGGAAGTGCACACTGAGTGCTCACTTGCTTACAGTCCGGCCGGGAACAGGTAACTGAATCTCCTGTACCGCGCGGTACCCGGCCAGACTGACAGGACGAAGAGGAGCTCGGCCACCCACTCTGCACAGGGAAGGGGAGGTGAGAAGAATGTAAGAGGATTGGGGGGAGGGGGAGTAAAAAGAATGGGGGGGAGTAAAAAGAATGGTGAGGGGAGTAAAAAAAATGGAGGGGGGAGTAAAAAGAATGGAGGGGGGAGTAAAAAAAATGGAGGGGGGATTAAAAAGAATGGAGGGGGGATTAAAAAGAATGGAGGGGGAGTAAAAAAAATATGGAGGGGGGATTAAAAAGAATGGAGGGGGGGAGTAAAAAGAATATATCGCAATTAGCCTCCTGTGTGCTAGACAAGCAGGCATGGATTATATGCCCAAACAGCCTGGCACATACCTGGGCTTTAAATGCTATTTCAGATTATCATTATTTAATGTCTTGCTGTGTAGCTCACTGTACATCATGGCTAATTTTTATTTGGTGTGCATTGGAAGAGGGGTAGTCTTATACGGCGAGTATATCCCAAACTCTATATTTTAACTGGAAAAGTTGGGGGTCGTCTTATACGCCCAGTCGTCTTATACGCCGGAAAATACGGTAATTTTGAAAGCGACTTTTAATTCTACAATAACTTGTTTTTAACAATGACAAACCTGCCCCACGAGTATACATTTAGAGAGGACTACATCTCTTGGAAACTGGGGCAGCTAACTACGTTTCAATCCAGCTTTCACTTGACGCTAATCACCACTGGTGTTTCTTTTGTACCCAATTGAAGAATATTGCAGCTGGGTTGTGTTGTGTGTGGGAATGATGCATATTATTATTATTATTTGATTTTTTTTAATATAGCGCCAGCAAATTCCGTAACGCTGTACAATGGGTATATGAAGTGTACATCATGCAGACTGGCCCGTGATATTCTGCAATGTTGGGAAAAGAGTGAATTCAAACTGCCTGCAGACAAGAAGGAAGATTCTACTTGCAGAACAGAAAATGGATAGGCGTGATAGACAGGAATGGGGCAGATGTTGGGGTTAAAAGTAAAAGGAAGGACCATGAAGAAATAAGATGGAGGAGCTAGACATAAGACACCAAGCAATAAATTGTTGGAGACCTGAGTTATACAAAAGGGGGAAAGGAAGATAAGCACTATTACCATTAAAGATAGTTCTGTCTTTTACCTGTTGGTTTTCCAAATATGAAGAGTGTCTGGGTCAGAAATACCCCGTTTTTCTGCTTGTTCCTCTAGGAAATCAAAAAAGTACTTGATGGCAAGAGGTGGCCGTTCCTCCCGGATGGTCAGTATGGCTCTGAACAGGTCATCCAGGAATTTCTGTAATGTTCCCTATGGGCAAATTAAAATATATACAGCTGAGAAGGGTGACAATCATGTCCTCTGTTTCCATAATGTAATACAGGCACTATGTAATGTTTTTGAACACTTCAGAAACAGGCTGCTTGCACCGACACTGACTTTTTTATGGGAGAACTTGAAGCACAGGGACATGGTGCTGTGCGTTATCTGTGCACACAAGGATGTGGTGGTGCGTGTGATTTGTGCACACAATGGCATGGTGCTGTGTGATCTGTGTACATGGAGACATGGTGCTGTGTTGGATCTGTGTACACTGTGGCATGATGCTGTGTGTGATATGTGCACATAAATGCACAATGCTGATTGTGAGCTGTACACATGAAGACATAGTTTTGCTTGTGAACTGTGCACACAGGGGCATGTTGCTGCTTGTGATCTGTGCACACAGATGCATGTTGCTGCTTGTGATCTGTGCACACAGGGGCATGTTGCTGCTTGTGATCTGTGCACACAGGGGCATGTTGCTGCTTGTGATCTGTGCACACAGGGGCATGTTGCTGCTTGTGATCTGTGCACACAGGGGCATGTTGCTGCTTGTGATCTGTGCACACAGAGGCATGTTGCTGCTTGTGATCTGTGCACACAGGGGCATGTTGCTGCTTGTGATCTGTGCACACGGGGGCATGTTGCTACTTGTGATCTGAGTACACGGGGGCATGTTGCTGCTTGTGATCTGTGCACACGGGGGCATGTTGCTGCTTGTGATCTGTGCACACGGGGGCATGTTGCTGCTTGTGATCTGTGCACACAGGGGCATGTTGCTGCTTGTGATCTGTGCACACAGGGGCATGTTGCTGCTTGTGATCTGTGCACACAGGGGCATGTTGCTGCTTGTGAGCTGTGTACACATGGGCATAGCTCTGCATGTTATCTGATTCTTTTTAAAATCAGTACATACATTGAAATAGTGGTGCAGTCACAAAGAAAGAGGGAATTTTGTCGACAAATTATAGTACCTTTGTAGATAGCAGCCGTGTCAGGTAGATCTCGGGCAGGACCTTTTTCCTGTGACTCTGTCTGTGAGATCTCTTGTTCTCTAATAAGTCATCAGCTGGGAGAACCTTTAAAATGAAAGCAGAGAATTGTAAGTATAACGCAAACTGTTGCGGTAAATGGTACTGCCCTGGAGCATAGTAACTATTTTTGCCTCAATATCTGAAGATTTCAATTCTGTGAGTAGTACATTAGCCACAGCCCAAGTCCATAATCTAATGTAATTTAAGAGAATCAAATAATAATGCTCTTCCAGCAAATGAGCAAGACTTACTGCTGTCATACTGCATCTGGTACATACCAGGAAAAGGCTGAGCAATTTCAGTCAATCCTGGTTCTCATCTTGCTTGGGATTTGCAAATCGACAGCTTGCCTCTTATTTTTGGGAACACATGAATAATGCTGAATAAAAACCAAGAATGATACGTATCCAGCTGGACAGAGTGCACCCTGCTGTATACTGTCTAATGATAACCCTTGGGGGATGTGACCCTGAGAAGTAACTGCCCATCTGTATGCAAAGCCACTACCTAGGTCCTACCTTGTTCTGGGGAGGTGGTGGAGTTCTGTGAATTTTTTTTTTTTTTATTCTTTATTTTTATTGTGCAAAGGGAGGTACAAACATGGCTGCAATGCCACAATAGCGATTACATGCCTTCGCAAAGCTGACAATACTGTGACATGGGATTAAACTGCACACATTTTTTAAATTGTTAGAGTAATGCTGAGTAAGTCAGGTTAGTAAATGCGAGTAATAATAGCAAGAGGTGTGTTTACGAGAAATACATTGACACGACTGACGTAGATTAGTAGCCTGCTGAGTTGCTAAACATTATAATAAGCAAAATGGACAATCTGTCAAAAGACATGAGTAGAGTTGTAGGTTAGAAAGGTACGTATGCTTATCTAACTTATGTATCAGAATAGTGAGGCTAGTGAATTATTTATGGCATTATGTCCATCATTTCTTACACAACATTTCTTCTTAAAGGGGGGAAATTACTGGGAATTCAAAATGAATTCCTAATTTAAGGCCAAAAAAGCCAATCTGGACACAGAATGAACTTGGAGAATTTATCTAATTCAGCTATTTTGGCCTATGTATTGGGAATCACTCTGAATAACCAGGAAGTCTCAGTACTGTTAATAGCCCAGCAAATGTCACTTCAATCTCCAAACATATTCTATTAATCTATAGAACTCAAGCATGAAGTGTTTGCTTTCTACACAAGCTAGCTACTTGCTGCCTAGTGTTGAATCAAAAATAGCAAGAGCCATCTAATGGTTTTAGAAGCTGTAAGTGATTAATACTCCACTTACAGTACCTGAAACAATCAACAGAGATTTGTTGAAAATAGAAAGTCTGTTAATCACTACATCACCAGGTAACAGTCATAAACAAGTGTGTACTCAGTCAAATATAAAGGGACACTATAGTCACCACAAAAACTACAGCTTAATGTAGTTGATCTGGTGTCTACAGTCTGTCCCTGCAGAGAAAACGCAGTGTTTTCATTGCTGGCTAGTTACACCTCTAGTGGCATTCACTCAGAGGGCCACACAACATGTGCAGCACTTACGTTTAGTATCTCCACACTTTGCAATTTCCTATGGGAAAGCATCAGATCGGCTGAGATCATCAAGTTTGATGATTTTAGCCAAGGGGGCAGAGCATGGACGGGCCAGCTGTGACAGGACACTTGCGGTGCTGAAAAAAAGGTGAGTAAAACCCCCTTTTAAACCATAGTTAAGGAGGGCAGGGGGATTAAATGGTTATCTAGACCTCAAGTGTCAGGAATACAAAACACACATAGTGTTCCTTTAAGGATCTTTGCCGTACATAATCTTCACAAATATTTCAACATATACTTTGTGCTATCAGGAAGTACAGATATGGCACAGGCGGCCATATTAAATTTACCCAGGTTTCTTCTGCACCTCACGTGGCATCCTTTCTGATATCTCTCCAAAACCCAAGAAATTCCAGGTCATATCGGAAAGGAAGACACAGAGAAGTTGTATTCAAGATGTCAGGCAACTATAATTACCATATCTGGGAATCTACACCTTTACTGGATAGCACAATGCATAAATCAAAAGAGTTTTATATTAAAAAGTCTCTGTTAAATGGAACCTCTGTTTTCTTATGTTTAAAAAAAGTTCCTTTAAAGACCAGATGCTTATAAGTAATTATTATATATAGACCGTTTTCTTTTATTATTATAGGTTCCGTAATCAGTAAAGTCTTTGGTCTCTTGCAGATTCGCCAAACACCCGCAGAGTAAAATAATGAAATAAATCTGTCCTAGGGCTCTGTGTAAGGGCATCTGCGTTACTGAGAGCTGTACTATGTGACTGTATTGTATACATTCTAATATTTTGTACAGATTTCATTAATATATCTATAGTAAGAAAATACATTATGCTGAGTGCCACTATTTCACAATGCTTCTCCACAGGGACCACAAATTAGGAAGTGTGTTCAAACATATTACACGTGTTCCTTCCATGTTCCTGTTTATTTGGGTAAAAATCTGAACCATCTGACAAGTTGGCAGAGAGTTGGGACTGTGAGATTCCACGCTCTGCTCTGTAAAATAGCAAGTAACCCGCAACATTCCTTCCATGACCCCAGAATCCCTTGCTCTGTGCGGATTGTTATCAGAAGCTGGGGAAAAGCTCTGTTTTTAATTAGATTGAATCCTGTAACATTATCTCACCCCAGCCAAGTCTACTCACATTCATTTTCGATAAATATAGATCTATTCTCCTCTCTCTTCCTTAAATGTTTTTTCTATTATTAGGCTTTGTGGATTTCTCTTGCTCTTTGTGTACCCTAGACCCATCTGTACTTCCAATATAGAATGCGCCTCTCACAAACAATGGCTGCATTAAGCTCATATTTATATAATGCCATCTGTGTTACTGACTTCTCAACACTGGTATTTTAAGAGTTAAACATATTGTGTTAAGCAAACACATTAACCCAGATATAAATAGTGAACCTTAGATATGTCTGAAGGATACTTGTATTTTACATCTTCTTCAAAAAGCATAATTTAAGATATGATCACATCATTATTAATTTCACCAATTCTGTAAAGAATAATATAAATATTTTATTTTTAGCTTTTAAAGGGGCACTCTAAACACCAAAACAACTTAAGTTTGGAGAAGTGGTTTTGGTGTATAGATCATGCCTCTACAGTCTCACTGCTCAATTCTCTGTCATTTAGGAGCTTATTCACTTTGTTCATGGAGCCCTAGCCATGCCTCCCCTGGCTGTGACATAGAAATATAGAATGTGACGGCAGATAAGAACCATTCGGCACATCTAGTCTGCCCAATTTTCTAAATACTTTCATTAGTCCCTGGCCTTATCTTATAGTTAGGATAGCCTTATGCTTAAACTCATTTACTGTGTTAACCTCTACCACTTCAGCTGGAAGGCTATTCCATGCATCCACTACCCTCTCAGTAAAGTAATACTTCCTGATATTATTTTTAAACCTTTGTCCCTCTAATTTAAGACTATGTCCTCTTGTTGTGGTAGTTTTTCTTCTTTTAAATATAGTCTCCTCCTTTACTGTGTTGATTCCCTTTATATATTTAAATGTTTCTATCATATCCCCCCTGTCTCGTCTTTCCTCCAAGCTATACATGTTAAGATCCTTTAACCTTTCCTGGTAGGTTTTATCCTGTAATCCATGAACCAGTTTAGTAGCCCTTCTCTGAACCCTCTCTAAGGTATCAATATCCTTCTGAAGATACGGTCTCCAGTACTGTGTACAATACTCCAAGTGAGTCTCACCAGTGTTCTGTACAATGGCATGAGCACTTCCCTCTTTCTACTGCTAATACCTCTCCCTATACAACCAAGCATTCTGCTAGCATTTCCTGCTGCTCTATTACATTGTCTGCCTACCTTTAAGTCATCAGAAATAATCACCCCTAAATCCCTTTCCTCCCTTGACTCACACAAGCTTCTTTTATTGCACAGTGAGGTTAGGAGTTCTTATCTCCTGCTGTATTATAGGCCTGCTAGAGTCTACAACAGTCTCCAGTTTGGGTTTACAGTTCATTTAACAGAGATACTGTGCTGTACGATCTGATTGCAAATGAAACCCTTTTCATGCAGGCTGTGTGAGCCACAGTCAGGGGAGATGTGTTTAGGGCTGCATAAATAAAGTGATTTAACTTTAACATAATGCAAGACAATTGATCAGTCAGATGGCATGTGGATTAGGTATACACCAAAACCACTTAATTAAGCAAAAGTTGTTTTGAGAGATTCCTTTTAATTGTGTCCAAATTGCAAAACTTCTTAAAAAAACAAAACGTTTTACTTACTAAGTGAAAATATTTGTCTGTGTCCAGATCCTTCACTGCAAAACAAAAAGACGCAAGATGTCAAATTAATTTTCATAAGAGAGTTTGTAAAATTTCTACGGAGCATTTTAAGGGGTCAGACTGAACCTCATCAGAGCTACATTTTCCAGCCTGAATGCATATAGCCATATATATATATATATATATATATAAAAATTATCTTTAAACGGCGCTCAAAAGGAGACTTTGGTGTTAGACCATTTGTGAACTGTTTAACCCCTAAAGGTGAGCCTGTGCCAGGGACCACCCGGCATCATAACTTCATTCCTATTAGGTTGTTATGGTGCCTGGAGGTTCCGGTTGATAACATACACAAACCTAGATTATGGTCATCTAGGCTGTCGACTCACATACTTAGCCTACTCATTATTTCATTTATTAGAGCTCTCATTATTTAACAAGCACAGTTTATATTTTTTATTTTATTTCATTGCTATAAATGCATGTTTATTCTATGCCATTCCAATGCTAATTATGCATGTCTATTCCTAAAATGAGTGACAACCCCCCCCCCGTACATTCTGTTTACCCCGTCTCCTTTCTCCAGAGGAAAATACCTGCCACATGTATTAAGATAAACCTTTTGTGGTCCGTTACAAGTTATACACAGTACCTCATACAGTCGGAGAGCAATAAGTGATTATGGCCATGTGTGATATACCCAGCTAGTTGGTGATGACACTTTCTCTACTCACAAGTTTAGATGATTTAATGTAATATCCAAACCCATACCTGTATTAAACAAAGGGTAACTAAAGCCATTCTGATCAACTGTTAACGTTCCCTTTACTTACCTCTGCCCAATGTGTTATCCCGTTTGTCCTTCAAACTCATGGCCAGGTAGGCTCCATCACACACCTGATGGAACAAGAAATATAAAGTTCACATATTTAACCCCTTAAGGACCAAACTTCAGGAATAAAAGGGAATCATGACATGTCACGTGTCCTTAAGGGGTTAAACACGTACCACTGAGCTTAAGATAAGTTTGATACAATAAACAGTGCTTGCAGTGTATTTTATGTCTGGCTCTAACATAGGCTTTTCCATGAACATTTAGCATGACAAAAAAACTGAATTAGCTGATAAATCTAACTAGCTAGTTAGCAAATGCTGCTACAGGTGAAGGTTTTAAGAGTTACTTTTAGCAGACTCAGCCTTGCTGCTGTTACCTTGTAATGTGCTAGTGTGTTGAGTTTCTTCTTTCCATCCTCCATGAGAGACGTATCATCCAGATTGCGCAGGATCAAGCTCTTGGAACTGGAAGGGAACCATTCTATGGAAAGAGCAGAAATGTTGAAAGGGAACCACTAACATGAGACCATTAATAAAGAGGAGGGATTACACGCAATACAATTTTAATAGGTTGCATTTTTATTGCATCATCTCCATAACACATTCAAAATAGTTATGGTCTCTCTTTAAAGGGATAACATTACTTTACTGTAATAACCATGGAATAACAAATAACACATTATGTAAATTAAAGGGACACTCCACGCCCATAAAGTACTTTAGCTTGTTAAAGTGCTTTATGTGTGAAGAGTGTGTCCTCTTTGTTTCATTTTACAAAAAGTGCAGCTTTCAATAGAAATTTACACTTTTTAAAACTCTACATTGTCACACCCTCCTGGCAGTCAATAAGGCGACAGGTCCTATTACTTCCTAGTTAGGTTAGATCAGTGGAGCTAAACGCAAGAGTCAGCAATAGCCCAGAGCACCTGCTTTACAAAGACTTTTCATTAAGCTGCTTTGAGATGTCTGTGATTAGACAGCTTGAAAACCAGAAGATAGTCCAGGCACTCAAAGTTTAATAAGCAGGTTTATTGGAAGACTGTACAGCAAAGTTTTGACCCCAAAGGGTCTTTGTCAACCATTACTGTCCCTTCCAGATAAATATTTTAAGAGGGCCGATTGTTGTCAGTGACACCCAAGAAGCTGCCAATTGCATCCTGGTTAAATTGTTACTCATACCTAGATCCACATCCTCTACTCGTGGCCACTGGGAGAAAGGCAGGTTCTTGCAGAAAGCTTCCAGAATTTTTTCCTTGGCCTGACTCACTGTGTCTGTGTCGAGTACGCGCACTGTCAAGGAATCCATGCCACAACCCTGGAAGGACACGTTGAGATTCTGCCACAGAAGAAGACGAGAGAGAGGGTGAAACATTGGCAAGAAATAATAATAGTTATAATAATAAGTTAATAGGCTTGAAACCACCAGCCAACCGCCACAGCGGCTTTCAGGTTATAGGGGATGATTTTATCTCTCATTGGATAAAACGTTACGTAAATCACTTTGGCCATGTTTTCCCACAGAGCACTGGAAGTGCCTGGCATGTTGTATAGTGCACTTTCCTTGATTACTGTATACTGAGTAATAGAATGTGTTGAATTGCATACCAAGTATAGGTGTCTAAATTCCAAATAATCTTTTTTTTCTGCATATTGTTTCTCGCAAAACAATAAAACCTTACTGAACATAAATACCAACCCTTTATCACGACTTAAAAGTGTATTACGGTGGCAAGATGCAATGTATTATTAAGTTCATTGCATATATTGTTTAAGCCAAAGGCTGGTCTTACAAAAAAACACAAACACCTTATGTGCACATTATACCATCTCATATTTAATAAGCCCAAGCCTTTATGTTCATTTTATTGCATAGATTTTTTAGGTGCATCTGAACATCTAGGAGGAGAGAGGAATTTACAGGGTTATGCGCTAAAGTTAGAATTCAAGGTGAATTCAAAGTGATTTTCAAATTTAAGGTCTGTGTTTTCAGTTCGGCTACTCTGGCTTGAAACTTGAAATTCTCTTTGAATTCACGTTGAATTCTCACCTTAGTAAATAACCCTGTAAATGTTGATCTCTATCCCATATTAATCTGTTTGCCTGTCTAAGTAGCATGCAGGCTGCATAGGTAAAAACATGACTATTTGGTGGGATGGAAAAGAATAAGCAGGAGAGGTAAGACTGTCACTGAGCTCTACAGTAAATGTTCGTTTATATATCTGAATCAAGGAGCAAAAACTTATTTGAAAACCTTTTTTTGTTGTTGTTAAAGACAAGCAAGACATAGAAATACATTGTGTCATCAACCTCTAGAGAGTTCTAGCTGTTTGCTATTTTTGCTTGATGCAATATGAACATTCTGATTCCTGCAATACTATGTTGACTATTGTTTGCAATAGCCTGAACTTTTCATCTATGCCACATAGGAGACCTGCAAATCTCACTTGTTTAATGTTATATTTGACTTTTGAGATACCTGCATGTGCCAACTTTCTCGATTGAGTTGGCAGAGTTTTGAAAAACTATTTCAATAAACAGAAATTTCCAAAAAAAGAAATACATTGTGTCCAACATAAGTATAGACGGAGGATGGTACAATAGCTACTCAACGATCTGAGAAGGAGAAAGGGTGTCTTACACCATACATGACTTATACTTTCATTACATGTATCTCATTTATCTTTAGTGTCCAGTCTAGCCGTGCATGATGTCTGCCAGAGCTTGCTATATATATATATAGCCATATAACAGCTCTCCAGTAAAACCATATAACATTAGATTATTTATAGAAGATCTGAGATCCTTCACATCTTGCAACAGCCAATAGGAGGCTTGCTGCCCCCTTTTATGTATGGAAAGGAATCTAATAACGCACAGGCTGAGGTGTGTTTATGCACTGTTGTATTTATAGGGCTGATGTGTGTTTATGTATCTTTATATATATATATATATATATATATATATATATATGGCTATGTTTATGCTCCTAGTAATGTGTGTTTGTTTTAGCTAGCATTAAACGGCCTAATGTGTTACCATTGCAATACAGGTTAACAGGTTTATTAAATTATAGACATATTATCTGATGGCGAAGGGAGCCCGTGGCTGATACAATCTTTGCTGGCAGCAGGAGAGGTCAGAGGGGGACGTAATGAGTTTATATGAGACTGACAGCTCTAAATAAACATCACATAACATCCAGGGGAATAATAATATTACCCAATGAACAAAAGCTTAGAGTCTACTGTTCCAGACATGACACAATCACATCTTTGGTACTTTTAGACCTGCAGTGTTAAAATGGGACACAGGAGCGGACTGTGGCTTAAAGTACCACATTTACCCCTGTACGTAGGTGTCCTTAGAAAGTAAATAACTACCCGCTTTAGTCACAATCTATAACTTGTGTCTCCCAGACACGGCCATAGCAGAGCTTGATCACAGATTAATATATTTTAGCAAAAAACATGCTTTTTGCTCTTCCATACAGGAAATTCTCAAGAAACCATGCTCTGACTCCTGTGCACATATTTTATTTATTCACCTAGATAAGTCGACTGTTGACATTGTTATAATAAGATAATAAACAACATATTATTTGCACATTAAACCATCTCATATTTAATAAGCCATGGCAGCCCATGTGTGTTGCACAGATTAAGGCTTTGTCATTAGTCAGACCAGTGATGGGTGGCAGTGATAGGGTGAGAGTGGTCAGCTAATGCTCCCAACCAATCAAAGCCACCTGTTGCTGGTATGAAATGGTTTTGCTTAGATGGAGTGTTTTTTTTCACCTTAGCCATAACTCCAGTGGCAACAGGGATGCAGACAGCCAAAGACCCCCACTACGTGGAATGGAGCCATGGGACTCTGTTTAATTAAAGGAAGTTGTCACAGTGCCAAGTGTCGCTTAAAAAGAGTAATGTTTTATAATTCAGGAAATTTGCTACCAAGCTATCTCTAGGTGGTATCTTTTTCAGGCAGAGTTTCGTCTCGTTATCTGTGCTGCTTCTCTTTGTTTTTGGGACTGTGAATAGCAAAGGAACTACATTCACCTCTAAATGTACGTGTAGCCCCCCCTCCCAAAGTTTCCACTGCTGCCATATTGATAATACCCCAATAATGGGAAAAATGTGGTCCTTTCATGCCCAATAATAAAAAATATTGCATTTAGTAGCTATGGGAAAAAAATGTCTTTAACGTGGAATGACTCATCTGAAATGCTCTAACTTTGGACACCCTGGCTCGATGAATGCCATCTCACTACCTGACACGTCAGCCTACTTTTCCCTTGATATGCTTGTATTTATTTAAAAATCCTTAATTCTCCCGTGTCCTTCCTTTTTTCTTGGAATGAAACAGTTCCTTACATTGTCTTTTAAGTATACTTTATAGCCGAGCATCAGAAAATGCAGGTTAGAATGCCCTTGTTCTCATGTACAGCTGTGCATTGAAACATGTATGTCCTTGAACTAATTTATCGAGTCACTCTTTCTGTTCTGTCATTATTTTTTGTACTTTTTATAATTTGTAATTTTTTTTACAATTAAAGTTTATAATAAATAACACTTTAATTCTAAAAAACAAACAAACAAGAGTGATGTTCACAAGTTAACTTTACGTATACAAGAAACACATTTAGAAAACCTGAAATTCATTTGTTAAGTTATGAATCCAGGCTACATAAATTTACCTGCATTTTACAATACTGGACCCCCGATTCATGATCGTTTGGCATTGACCCCTTTCTTAAACCACGGCATGGAGGAAGGAATTGGAGTCAGGATGAAAGGGGGGGATACAATCCCCAATTTACATCAATTAATTATATCATTTATACAATCACTGTTTGGTCCTTTACTCTGTGCTTTTGTTAAAAGCATTTTGTATTGGAAACCGTAACAGGCAGCCTTATGACAAGGGGTTAAATGTAAGACACGAGTTCCTGTGTGTGTTCCTGTCTAGGTTTATATAACCCACCCAAGTGACAGCATCTCCAGTTACACCCTGTAGGTCCACATAGGAAATGAGCCTGTTTTCTGCAGTTTGTAACACCTCTCCTTCTGAGACAGGGACAATAAATCACAGAGCTCCAGAGGGAAAAGAGCTCCATCCATCTAATCCATCAGACACAGCATGGAAAGGGGCTTGCGAGTTAAACCTTTCCACTGGAATGTATGTCTATTTATAGAAAGTGAAAATAAGGTGGTAAAAGCACAATCTACAGGTCCGTTACCATGTATGCTTCTCACAGTGTCCATACTGCTGGAGATTGTAGAGATACATTAATGAGACCAATCTAAATTCTTCAAACTACGATTCCATTGAGCCCTAGCCATGTTATCATATGAGGGCCCCATCCTTACACTTAAATAGTTATTTGCATATCCTCATCAACTTCATCACTGGCAATAAACACTGAAGGGAATTGCAAAGCTTAGTGTGATACACACTCTGAAGACCTATCTATAACGTAAAAAGGAATTCATAGCACAGAGAAACCAGTTTGGTCTACAGCTATTGGACAGAGATAGTCTCTCTCTGACAAACATGACCTTGGGACTAAACACACACACACTGATCACCGTTTTGAATAAATACTGTTAGAAACAAAATTCCCAACACCTGTTGAATAATGTTGCTAAGCTAGGGCTCACATGATATGTCATCCTTGACAGAGACCTTTCAACTCATAGGTCAACAAGCTGTGTCCCACCATCCCAACCGCCAAATCCCAGCGTGATTACTCACCATAGGCTTGGCCTCAATGTTCTCCCTAAGAAGCCACTCCTCGTTCAGCGTGTATCTTGCCTTCCCAGTGATAGCGTCAATGGAACCCTTGTTGATCTGCTGTTTTATGGCGCAGAGTAGAAGAAAGAATGGCTCCCCCACTGTCTCCTGTCAAAACAAATGGCTTGTTACTCATAGAGAAGCTCAGGGCTATTATTACCAATCCCCTCCTGCCCCCCTCCCCCAATAATTTGGGCATTGCATTTTATGCTATTTTTCATTTTCGCTTATTTCATTTTTGACCATATTAAAGTTTATGACACATTGATGATAAGCAGTTATAAATATGATACAAACACAACAGAGAAATGGTGGATTGGTGCTTAACACCAAAGAACAGGCAACTACCTCCAGTGCCCAAAATCACTAAATGGCACTCAGATACAAAGTGAGAGAAATAGGTACAAGGGGGGTGCAAAGAAGATATACAATACGTTGCTGTATACTTAGTATAGTGAGTTGAACACCTCCTGATCTTCTTATAATAGAAACATAAACATATGCATAGTATAATACTGTAACACAAGGAAAAAATGATCAATTTTGAAGGTATTGGGTCACTCACAATATGCAGAGCCACATAAAGCTGGCTCTGACTTCAATGGCAGGTGAATAATAAGCTTATTCTGGCCTTTAGATTCCTAAACAGGATAGCTCCTTTCCAGCCCCTCAATGAATTCCAGGATATCCAATATGGTGAAAAGGAATGAAACTTTACTGGATAAAATAATAATGGAGACAAAAATAAGCTTAAAATAACATAAAATAAATAGTCCACAACATAGTGTTGTGGATTATTTATTTTATGTTATTTTAAGCTTATTTTTGTCTCCAGTATTATTTTATCCAGTAAAGTTTCATTCCTTTTCACCATATTGGTTATCCTGGAATTCATTGAGGGGCTGGAAAGGAGCTATCCTGTTTAGGAATCTAAAGGCCAGAATAAGCTTATTATTCACCTGCCATTGAAGTCAGAGCCAGCTTTATGTGGCTCTGCATATTGTGAGTGACCCAATACCTTCAAAATTGATCATTTTTTCCTTGTGTTACAGTATTATACTATGCATATGTTTATGTTTCTATTATAGGAAGATCAGGAGGTGTTCAACTCACTATACTAAGTATACAGCAAAGTATTGTATATCTTCTTTGCACCCCCTTATACTTATTTCTCTCAAGTTATAAATATGAGATTATATTGTTGTATCTTTGAATGTTACATTTTGTACAGGTAGTTATAGTAGTGATCTTTCATTTATCAATTCGATTGTCACAATAGCTGCATCACTAAGACATTTGATCCTTAAAGTTCTCTATTTTTGTAAATTTTAGATGAAATATTTGGATAACTTCTCCACTCACGATGTGACATTAAATACTTTGATAAAAACCTTTGGCAGTATTTTGTATATTAGATGTAATAATACAATTTGGTCTACCTGCCAGGGAACATATCACTAAATAATACTCTTTTCAAATTATTTTATTAAACAATTCTCTTGATCTTCCTTGGAGTCTCATGGATTGAAAGTAAATTTTTGTTCTCTGGTGAGGGTTGATGGTTGAAATGTGTTGCTATGTCCACTCTACCCCTGACTTCTATTACACGGAGAACCTCTACAGCTTTAGCTTTATAAAATCTACTTTATCCCACCCCACACAATTTTTGGTTACCAATGCCATCCCTTTTTTCTTCAGAATCACTCATACTGCTCTGTTCAAGGCTCCTGAATTAGTATTATTTGTAGACTGGCTCATGCTACACAGCAGGAGTAGCCAACACATATTTCTCCACTTGTTGTGAACTACAACTTCCAAGATGCTTTGCCAATTTGAGCATCACATTAGACATAGTTCCACAACATCTGAAGAGTTACTAGCTGGATACCCCTGCCGTGGGGCTTATATCCTAAATTAATGATTGGAGATATAAATCACTTTACAGTAGTGTTACATTCAGAAAACCCTTCCCCGATCTTCTCCCTCCCGAAAATAATTCAAGATCCTGACATGTTAAAACCCATTTGATTCAAGAATTGATCACAAAGGTTGAATCCATTGAAAAGTTGGAAACCTGTCTGCCATGAACTTCATTTATATAAAAATCACTATTTCCTGAAGATGTCTGTCAATAACAAGTCTAAGCTGTCAGGCAAAGCCATGGGGACTCAGATCATTTTATCTACACTAGCCCTACCCTCATGTATTCATCTAAGTAACTATGTATTAACTCGCTCCCATTATATGTGCGAACAGCCTGACCACACAGTTACTTATTTATTAATATAATCCGTGCTTGTTTCTCTCACTACTCTATCGGATTCTATTCACCTTGACTATGTCGGTCCATTAACCATATCAGCATCCTAGAGATTTGCCATGCCAGACCCTCATCTATTTTTATTTTGGCTAAAAGGCTATTTTTACAGTGTTTTGCCCAAGTGCAAATCTGTACTACTATATAGGAATTCAATAAAAGTTCATTAAAAGTATCCAACGATTTAATTGCTGCTAAATCTCGCGGCCAATACTCTATCCTAATCCTCCTTGATCTTTCTGCCGCCTTTGACACTGTTGATCATCAACAGCTTCTTCACATTCTCCGTAACTTTGGTCTACAGGATACTGCTCTCTCCTGGTGCTCCTCCTACCTCTCCCAGCGCTCTTTCAGTGTTTCTTTCTCTGGCTCTGCCTCTTCTCTCCAACCCCTCGCTGTCGGCGTCCCCCAAGGTTCTGTCCTTGGTCCCCTACTGTTCTCCATCTATACTGCCTCCCTTGGTAAACGCATCAGCTCCTTTGGCTTCCAATATCATTTATATGCAGATGACACGCAAATCTACCTGTCCTCCCCTGATCTCTCTCCACACACCTTGACTGGTGTCTCTGACTGCCTCTCTGCTATTTCCAACTGGATGGCTGCTCACTTCCTTAAACTCAACCTGTCCAAAACAGAACTTCTAGTTTTTCCTCCCTTAAGTGCTGCTACTCCTGTGTCTGTCTCCCTCCAAGTCAACGGCGCTACCATCACCTCTACCTCCCAGGCTCGCTGCCTAGGGGTTCTTTTTGATTCTGACCTCTCCTTCACCACTCATGTCCAGTTGATAGCCAAATCCTGTTGCTTCCAACTCAAGAACATGGCGCGCATCCGCCCACATCTAACGCCGGACGAGGCTAAGGTACTGGTTCATGCTGTTGTTCTCTCTCGCCTTGACTATTGCAATCCCCTTCTGTGATGTATGGGCGGTTGGGTTGTGTATGTGTGTGAGTGTATGTATTGTGATGTATGGGCATTGGGCAGTTGGGCTGTTGTTGGCTGTGAATGATGCACTTCCTTTCTTTTGGTTATTTACTTCCTGTTCCTGTGGGCAGTTGGTGGAATGTTCGAGGGATTTGAAACCCTGTGTAACAAGGCTGCAATAGGAAGATGCTGTTATATATGTATCAATAAAGTGAGTGCTTTGTTATACAGGAATTAGTGACGGATTTGTACAAAACATCACAGTGGCGACGAGGCTGTAGAACCCTAACTGACATGGCAGCCATTGGCACTATAAAGGACTTTGATCCTGACTCGGATTTATGGGCCTCTTGGGTTGAAAGGCTTGAACAATATTTCACAGCTAATGATATTCCTGACAATAAACAGGTCGCTGTTTTCCTAACAGTTATAGGAGCCAGAACGTATGATACGCTAAGGAGCCTCTTACACCCAGAGAAACCTGCCTGCAAGCCATTGGCAAGCCTGATTACTTTGTTAACTAGCCATTTCCAACCAAAACCACTAGAGATAGCAGAGAGATTTAAATTCTATAAAAGACGACAAGAGCCTGGTGAATCAGTTTCAGCATATGCCATTGCGTTACGGAAACTCACCAGCACCTGCTGTTTTGGGGACTACCTGCCCACTGCTCTGCGAGACCAGTTTGTAATGGGCATTGCAAGTGATGCAGTGCTAAGGAGACTGCTTACAGAAGAAGATTTAACATTTAAAAGGGCAATGAATGAGGCAAGCATTATAGAACAAGCCTCTAAGGATGCTAATCTATTACACAGCAGACTGGACAACACACAGGAGGCAGAGCTAGACGTTTTAAAATTAGACGCTAGAGCACGGAGTATACCACAGGGAAAGAGACTTTCAAAACAGGAACATTCACATTACAAATGTTATCGCTGCGGAGCTGCTACACATGTTGCAACTACATGCAGATTCAAGGATGCCAAGTGTCATACTTGTGGTAAAATGGGCCACCTACAAAGAGTGTGTAAATCCACAGCAGAGAGAGGCAGTAATCGCTTGAGAGACAGAGCAAAGAATGCCTATAGAGTACAAACGCAGGAGTCTTCTGAGGATTCGGATGAACAAATTCCTGTCCGAAATGTAAAAATATATAAAATAGGTTCTAATCTGGCTGCATTCACAGTTCAGGTTGTTGTAAATGGAAAGGAACTGACTATGGATTTGGACACAGGTGCAGCTGTATCAGTGATTTCTTTGACAGACTGGAAACGCCTTAAAATACATAGGCCAATAATTCAGACAACAGCGAGACTGCAGACATATTCTAAAGATCTGTTAATACCAGTGGGTTGTGTGACAGTCACAGTTACATTCAACAAGTGTAAGAAGAAACTACCTCTCTATATCTTAGAGAATGGAGGACCTCCACTTTTTGGTAGGGAGTGGATAAAGGTTCTCGGGATGCCTCAAGTGCATAAGTATCCATGTCGTGTTGAATGAATATCAGACTAGACGTGACTGGATTATGGAATTACAGGAAAAGTATGCACCAGTGTTTGATGGCCAATTAGGGACTGTAAAGGGACAACAAGTTTCCTTAGAATTAAAGGAAGGAGCAACACCGAAATTTTTTAAAGCAAGAAGTGTGCCTTTTGCTCTAAGGGCTGGAGTGGAGGCAGAATTGAGGAGATTAGAGGAGCTGAATATCATCTCCCGGGTTCACAATAGCGAGTGGGCTTCACCCATTGTTCCTGTGAGAAAATGGGGGATACGGATTTGTGGGGATTTCCGCATGGCTCTTAACACACAGCTTAAAATAGATAAGTATCCCCTTCCTAAGGTAGATGATATTTTTGCATCATTGGCAGGTGGCCAGCAATTCACCAAAATTGACTTGAAAAATGGATACCTACAGTTATCTGTACATCCAGATTCTCGACCACTACTTACGATTAATACCCATCAGGGGATATTCAGGTATAACGTATGGTTTTTGGCATTTCGCCTGCACCAGCTATCTGGCAGCGAACAATGGACAAGCTGTTAGCTGGAGTTCCTGGGACACAGTGCCTGTTAGATGACATGCTGGTGACGGGTAAATAGGAGGAGGAACATAAACAGAATGTAGAGGCAGTTTTGCAAAGACTTATGGAATATGGAGTGAATTTGGATAAATGCCAATTCATGCAGGATCGTCTTGAATTTTGTGCTCATGTAATTGACAAACATGGGCTGCATACAACAGATGAGAAGTGCAAGGCATTACAGGATGCTCCAACTCCACAAGATATGACACAACTAAGATCCTATCTTGGCCTGTTAAATTATTACAACCGTTTTTTGCCAAATTTAGCTCATGTCCTGTACCCTTTACATCGTCTTCTAGAGAGTAAACGACAATGGCGCTGGACAGTAGAATGTGCTTCAGCTTTCCATAAGTCAAAAGAACTATTTCGTAGTTCACGTCTTTTAGTACACTACAACTTGGAAAAGCCTGTTTCCATTGCTTGTGATGCATCACCTTACAGACTAGCAGCAGTCCTGTCTCATTCCATGGCTGATGGGACAGACAGGCCAGTGGCTTTTGCCTCTAGATCGCTCACAGCTGCAGAAAAAAACCTATTCTCAAATAGATAAAGAGGCTCTGGCAATAGTATGGGCAGTAAAGAAATTCCATCTTTATATATATGGTCGACCCTTCACACTGCTTACGGACCATAAACCTTTATTGAAATTTTTAACCCACAGAAAGGTATTTCAATCACGATAGCAGCAAGACTTCAGAGGTATGCCTTAACTCTGGGGGCTTATCAGTATTGGATACAATATCGTCCAAACGCTCTGCATTCTATTGCGGATGCATTCTCTAGACTTCCATTGAAAATGGATTCACAATTAACTACCACAGAAAGATCTACAATATATTTTAGTGAGGTGATAACAGCCAGAGAAATTGCACAGGAGACAACCAAGGACTCTTTGCTGAGGGAAATACTTATTTTTGTACGCAAGGGTTGGCCACTAAAGACTCCAATAAATCTCAAGTCATTCCAAAGAAGAGCTCAGGAGTTATCAATTCGAGATGGCTGCTTAGTCTGGGGAGAAAGGGTGATTATTCCTTTTGTGTTACAACATCATCCTGGCATAGTCCACATGAAGCAGAAGGCAAGAGGTCATGTATGGTGGACAACCATTGATGAGGATATTGCCCGTTATGTTTCAGGTTGCACTGGTTGTGCGTGACTTGTCACTTGATGCCGTACAACCTTGGACCTGGCCTCTATCACCATGGCAGAGAATTCACATAGACTTTGCTGGACCAGTGGAAAATAAAATGTATCTGATTGTGGGAGATGCACATTCTAAATGGCCAGAAGTTCTATTCATGTCGCAGACCACTGCAGAAGCTACTGTTAAAGCATTACAGAAATTATTTGCAACATTTGGCTTGCCCAGAGTGCTTGTTTCAGATAATGGACCGCAGTTTGTTTCTGGACAATTTCAGGCTTTTCTCAAGGAAAACGGTATTCAGCATCATCATACAGCACTGTATTATCCTGCTACTATTGGTCAATCAGAACGTTTTGTTCAAACGTTAAAGGGTTTTCTGAGAAGTCTGAAAGCAGAAGGAAAGAAACCAGAACATCTGTACTGTAGTTCCTTCTACAGTATCGAAATACACCTCATCCAACCACTGGACAACCTCCAGCATGCCTTATGTTAGACCGTGAACTCAGGACAAAGTTGGATCTGCTAAAAACAGAGATTCAACAAAGGGTCATCCAGCAACAATCGAAGATGCAAGTCGGAAAAGCAGGCCGTTTTTACCAGACAGGGGATTCTGTTTGGATATGTGTATATCACCTGGAGAATTGTTGGAAAGAAGCAGTGATAAAGGAAGTTCTGGGGCTGGCGCACTATAAAGTTTTAACCTCTGATGGATGTTACACATGGAGACATACAAATCAACTTCGACCACGTATAACAGACAACCTATCAGTGGGAAGGGCCACTCATACAACCAGACACTGATATCTGGCAAGGAGTTTGGCATGATGACATTTCTGAAGTCTGCAATACACCTGGTACAGAGGCTCATGATGTAATAGGGGATGATTTGGAGGAAATACCCCATGAAACTCAGGAACAAGAACTGCCAAGCCACAGTTCAAGTAACCATGAAGGCTGTGGTCATGAAAATACTGGCCATTCAACAAGAGAGAGAAGGGAAACATCACACCTTCTCACCGATCTTACATGTTCCCAGCTATTCCCAATCTATAATGAATGCGGCTGCGAGGGTTATTTTCCTGTCTGGTCGCACCTCCCACGCCTCCACGCTCTGTCAGTCCCTGCATTGGCTTCCAGTTAGATATAGGGCCCAATTCAAAATTCTGGCGCTTGCCTTACATAATGCTGCTCCAACATACTTATCCTCCCTCATACACAAGTATGTCCCGAGACCCCTGCGCTCAGCCCAAGACCTACGCCTATCCTCTGCCCGGATCTCCACCTCTGATGCTCGCCTTCAAGACTTCTCCAGGGCTGCACCTGTTCTGTGGAACTCCCTTCCCTCCTCAATCAGACTTTCACCCAGCCTCCACTCCTTCAAAAAATCTTTGAAAACTCACTTCTTCATTAAAGCGTATCAATTAAACTGTCAGCAGATTTCTCATCCCCCACCCCATGACTCCTTTCCTACAACTGTCAAAAATGACCTACCAAGCACTCAATAAACCCATCTCTAACAAACTATTTAATTCCCCTACTTTAACCCTTTGTGTCACCATACCCCACTCCCTCTAGCATTTAAGCTCATCGAGCAGGGTCCTCAACCCCCTCTGTTCCTGTACGTCCAGTGGTCTGATCTCAATTATGTGTCTGTTAGTCCACCCATTGTACAGCGCTACGGAATTTGTTGGCACTATATAAATAATAAAATAATAATAATAATTTAAAAAAATACAATGGGACGGCACAGTAAGAGCGAATAGAAATGTTGAAGAAGAAAGCAAAGAGTTGCATTGCTTATTATGGGGCCCTACAGCACACATTCTGCATGACCCACCGCCCCCCTTCCACCCTCAGTAAAAGCAGGTTTGCATCTGAAAACATAGCCCTCAGTCCCCACTTGTATTTTTTGCTGAAATCCCCAGTTAATTAGATTATGGTTTGTTTAGAGAATGTAATTGACTGGAGCTAATCAATTCCAGGCCACTTTGTGATGCCTCTTGTAACAGCACAGGGTCACTAGCAGTGTCCCTGTTCTTATGACACGACCTGTGACCTTTCACCATGTGACTCTCAGTGTCCAGGTTATAAATCAAACATTCACTTTTATTATTGGTTCTGGGTAATAGCTCTTTGCAATGAAATGCAGGATGGCTGATGGAAAAATAACATTTGCTAATAAGGTTCTCCTCAAGGTGACAGCTTTACATTCCTCTTTAACCAGTTGATGAATTTGGCAAAGAAGGCAGCGGCCATTGGAGCCATGCAGTACACAGATATATGTCCAATATCTGAATGGGTGCAACTGGTCACTCTAATGTAAAGAGCATCCATCATGTAATGCTGTGCCAAGTTTGAGAGTTATGGATTTGAAATCCTTGCATTTTAGGACAGTTTCTCGATAGAAGCAAATTATCTGCCATTTGGTAGTGAACATAGCAACACCTTCTGTAGAAGAAAGCACACATTCTCAGTATTTTGGCAACATTAAAATAGGTCATGAGATATCTCATTGACCAGCTGAACTATTTCTAAACCCTCTTCAAACCTAAATGTTTCATAGTTTAATCCCAGGAGGGTCAACTCAACCTCTCATATTCTCAATACTGAAAAAATTACCACAATTGAGAGGGGTTATGCCATTTATCTCTCAGGACACACTCAGAAACAAAACAGCCTTCCTGATATTTACATCATCTAAGGCAATGCTGTAGATGTGCTGTTTCTCAAATCCACTGACTTTTGATAGGCATCCTGCTAGCTTCTCACAATTTTTTTTTTTTTACGGCAACGTCACAGGTTAAACGACTGCTTGAACACATATGATTTATTTGTAAGATTTCGTACTACTCTACTTTCCATTTTATGTATTTAAGTTTGTATATGAGAACTCTTATTGAGCAATCCATACCCTAAGGTAACTGTACATGCAGATAGACATCCAATTAGTCAGCATCTTCTCCACCACAGACTCCGTCCTGCGCAGCATCAGTTTGGGGTTCTTGGAGGCTGACGAGTCTATGAGATCCACCAGAAGATCTTTCATGATGCTCGTGTAATACTCTAACTTCCCATGCAGTGCGATGGTCAACAGAGAAGCCAAGTTACACCTGGAAAATAAAGCAATTATGTGACTGAATCAGGCTCATGTGACTGTGGCACAGTGGGTGAGTCCCTTGGCACAGAGGCTTTCAAAGTGACCTCTGGGAAACAGTAATAGCCAAGGATTTAGGAACTGTACAATTCTGACCTTCTGGGATTTGTGAAGAGTTAGAACCATTGTTTTATGTTGGTCAGATCATATATTCACAGTATGCACAAAAGGTGGGCCTATCAGCTTATACAGTAGCTTATGTATTGTAAACACAATGAGTAAATTATGGCATTTTGTAACTCAGTTGAGTGATTCTCATTTTTAAACAAAATAATCAGAAAAGCAAGCACCTTATTTAACATGAAACCACAATACTTGGGTTTGAATATTGTCAATTCTAGTTAATGCAACCATTTACAGTGATGAAGTTTCCATGCGGAACCCTCTTCAGACAGATTGAGCCTTGTCTGTACTGTATAATTCTATGAATGTGTGGCCATCATGTATATTTAAGGACAATATGCCATGAGCCATAAGAATAACCCTCCTTGTACCTGTCACGGACAGCAAAGTCCTTCTGAAGCTCCACAGCATGAATGAAAGTGACGAGAAAGTGCCTGTTGTTCAGAAGGGTGCTCAGTAGGGACATGCCTTCTTCCATATTGCTTCGACAGTTGTCGGGGATCTGGAGTGGCAACAAAGGAGTAATGTTAACAGATCAGTCTCCATTCTCTTCATGCAATAATGTATACATTGTTTATATGTTTGGAATGAAACATTTTTCTAGACAGTAAGCTGGTATGAGAGAGACTTTTATTACCTGTATATTAATATCATTTTTAGTTTAAGTGTATCACCAATATATTCTGCAATGCTTTATAGAAAGGGGATATTTGAAGGTGAAGAAGGCCCTGCTCAAATAAACTTTAAAAACTAGAAACGCAATTCCTAATCACCTGAAATTATAATCGTTTAATAGTCATTACATTTTATAGAGTTTACTTTTTTTTTTTTAAATAACAATAAAAATGGTCAAATACTGTGCTTCCATATTATGTATGGAATTTGCTGGCATTTATTTTGTGAATGCAGATTCCCAAAGTACCTATAGATTATATATATATTATCACTATATTGTATATAATGAGCACAGACAGGCATAGTGTTTCAGACTTCACAATGCATTTCTGCAGGCATCCTGCTTAAAACACACATGTTTTAAACCAAAGCATGGGGTTGTGATCCAAGAGGTCTTTGGTCGTTTTGGGTCACAAACTGTGCTTTGTTTTAAAGAAATATATCACAGCTGCTATTTTAATGGGCCCCTCTCCTTTTAGTGCTATGCTAGGATAGGAGCTGTGGTGACAGAATCATAAGGTCTCTGTGTTCCGAGTTCTTCTGTTGGCATATCAGTTTCAGGAGGATGTCTGAATTAATGGCAGCAACTGTAAACATCAGCTGCTGGTCCGGAGCAAAACTCTGCCTAATGCTGTGCCGGCCAGGACATGAATGTGTTGCATTGAGATAGTGTTCCCTATGCTGCCCAGTGTCAGCAACAATGTACATTACACGTTTTAATGCAAGATGTGATGCCACCCAGTTTGCAGGACACAATTTGAAACATAATCTACTTGTTAAAATAACAGACCAATCAAATATAGCGTGCCAGTTATCACTGCATGATAACAAATACAATGGGCTGCAGTGATTATGGTGTTTAGGGCTCCTCTCTATTCTAATAGTGAGTACGTGACCTTATTTAACTCTGTTGTACTTGCTAAATATATGGCTGCAATACGGCTGGGATATTTGAGAGTGGAATTAAAATATGAGACACAAAGCCCCAGCAGGCATATATAGCTTTTTGTTTTTGCAGTTTTCTCTTCTAGTCAGACTGAAGAGTTCCTCTGACCTGGACTTTCTGGAGATTTTCTGCATGTGTCTTGGGGGTTTTAATAAATGTTTATTGGACTTTCACTATGATGCGCAAGCATCCAGCAGGCAGAGGGAATACCAGAAACCGTCACTTACCTTCCACTCTCCACAAAGAAGTGGGTGCGTTTCCTGCACCTGGAAGCCCAGTTGAGAGTTGAAGTTCTGTGTTGGCAAGATGTAGCGTTCTTCATAAAGGGACGAGCACTGTGATCAGAGATTTTAAGTAGATCTCCATCATTATCGTATATTTAGTAAACACCCATGGGAAATTTAATAAATGCAATAAAAATAAAAAATAAAAAAATAAAACTCATGCATACAGGTATGAATGGAAGTGCAAGCTCAGCCCATGAGATAACAATCTAACACAGAAGAAATTCTATACAAAGTCGCTAACAAGACTGAGCGGCTGATGATCAGGAGGATTAAACATGTGAGTGTTTCCTTAGGGGTCAACAGAACTTCTCTTTTTCAACCCTTTGATAACCAGCATTGAGCCTCTTTCAATGTCAAAGAAGGCTATTCCAATAGAGCCAGTTTATATAAAGGATGCCTGGAAATCTTTGCCTTCAGTCACACAAGCTCACAATTTAATAATAACAGCTTTTGGTACAGTCTAAAACGTTGTGCATATTCTAACACAGGATAAAAGACGTGAAACCTATTAATAGAGTTGAGCAGCCATGCCTTGGCAAGGTGCCCTTTAAATTTCCAGCATCTCACGGACTTGAAGAGTCAGGAGGGAGCTGCCATGTGAGGAGGGGGTCAGAAAAGGAAATAATGACGGTGGAGAACGAAGATTTTACATTCTAAGTTTCAAACATGTGGCTTCCTTCTGCTTTTCTAAGTATAAAGATGGCATGAGATGTGGATGACATACCCAGCAAACACACAGTACATCCTTATTACATGTACATTTGAATCAACATAATCATTTGACCCAGTTCTCACTTCCTCTTCTGGCTAATTTCCTTCATTCCTCTCCCATTTGAATAATGCTTACTGCATCCTCACTGAGTTGTTAACATAGGACATTCTAAATATTTCCACATTTATTGGGCCCATTTGGTCCTCCAGACCAGCAGCAGCCATGTGTAGGGACAGTTTTTGTACATCCTACATATAACATAAAAAATGTAACCCTGTGGAACAAGCGCAGCTTAGTGAAATAGGGGCTTCACAGAGCTAGGAGGCGGGCATGGGGGGAAGGCCCCATGTGGGAGTGGAGTGAGAGTGTAAAAGGGGGTTGGCCCAGTATAAATAGGCAGCCATTTTAGTGACAAGCACTCTTAATCTGCTTACCTGGCCTAAGTTGTCCCTCCCACCCTCCCATTTGTAAGGGTAAGGGGTGTTAGCTCCCGTTTGGTCACAGCGGCGGGGCTAGAGAGAAAAAGGTTAGGGGACAAACAGGCTCTAGGGTAGTGTAAATAGAATAGGGCAGTAAGGCTGCTGATGAAGAGCTTGGTTGAATGGTTCGTTATGAACCGTGGTAGGTTTCGAGCTCGGTGGTGGCTCAGAACCTGGTGTATGGTAGGGGTATCCGGGTATGACCCTACCGTGGTTATTTAACAAAGTTTGCACTTATATTATGTTGAAGATGTTTGATATTATGGTTGTTGATGTTATTTATATTTACAGAAATAATGAGTCATTGTCTTTTATTTTGGGGACATATGATGTTATATGGCGGGATGGAGGCTGAGCAATGACTTTAATTTATTGTTATCAATATTAATAAAGCTGTGGACATATTGACCCATACATCAGTGTCAGTGTGTTTTTGTGGTAAGTTTTGGGGGGGAATTCCACCTGCCCACATGGCAACTATGCGTCTGTCATGGGATGGATTCGAATTTCAACTAAATAAAACACAGTATTGTATGTATAATTTTTATCTAAATATTTAACATGGACTTGATTGTATATGCAATCCCCAGTTGTATCAGCAATGCTCCGTATATTTTTCCAATGGTTGTACTGTCAGATAATCCCTGACACAAACACAGTATTGTGAAATGCAGGTGTTAAACTCACCTTTGGGAAAAATGTACGTGTGACAAAATATTTGTACTCCAAGAACGGGATTCCTTGGCTGCGGTTTAATTCTTTGGTCAGATCTGTCATATCTGTCTGGAGCTCAGCAAATCCTAGAAACGGGAAAGACACCTAGTTAACCTCTTCCTGGGGGGTTCTAAATTCCTACGTTTCGAAAAACTTGTGATCAAGTTTTAGTGATAGTAGGATATCCTTCAACCAATGCTAAAGGCCATATATCTTAATTAAAACATGTGGCAATTTGTTATAAATGGCCCTACACTAGTGTGAGATTTCTTCCTTTAAGGAGCTAACCTTTGATTTACACATCCAATCTAGTCCTGTTATCACGTGCTGTTCTGAGTTTTGTTTAACTGTTTTTTGTTTCTCTGCCAGTTATGTGCAAATAATAGAAAGTGGAAAAATATGTGAAAATGGGAAAACATAAATGACAGGAAGAAAAGTAAAATAATGCGGCTAATACACCCATACCAGTTCTTGCTATGCAACACACCAAAAGCAACAAGCAGAAATTATTATAAATTGTGAAAATGATCAAAATTATAAATATGTGTTCCTGTTAATCAATCTAAGTCTTGAACAAATATATTCATTAATAAATAGGGAAAAGGAAATGCAAACATACAGTGTATACATGATAGTGTGATATAATCAGTATATGTAAAACCTTTGTGGTTTACATGCCTACATATGAGTCTTGAGCAGTACACTCAAGAACGGGATAAAAGCCACTTTCAGGGCTTTGGTACATGTGAGTGCAAAATTGTTCATTGAATGTTTGTATATTGCTTAATTGTATTGCATCATGCCTGTGTCTCCTGTTCTGTATATAGTCATTTATATATTTAATAAAGGAATAACAGTGTGTTATACAATGACGCAAGTACATATTTATATTATGTTTATTTTCACATGAATGCAGGTTAACCATTATTTTCTATGAGTGGTATGATGTTTACTGGTGAAAAAATATCAGTGAAGTATCTGATTGGATAAATAGGAATTAAAACAGATGTTGCCAACACACTCATCCAGGCACAATAACCCAGTTCTATTTCAACCAGGATATTGGAAAACCTGGTCCATAGGTGTACTATGAGGACTAGCTTTCGGGCCTCTGTTTTAAGCTCCTCTGGGGTTTGTGAACATGATATTCATTAGATCTAGTGTCCTGTGTTTGAAGCTATTTCAGGAGAATTACCTTTACGAATTTCATCTCGAATCTGAGACTCCATTTCCTCCATCTGAACCAATGTTTTCTGCCAGTAACGCTCAGCTCTTCGACTCTTGGTGCAAAAGACAAACAGGGCTGCAGAAGTTAAAATAAGTATAGTGAATAATATTATCTCCTAGACCACTGACAGCCAAACTTGGCACTAGATGTTTGCCAGCTAAAGCTAATGTTTAGGTTGTGTAGTTTATAAAATAAATTAGGTCCAGGCACTCAGGATTTTTGCAGGAAGGCAGGTTTATTGGAACAAAAAGTGCTTTGTCGAGCATTTGCCAACCCTGGCCCTGATAAGCACCTGGATTCCTAAGTGTGAGTGCAGTATCCCCCGTTTGTGAATTACTGACATTACCTATAGTGCTTAGATTAGCAAACACCACTCTGGATCCTTATTGTATGTACACACACAAACTAGAGATAGATGAATGGATTGACTAACATACCAGCCAAGGCTAAACATTTAATGGGATTTCGAGCACAGAGAGGGAGGTATCAGACATCATATTGAGGTGGAAATATGGAGTATTAAAGAATAAACAAACAAGCGTAAAAACAAAACAATTACAATCAGATACAGATTGACTAAGAAAAAAAAGTTGTTCAGATTACCCAGAAAGGGTTGGGAAATTAATTTGATGCTCATAAAGCACTTTTGTTAAATTTCGGTGAGGACACTATAGTAAACTCTTTGAGAATGAGAACTCTTCAAGGGCAAAGGAAACTAGCCACGCAGAGCATGATGAAGCTTTAGTCCAAACCCAACTTGTGTATTCACTGGAAATGTCTGCAGAACTGTAACCTAGTTTGTTTTAAATGTATGTAATTGGCACAAAATGCTATAGAACCATTACTTTCACTTTCAATTGGTGTCAGTAACGTGAGCCAGTATAGAGCATACATGGAGGCCATACTTACCCACCACAGAAAGAAGTAACAATATACTGCAGATGACTATGGAGACAATGATAGATGTGTCTATCCCTGCCAGATGCAATGTGGTGATGGTCTGATTGAATTTACCAACTTGTATCTGTAAATATAGGAGATATTAATTTACATAATTGAATTACTATTACAATAGCTCTCAACAACTTAAATGTTACAGAAAATAAAGAAACCAGGGGTAATTAGATGATAAAAGTGCACAGAGCCAAATACAATTAAGCTGTATGTAGCACTCCTTGTGCACATTTAGCATCTGGTTTACACTTCCTTGATGTCTTTATTTTTTGGACTTGGATTTGGCCCTGCTTTGAGCAACAGGGTGCAAGGTTACCAACACAGTTATCGGGTCTTACTTAGATTTTTGGGAACTGCAGCAACATCTCCTCTGTCTCATTGGAGATTCTTGGCTGATATCAGCAAATCTAATGGCTAGAGTAGGACTTACCTTTTGGGGCTTCCCTTGACGTGGCAGGTGAGCTTATATTCAAATGGCCATTGGAATAAAACTAAAGAGCCTCCATTTTGTTTAAATGTACATACGGATTTAGGCCAGAGCGCAGGTAGCATTCTCTTTGTTTTTGCTATGTATTTTGAGCTGTTAGATACTAAGCTAATGCTGCTGTAAGTGCTGTGCTTTTTTTGTGTGTTTTGTATATAACCTCTCCTCTACCTATGTTATTGAGTTCACATATACTCGATACACATTTCTCCTAATCATTATGTGGAGAGACGATCGTAAGTCATAAAGAGATATAATAATTGGCAATTGTAGACCACACTTGAGTATGTGTGGGGTGACGTGACATGGCTGGTATGCACAACCAAATGAATGGAAGAGCGATAGAGACTTACAAAACTAATCTCCCATACGTTCTCACAATCTTTCGCTAGTTTTTATACATACTAAAAACGATTCACCCAGGTGCACTAGAGAGTTTGGTTGTGGGAATACAGGCTCATGTACCAGAGTCTCAGGAGTTTCCGCAGGGGATACACCCTCGCTTGGTTGTAATTGATGTACTCTATAAACATATTTTACTAATATAACACTGTTATTGTACGACTGAATGCTGTTACAATGCTCGAGACCTGCGTGTCTCTTTAAACAAATCTCCGACTCACCTTTACATATTCTGAAAAATCAATTAACTGATTTTTGTTAAAAATGTTATTGAGTTCATTGCATATTTTTAAATAATCCTTTTATTAAGGAGTCACATGAAATGACTCCTATCCAATATGAAAGGAACATGCAAACAAAAGTAGCACCCAAATTTGTGAATAAAGAGGTTGGAAATAGAGGGGAGGAGAGATACCAATACACAAACTGTTTAGTGAATAACTATCACGGACATCAAATAGTGAAATAAGCAAGGCTTATTAAAGTGACAATTTAATCTGCCATGTTGAATGTAACAGACTAATCTAATCTCCAGCTGACAGCCCAAGACTTGCTTTTCTCAAAATGTCTTCTAATCTATACTAATAAATCAATGACATCGACTTAAGGTTACCCTCCAGATGAAGCAATAGGGATTTTCCAGGTTGGCAATACACTGAATAAATGGCTATGTATGTATTGAAGTAAGCTCTAGCTGTGCTGTAATAGATTTCTGGGGTACTTAGCTGGTCATAACGGCCAATATGCCTGGAATAAGCTATGCTACTTTAACCTTTTATTCCACTGTCCAAACTGTGACAATATAGAATTTGGTATTATTTATTATAGATCAGATTATACAAATCCCACACTAATTCGAGCTTCTGCTATTTCCAGAATGCTTTATTGAATTGTATACATATTAGTCCATACAAATTTCAAAATGGAGGATACCTATTTAAAGGGACACTCTGCTGCCCAAATACAAAATACATAAAAATCCCTGTTTACCGTGTTTCCCCGAAAATAAACCCTACCCCCGAAAATAAGCCCTAGTCGGATTTTCGGGGTGGGCTGCAATATAAGCCCTACCCCGAAAATAAGACCTAGGCATTGTACCTTTGCGGCAAGACTTCCTTCTTCTACTGTAGGAGGAGCGTTGTGGGCCGCGTCATCGCGCAACGTGATGACGACATTTCGCAGCGCCGTCAGTCTGCCTTCACGGATCTTCAGCGGAAGGATCCATTTCCAGGCGGTGAGGCTCCCAGTGGTCGGACTCGGCAAGGAAACTTTGAAATGTGAGTACCGGTAGATATTTTATGTCTGGGACTGAATTAATTAAAGGGGGCGGGGGGTGAATTAATTAAAGGGTGGGCTGGATTAATTAGAGGGGGGTGAATTAATTAAAGGGGGGTGAATTAATTAAAGGGTGGACTGGATTAATTAGAGGGGGTGAATTAATTAAAGGGGGGTGAATTAATTAAAGGGTGGGCTGGATTAATTAGAGGGGGTGGATTAATTAGAGGGTGGGCTGGATTAATTAGAGGGGGGTGAATTAATTAAAGGGGTGGTGAATTAATGAAAGGGTGGGCTGGATTAATTAGAGGGGGGTGAATTAATTAGAGGGGGGTGAATTAATTAGAGGGTGGACTGGATTAATTAGAGGGGGTGAATTAATTAAAGGGTGGGCTGGATTAATTAGAGGGGGTGAATTAATTAAAGGGGTGGTGAATTAATTAAAGGGTGGGCTGGATTAATTAGAAGGGGTGAATTAATTAAAGAGGGGTGAATTAATTAAAGAGGGGTGAATTAATTAAAGGGTGGACTGGATTAATTAGAGGGGGTGAATTAATTAAAGGGGTGGTGAATTAATTAAAGGGTGGGCTGGATTAATTATAGGGGGGTGAATTAATTAAAGGGGTGGTGAATTAATTAAAGGGTGGGCTGGATTAATTATAGGGGGGTGAATTAATTAAAGGGGTGGTGAATTAATTAGAGGGGGTGAATTAATTAAAGGGTGGGCTGGATTAATTAGAGGGGGTGGATTAATTAGAGGGGGGTGGATTTATTAAAGGGGGGGGGTGGATTAATTAAAGGGGGGGTTCAATGTATATACCGGTACCGTAAATAAATAAGCCCTGCCCTGAAAATAAGCCCTAGTGTGTTTTTTGTGACTAAAATTAATATAAGACCCGGTCTTATTTTCGGAGAAACACGGTAGTACAAATAGTCCAAATGAAAATGTGCATGCATTTAAATATGCATCTTTTTATTTCTAAAAACAGCTTGCAAAAACTGCACCTCTCGTCTGCTGCCTTTGCATGCCCTCCCCTTGTAGCTCCGCACAGACTGCCTGTGGCTGTCCAATCACAGACTCCCCATTGCAGCTCAATGAGGAGTCTTTGTAAGTAAGGTGCTCTGGGAAGTTGTTGCATCCTCTGAACCAAACCAGGAAGTAACATGAACGTTTGTCTGCTTTAAAAGCCAGGGAGGTGTAACCAATATAATTTATAAAAAGTGTCAATTTCTATTGAAATTTGCACTTTTTCCAAATTAAAAAATAAGAGGACACACTCTTCACATATAAAGCTTTTCAGCAAGATAAAAGGGGTCTGGATGCCCCTTTAATGTGAGTCATTAAAAGACAACTTCCACATCAAGCTATATTTTAATGTCAGTGAGTGATATCAAGGGATTGGAGTCATGGTCATAATGAGTGTCATGTCATGGTGATCTAGGTGTAGCAAGTAGTATAGACTAGAGCTCAGAGTGGTGGAATTGTGGTCAGTATGGATGTGATATGCTTGAGATATAGCCAGCCTAGAGACGAGTTAAAATCAGCCTGTTCATTACCGTCACAGGTAGATAACGTTCAGAGGAGCTCAGAGACTCGTTGATGCTGCAGTGAATAACCTTGTCATTAAAGATGTTCAGCTCACAAGGTATCTGACCAACTTTCACCTTGTATTCTTCCACTCTCAAGCCCAAGTTGTCTGGCTCTTTCTGTCAAACAAAAAAAGAGATTAGAGGTAAATTAGACAATCAGTCTCATGCAGGTCCATAATCTGTATCTGTAAAACATTTTTCCACAAAGATCACCGATGGACAGGATTATATCAATATTTTTATGTGGAAATCATAATCAAAAATCCTAGAACTCCAGTTTATAGTAATTTGTGACCCACAGTAACTTACATGTATAACCAGTGTTAGTGGTTCCCCTACATGATGTTTTATCAGCTTTTCTTTCTTAGCAGTGAAGAACATGGGATCTGGCTGGTACTCCAGGTTAAATTTGCTACCGATGGACAGGATTTCCTCCCCAGCAAGGTCTTCTCCAAAATCCACTTGCTCCTCTGACAAGTAGACTCCATTTATAATGAAGTCCACGCTGACATTCTTGTGTTCCAAGGTGCTGTTAGGGGCTTTAGGTGAAGGACAGGTGATGATAACTGGGCTAAGAATGGTGCAGTTCTAAAAAAAAAAAAAAAGAAGAAGAATGCATCAGTGTCATGCGGTAACAACTGATATTTGACCTTTCCAATCTATCGAGAGACAGTTTCTGAAGAGCAAGGCACAGATCAGTTGGTCCTCAGTATGACTAAAGGAAAACACCAAGCACCATAACCACTACAATATAGGTGCCGTCCAATAGTGAGTAATCAAACTTTTTTAGTATGGTTTGGCAACTTACTGGTTTCCCACCATGCACCATACACTGCACCCAGTCTTCTCCTTTAGGATAGCAACATAGGGTCATGCAGGACTGCATTCATTGGCTGGGATCACAGGCATTAGGCCTGCTTTATTCTTCAGAGACATCCAGCTTTTCATGCAGGTGAAGACAGGGTGGAAGCACGTAATGGATGATTCCTTTAGCATATGGTACATTGTATACATTGTAAAGCTTATACTACACCAATACCTGCAATGGACCATTGCATTTACCAATGTGTCTTACACCTCCTATTTTTTTTTAATTCTAATATATTTATACTTCATGTTAAGGGTGGCAAGGCAAGACTTTTGTATCCTAGTTCTTCACTGGACAGCCTTTCCCATCTATATAATGTGTTCTATACCAGTTATAACCATGCTTGAGAACTTTTTAAGTTATATTTTTTCCCTATTGTGTTATGCCAGTTGAAACCAAGCTGTTACAGTGGAGTCTCAATCTCAAGGAAGAGTGATGGCTGCTACTGTTGGGACTATATCATCTATACGACATACAATAAGGTTCATACAGTCATGGCTGTCTAACGATCTACCATAATATGGTTTACACTTCACAGAAGAAACAAAATATGTCAAAAAGGTTTAAAGAAACCTAGTTACTTTTACAATGTCCTCAATTTTACATGCAGATTTAAGACAGTTGGTGAAAACTGCTTCATTTAGTGCTTCTCGTTACTGGTTAGTAATTTTTAAGCCAGTAATAACACACAGACATTTTTATCCAACTAAGTAAGAGCAGACCCTGCTTTCCAGGTTCGTGGGCCACTAACTACACCTCCAGTCATTAAGCTCTGCAGTGAAAGTCATGTCCAGGGTTGGCAGAGCTGGCAAGACACCTATGGATTTTGTGGCAAAATGCGTCCACAAATGCCCTACTGTCACGATATGTGTAAAGGAACCCACACACACACAGAACCTAAAATACAGCAAAGGTATGGAAGCCGTATTACCGGGCATTAGAGTGATCTAACTTAACAAATAGAATAGCCAAAGTGAAAGCCAAGGTGCAAGGAAGAAGAAACAGTAGACTAGACAAAGTTCAGGAACATAGAGAGTAGAATAAACGAATAACAAGCCAGGGTCAGTAACATGATAACTCAGAAATAGATACGCACTATTGGGCTTAACAAGAACCACAGCAGGGCAATTGGGCCTAGAAAGAACAGGAAATAAATAGCCCCTGCCTAACAGTGATCGGTTAGTGTCATTTTAGAAAGACCTGAAATTGGCTATTGCTGAATCTGTGTTTTTTTTGAGCAAATTTGTTCGATTTCACCAAAATATCCACTAGCTGTTGCCCTGTTCAAGCGTTGGTGCGAACGAACATAAAGAGGACCACGCAAGCAGTGTCTCTCTCCCTTTTGGAGGGGTGAACGGGGGCCTCGGAACAGGTAAGTATTACATCTACTAGCTTTACACAAATTGTTATCCAATAATGGTGCACACAAAGCTTTTAAAACTCCATTTTATGCAAGTGTAACATTAAACATTTTTTGCTGCCATAAGCACCATAAATACTGTATTTTAGAATTCACTCACTGATTGAACAGCTTTCTGTGTTTGTATCTCCATCGTCACATCTTGCACCATATCAAACCTTTTTCCAGTCAGGGTTATCACACGACCACCACTGGGAAGAACAGAAGTAAAAGTAAAAAAAAATTAAACCATAGAAGTTTTTTGTCCACCTTGAGCTCACCATGTGGCACTTACATCATGGCTTGAAATGTATACCTTCCCATAATTTTATCCTGCCGGTTAAGATTAAGTATTGCACTATCCGTAGGTCTTTAGCGTTGGAAGGTTATACTGTTTTATTACTGACTTAACAGAAAACAAAGTACAAGCAATAGGTTTAACTATAAAAAGTGAAAAGATCCCATACTACTTCTTTAATCACTATAGAGATCTAGTCGCTTCACAACATCACAAGTTCCTATGTAGAACCAAAGTGCAGAATGGACATACATAAAATAGCAACATAAAATACTCTACATGAGTAAATGAATCTACAACCTCCAAAGAGAGGCTATTATATATATAATTATATGTCTACTGGGCCCACTAGAATTCCCGTTTATTATTTGCAAGGATCATCCCATAAAACTTCCCTACCTCAAGTGGCTGATCTTGGGTTCCATACTGGTGATAACAGGGTTTTCTTCATACTGGAATGTGAGTGCATCATTGACACAATATGATCCTTCAAACTGGACACAGATTTCTACGTTGCCAGTGATAAGAGTTTCCAATGCTGGTACAGTACACTGTATATTGCTCTCGGTGCGTCTGTGGAATTCAAAGGGGAGGATTACTAACGAAAAAGGGAAAGGGGATTTAAAAATGATTTCACTGACAACGGTTTACGTACAGAGAGGGCATACAGATAGTGAGGTCCATGAGATAAGGAGAGATGTACAGGAAAAGGATGGAGGCCAAACTGTGCAGAGGGAGATCAGGAAGAAGAAGCATTGCTAAGACATAGGATGGAGACCACGTTGAGGAAAGAGAGATACATGTGGTGAGAGAACAGGAAGACGCAGCACTGCTAATAATGGGATGATGGCCAAACTGAGTGTAGAGAGACATATGTTGTTAGAGAGCAGGAAGGAGTAGTGATGTTGAGACAAAAGGATGGAGACCAAACTGAATAAAAAGAAACATGTGGGACGCGCATAGAAAGGAACTACTAGTAAGGCAGAGGTTTCTAGGCCACACTGTGTAGAAATACAGGAATGAGAAGAGGAAGAGAGGTTGAGCAGATTCCATGTTAATCTAACAATTCATAGCTCAGCTCACACAAGGTCTCGGCATTCCAGGGTCCCATTGAACAAAACATGGATCTCTTTGCCAATGTCCAGCTTCTTTCCAGAAATGGAAATTTTTGTACCTCCTGCTCTAGGACCATAAGGTGGAGACACAGAAAACACCTCTGGCATCTGCAAATATACAGAACAGTAAACAATGGGATTTATAGTTTATCACGGTTATTCACTAAAATGGAGATTGTTGTGAATTCAAAGTGAATTTAAAATTTAAGACCATATATGCCGAACTGGATAATTCTCCAAGTTAGCTGTGTTTTGGCTAGTTTGACCTTATATTTGGAATTCATTTTGAATTCCCAGCAATTCTCATTTTAGTAAATATAAGGGTTATTCACTAAAATGTGAATTTGAAGTGAATTTAACGTGAATTTCAAATGTCAGGTAAAAATAGCTGAACTGGAATTTTTTTCTAACGTAGCTATATGTATCCACTCAGCTACTCTGGCTTTAAATTTGAAATTCACAGGTGTAAAAGATCAGCAGTTTATAAGGTCCAACAGGAGCTGCACTAGGCCCTCGAGGATTGCTGGCCACTGATTATCAGCCCCTGCGCCCTGCTGTAGAGGACAAGTATACCCTACGCCCTGTGGAAGAGATGACTATTTTCAAATTCATTAATAGTCCTGAAAGTTTTTTTTGATTGACTATCATTACACAGTGCTGATGGGGAAAGTTGGTCATTTTTAATTGGGAGTAATATGAGATGTGACTCCGACTCACCATGAAAGAGTACATTTCCTTGGATCGTCCACCTCCATTCACATCCACTGTTACCCAGTTACTGTATTCCCTGGTCGCCCTGGCTGTCTGACATACAATCCTGGACACCAAAACACCAAACAATACAAGTCAAACAGATTATCTAGGAGTGTTACTAAACCTTCACAAAAAACGTGCAAGCGGATTTCCATTAAAGTAGACAGAAATGCAAATAACAGCAATGCATACATTGGAATATGCTAATCTATTATCTGTTAACATTTTACTATATCTTTTATGTTCAATATGGTCTGGGAAAGCTACCACTAAACTGTTTAAGGTTTAAAGGAAGATTGCAGACACTTTAACAACTTCATCTCGATTTGGGCGCCATGAGCCCATTCAGTGTTAAACCGGCTTTAAGTTAAACAAGAAAGTCTCCTCTGTGCTGCTTAGGCTAATTAGGAAGCATTAGCCTGAGCAGCAATGGTTGTCGGTGTTAACACCACCGCAACCTCTGCTATGAATTGGTATAGATAGACGGAAGTATGTTATTTCTGCCTTAACCATACCTTAAATGGGGGCCGAGCTGGGGGTGTTCAGGGATCATCATTACGTGTTAAACTGCTAGACAATAGTTTAAACCTATTTACCCTGGAGAGAGAGCGCCAGGGGATTCAAAGCACTATAATCAATTCATTGAAATGGTTATGAAATGGTTATAGGGCCTTGAGTGTCCCTGTAATACATGTTTTATACATCTATTGACCCCCATATGTTCTTAGGAGACAAGTCTACAGAACAGACACAAAGGCAAAAGCATAGCATTGGACATTACAGAAATGATAAAAGATGCATGGTAACAGAGTCATGTACTGGAGTACTCACTCTGCAGATACTACATATTTCTCCAGAATAGGGGTGCAGGGAATTTCTCCAATCTTGACTTTGCCATCAATGTCACTGAAGCGGCTGCCCAGGTTCCGTCCTTGTATTGTAAGAAGAGTCCCACCAAGATGGGGTCCACTGATTGGCTCTATCTGTGAAGGACAAATGAAAAGAAGGCAATTGCAAGACACCAAGAGACGTCAAATGCATTGAATCAGAACAAAGTATTAGGCCATAAACTTCTCTCGTTTTCCAGCCACAGCCATCTAAATATTTACATTAGACCAGCAGTAATCTTTTTTGACAAGGATCCACATTCTGTACATTACATTAACGTGGTAACCCATAGTTGGATTGAGCAAAGTTTTCATTGTAAATTCATAAATACTAAAATAAATTCTGTAGAACCCCTGCACTGATACTGGCTTATTAGAGAACATTCGCATAGCTCTACTCCACTAAAACATGTTATGTAAGAGAAGACACAGCTGGTGACTGTCATTTCTCTGAAATTACACCACTGAACAAAACATTGAAAATCACCTACAACTCGTGATTACCTTTTCCGTGTGATGATTTATTTTTATTTTTTTAAATGTATATTAAAGTTTTTCTGTCAATCCCACAAAGTCCTTGTTAGTACAGGCCAATAAGCAAACACTATTATAGGTTTACATGTTTATAGTTTTAAAATTGTATCAAAAAGCACTTTTACCATAAAACGTGTGATAAAATGTACTATAGTTATTGCTATTACTATTAGTGTGCATCATTGTAGACATTACCTTTCTGATCTCTGGAGTTGGGCAGGTATCTTGGATTGTCTGCAAGTCATTGGTTAGCCTGCAGGAGGCAGTGTTCTCACTCCAGCTGCAGAGATGCCCCAGGTCTGTGCGGCCCTGACAGCGTGAACAGTCTGTGGCACCCGAAGCGCAGTTATAAACCTCAACTGAAAAACAGAGATGGAAAGATCAGATATAAAAAAAAAATACAAAGGTCTGTCTGACACAGGGCTTTTCACCAAAGTGAGAATTGCAGGCAATTCTAAATCAATTCAAAGTAAATTTCAAATTCAAGGCCAAAATAGCCAAACTGAAAATAGAAATGAGTTGGAATTTTTTTCTAATGCAACTATTTTGGCCAAAATGTAAAAATTCACTTTGAATTCCCAGAAATGTTCACTATGGTGAATAACCATTTGTATATATGGCAGTAAGCGTTACTGCCAATAGAGGGCTTAGATCTTCTCTTGAATTATATGAATAACATTAATAGTAAAAAATAACCGGTATCCCCCTAGGAGTACAATTTCTAAGCAAATTACATGTTATTACCTATTAAGGTCCAACGTATCCCACACTACCACACACAGAGTAAAAATACTACATCAAACCACACTTATGTGTAGATTCACAAAAAAGGTAAATTCTAGCAAATTAAAATAAGATTTGATGCTTAATGAATAAAGCATTTCAGACCAAAGGATGAAATAAGTGTTGAAGATTTGGCCCATGAGCTAACACTCCAACGTGTTTGGCACATTTAGACAATGTAACCAAGAGAGAATTCAGGGCTAACCCTGTTGGTAATGTGTTTCTTTGTCTTCATGGTACAGTGGTTAATGTCAATGTTGGATGCAGACAGTCAGGAGTGCGGATGTCAACACAAAGCAGAACTTTGCTGCTTCTCCAGCATGTAAGAAAGGCAGTCTTTACTTCCCAAATTCCTACAGCCCTCCCTCAGCATCTAAGCATTGAAGTCCCTCTCCTCCTACACAGAGAGATCTTTCACTGCTGTGTGCCTGGGTGTTTTATAGTTAGGGCGGCACAGGGTTAGAACCGGCATCCCGCTATCAGTCTGCACTGTCTGGATGTAAAAAGTCTAGTGCTGGACTAGTGTGTGGGAGTCTCATATTCACACCACTAACAGCATTTTCACCTTACACAGTTCTACATACCAATCACAGCAAACGGGAAATGAATGAAGCTGTGTAAACTATGGCAACTCTCTGATAATGGCAGCTTTCTCAGCTACAAAAAATGGTCTAGTCTGGCATTTCTCACTTTTAAATTATTGTGGTTATTTCAAGAACAGAAACTGTTAAATGGGGGCCGATAGCACAGCTCTATTCAGTTCCTAATACCAGTTGCAGTGAGTGTGAACATGTATATGCATACTAACATTTAAAATGTGCTTACAGATTCAAATGCAGCTTTATTTACAACATGGTAAAATTACATAAGCAGTGGTTGACACTGTTATTAACAACTGGCTCAGGGCTATGGCTATCGTAATGCTCAGCCAGCAAACAAGCTTGGTTTTCATATATTTATTGTATAATATACATTTAATAACACATTTTAAAATAGACACTTATTGTATGTAGCTTGTGATCTATTGACATAAGCTTTCTAGGAAAATAGCGCCCAGAATTGGAAATAGGCTGATGTGTAACACAGCTTAAAAACCAAATTGTCCCTCTCAACCCAATCTGCAAAGCCACAGTTGTACCATGAGATGAAGTGTTGCGGTTGCTGGGCAACATGATAATTGAATATATGGCAAATACCCTGCCACCAACCTACAAAAACATGCACTCACAGTGCTTCAGTAAGGATTGCTCACCTGTCAGCATTGTCGGATTATCAATGAATTGTCCTCGCTGGCCACTTAGCTGCAGGTTGACCGGGAAATTCTGGCTGCTCTCAGGTGTCTGTAGCTAAATCAGAAGAATATCGGTGAAACCCAGCTATGGTTCTGCTCCTCTCCCCCAAGTCTGTATCTAGACCTTTTCCTGATATATTCATGTAACCCTTATCCCATATCTATATTCCATACTTCCTATTCTATTTTTATCCCCATCGACCACTATCTTTATCTGGACCTACATTCTCATTCTGGAGACAAGCCATGTCTCCAGATTGCTCGGTAATGTCTTGTTTATTTATTTATTATATTTAACAGCACTTGGAAAAATTGTAACAAACGGTCGTAGTTATTCTTACCGAAAGATGGATATATAATGACACATAACACACATGACATCCACTAACCAGCAGACTGGAGACATTCTTACACGTGATAAGATCGTGTCTAAGTTTGCACTGGCAGGCATATACACATGTATACGTGACAAACCACATAAATGGTTTTTCAGTATCCATGACACATAAGACTGGAAGTATCAGCAATGCACACAGACATACAAACCATACAAATCAGCTATGCCAACACACACACACGCAGTATGAGTTACATACAATGACAGCAAGGCACACACAGCCTGTCAGTGTGCGACACATACAGTAACTGATGGACACATGCACTGACACACACAGGCTGTCAGTGTGAGTCGCATACACACGCACTAACACATACAGTCTTGCACACAGCCTTACCAGAACATTGCTGCACAGGACACTAGAGGAATTAATCCATGTTGCTGAAAAAGTCCTTCCTATCCCAAAGTCACATTCCAGCTCCAGCTCCTACAGGGTGAAAGACACAGCAAACATCTGTCTTAAGTGTGCGGTATTTACATATCTGTGTGTGGGGACATTGAGTGTTTGCGGACTCATATAAACACATACTCAGAATTATGTGAACTAACATCGTTTGGGAAATTTAAAAAAAAATATGCTATATTTAGCAAACATTTTAAAGGAAACTATAGTCACCTAAATTACTTTAGCTAAATAATGCAGTTTTAGTGTATAGATCATTCCCCTGCAATTTCACTGCTCAATTCACTGTCATTTAGGAGTTAAATCACTTTGTTTCTGTTTATGCAGCCCTAGCCACACCTCCCCTGGCTATGATTGACAGAGCCTGCATGAAAAAAAAATCTGGTTTCACTTTCAAACAGATGTAATTTACCTTAAATAATTGTATCTCAATCTCTAAATTGAACTTTAATCACATACAGGAGGCTCTTGCAGGGTCTAGCAAGCTATTAACATAGCAGGGGATAAGAAAATCTTAATTAAACAGAACTTGCAATAAAGAAAGCCTAAATAGGGCTCTCTTTACAGGAAGTGTTTATGGAAGGCTGTGCAAGTCACATGCAGGGAGGTGTGACTAGGGTTCATAAACAAAGGGATTTAACTCCTAAATGGCAGAGGATTGAGCAGTGAGGCTGCAGGGGCATGTTCTATACACCAAAACTGCTTCATTAAGCTAAAGTTGTTCAGGTGACTATAGTGTCCCTTTAACAAAGATTTGCCGTTTTCTATCATCATCATCATCATCATCATCATCCGCAGCTAGCTCTGCTGTAATGGCCACTAACCTATTTCAAGCCACCAACCAGTAAATATATTATTTTAACCTAATTCAATGACCCTGTGAACAACTTTTTATTGGGGGTGAAGGTAGAGTATTGTGGTCCCCAGAATCCTCATATCTGTCTACTGGTCCAGCTTCACAGTCTCCACTGCAGTATGCATTAGTTTAGTGACATGGCTGCACATGATTAGTTAGTGTGCGGAGGGGGTGGAGAGAAAACATGTTTCTAGTGAGTATTACACATGTGGTGCCAGTTAACGCTAAGTCACGTTAGATGAGAATGGAACAGGATTTCAAATACATTTTCCACACGCTAGGGCTCAGTTCAAAATAGTAAGCAGACATTTATTTTGTCCGCACATAGGTTTCGCTCAGGGCTGTGGGTGATTTTAACTAACAGTAAGGTGTATTAACAGTTGTAATCAAATTTTTCGACCCTCATTGGCAATCAGGTTTTATTGTCAAATTTTACAGACTTTTAGCTGTTTGTATTGAAAGTCTGTACATTTTTAATATAAACCTGATTTTCAATGGGGGTTGAATAATTTTGATCACAACTGTACACCAAACACTAAATAACAAAGTGTCCACATATATGCACTGGATTGTAACTCCCACTACCCCCTGCCAGCCTAATGGGAGTAGCCTAGCAGCCTACATTGTACACCACTCAGATAAACTCAGTACTTACATTGAAAGCAAAGCCATACAATTACACAAATAATATACATTAAACTAGCTGGAATTTAAATGCCACCCACAATGGAAAGAGACAGACAGAAGCAATGGTATTTCTTTTTACTGGCTATAACTGTGAAACCTCCTTTAAATCCATATTCAAGTAAGACACCCTGATATACAGGCCAACTAATGTATACTTTGATGCAATTCATTCATACAAAAGGAACAGATGCAAATGTAAAAAGATTGTAAGCTCAGAAGCCATATCTACTTATAGTAAATGTGCTTATAAAGAGATTATTTACTCCATTAAGTGGTACATTCTCAATTTTGTTTTTGTTTAACCCCTTTAGGACAAGTGAGATGGAATGCATGGATCACAATCTAGTCCCAAATACCTTATGCTAGGGGTGCCAAAGTTCGATCCCTAGATGTTGTAGAACTACAACTCCCATGGTGCGTTGCATGCCTTTACAATGACAAAGCATTTTGGAAGCTGTAGTTTTAAAACATGTGGGGATCGACCTTTTGGGCACCCCTGCTTTATGCCAGTATGGAAATCCCTGCATAATTAGTGCTGGCCTGCAAGCCATTGATGTAATAGTGGCTTACAGGATGTTTAAAGGTAGGTTTGCAATTGATGTCATTACTCCAATGTTTGTCTTTTGGGGGTTATGGATTGACGACCTGTGTCACGCAGATACCCGGGGTCCAGCAATATTCTCTGACAAGAAAGCCAACCTCCATATTCTCAGCTGTACCATAACTGTAATTTGGCTCTCACTGCTTCAACCAACGAATCTTATTCTAAAGGAGCAAAACCAGTTTGGTTTTACAAGTGAATCCATAAATCTTGGATTTTTGTGCACCTCAAGGACTAATTTGTGAGGAGCTGCTCAAGTGGATCCAGTCTGAACAGCAGATGATAATCCAACATACCCTGCAATCACTGCTCGCCCTATCAACCCGTATCAATGTTGTTAGACAGACAATTGCATTTGAAGTTCTTTTGAACGGTAATTCCTCAAACTGATGCCAGCATAACTCTCTTATCTGTACTGTTCCTTGCACAGAGATGCAGAAAAATGTGGACATTTAGTTATAAACGAGAAAACAGTTATTAGTCAGGGTATTGTGCCTGGCTGCTACAGTCTACGCACTGCATTGGTGTGCTCTCTGTCTGTCTATATGCACATACTGTATGAAGTCAGCATCCATCCTTCCTCTTTTGGTTCCAAACACTGAAAAGGCGCAGAGTGGCACCTCCACAATAACAGGATGTGTAAGAAAAACAGCACAAAATACCATGCAAGACGAAAAGCAGGAAGGAAATAGGACTGCGTTCACATGGTAGACCGTGAGAGCACAAACAGCTGCATGTTTTGCATTAAAGTATTTGAAAAGTAGGTGCTCATGTTCTTTATCATTAATGAGCTGAAATGTAGAAGCCCTATATAATAAAGTCTCTGACAATAATTTACCTACAACTCAACCAGCATATCTTTATGGACAAAGGGCCTGAGAGCAAGCAGAGATATACATCGTCATTGGACCAGACCCGAGGAAGTCTAGTGGGAGGAGCAGATGAGCCAGCACACAGAATATATAAATATACATATACATGCTTGTTATTGCATGGAACCACATACTGGATACTGACAGTCCCACGTTAAAATATATTGTGTTACTATGTGCTACTAAGCAATGGGACATTTTCACATCCCATTGAGAGCTGCAAGACAGGAAGAACTTATGTAAAAGCATGGCTTGGACGATCACATGGTGGGTCAGGGACAGCAGAGAAGGGGAAACTCAAAAAAAAACCCAGGCAAGAGATGGAGTGGGCTGACAGTGGGGATATATGCATGGTATCGTTAATGCAAACCTGCAATGAGGAAGGCTTCTTGTGAGGCTTGTCTGGTTGCAAAGAGACCAGGTCCGAACAGAATAAGCGAGAAGGTGTCCAGTATAAGATAGGGGCTCCCTCTCGAGGAGTTGCAGTAAATGGTATGAATGCCGGCTACTTAAGACACTGAGGTAAAGTGGTGTCTGTCGCTGGTGAGTGAAGGGATGCATTTAACAGTGTAGCTTCTTCCAAAAGTCAGTAAAAAGCTGGTCCATCCACTGTATTGAAGAGCAGGTCTTAGGGTACCATATTACGTCAGTGGTCTGATCTCAATTATGTGTCTGTTAGTCCACCCATTGTACAGCGCTACGGAATTTGTTGGCGCTATATAAATAATAAAATAATAATAATAATATTGAAATGTAGAGTACACCGATCAGCTTTCACTACCAAAGGGTAAATGTGGTCCAGTAGCAATAGTTGCCGGGATACCCATCTCTGGATGGGAGGGGAACGGGGTGCAGTCTTCTATATGTTGGTAGGCTACTGGTGGAGAAATCGGCTGCCTCTCTTACACTGGTGACGCCATGAGGGCCTCAACTGGGCCGCAGTATCCACCCCATCAGGAAGCTTTTCGGTGTGGACAGGTTTGCCTCCAAAATGCTTGCCAGCTGAGCTCACAGTGTTGCTTTGTAAGATTAGTAGGTAGAAGTACCTGCTTAACCAGGGTGATGGCTTCAAAATTTCATTAAATTCAATCTTATATGTAACTGTCCAGCATGGCCACTTCCCCCTTTCGTTTACTTTTTTAGGTAGACTATCTTGCCCAAACATGTGTGGTCCCCTTGTCAACTCTCTGCAATCCCCGATTTAGTAAATAAACACTTTTTCCTAAAGGTTGTTCTAAAACACTATTTTTTTTGCACTTGTCATTTCTTTTGATGTTCCATGTGGCTGATTCTCCTTATAACACGAGCTCTGTTTTTTTTTTTTTTAGCTTTTTAATATTATTAAGGCTTAAAAGCAATCATTTCCATCCATTTTTAGACAGCAAATGAACACTGTCATACCAAATTAAGCATACATAACAATAATTATTTACAGATGATATCCAGAGATCCTAATTGCTCATTACAACGATTGTTCACTCCAGTCTGAAGATTTTTTCTTTACTTACTGTACATTTTACAGTAAACAAGATCGGCCCGAAAAGTTCACATGAAACAGGATGCATGAAAAAAATCTGTTTTCCCTATGTCTTGTTACAATTAAAGTGATATGATACTACAATTAAAGTGATACTATGTTTACAGTGCTGAGGAATTGGTGCTTTACAACAATGTATAATAACAACAATAATAATATATGATAATTAGGAAGAAAAAAATGAAATAAACTATTTTACATGGAAAGGTTCTACATGCCAACAAAGAAGCAAAATCCTGGCTACAAGATGGACATAGGGTTAAGGAGGGCACAAGACAGACACAGGGTTAAGGAGGACACAAGATAGACACAGGGTTAAGGAGGACACAAGATGGACATAGGGTTAAGGAGGACACAAGATGGACATAGGGTTAAGGAGGACACAAGATAGACACAGGGTTAAGAAGGACACAAGATAGACACAGGGTTAAGGAGGACACAAGATGGACATAGGGTTAAGGAGGATACAAGATATACAGACACAGGGCAAGCAAAAGGCAAAGGTACCATCAAGACAGGGGGGGACGACAACATAGGGTAGAGGTTGCAGGACTAAAGCTGTAATGCTGGCACAGTATCATGTTAGTTAAATTCTGGGGGAAAACCATATTATATTTACAGCAAAGCATTTTCTTAAAATAAATCCCCTGGACCAATGTTTCTTGATGATTCACCTATGGATACCTATTTCAACTTCTGTGCAAAATTCTGAATAAAATACCTGTGAGGCATTCACATTGGACAGCGTCAGCATGAAGTCTCTGGTGACACCGGTGGGAGTGGTGAACAGGTTCGAGCTGGTTATACTTGGGCAGTCACTGGTGTCCTGCCAAAAGGAACCATACATGTTACTCACAATTCATATGACCCGATCAGTCAAATTCACAAATCTCTGAAGATCTCAGAAAAAGCAGCTCTAGCCAAGCAATGTCACATTCTGCCAAGTGTTTCACATTTACTAATAGGAAGCATTCACACTCCCTATAGAATCCTGCAAAGCAGAACCTGTTTTAAGAACATTAAGGAACACTAGACAATCTTAGATCAGACAGCTGCTTTCAGGGCATTATGAAAAATGCAACATATTAGCAGGTACAGCGTTTAAGCAGCATTTTCACTGTCAACATAAAAAACATTATTCAGTAGCTAATTAAACTGATCTGAAAATGATGTGTGTACATCACAGGTTCATAGAGAATTGTCAGTGTAAAAACAAACAATCAAATGCATATTAGTACAATTTAGACCAGGGATCGGACTCTGGCCCCTACACTTCCCAGTATTCTTTGAATGCAATACATGGCCAGAGAATCATGGAAGTTGTAGTTCCGAAACATATGGGGGACCAGAGTCTGAGATGCCTGGTTAAGACAGTACACATTATTAGAAATGCAACTCAACTAAACCACTACGAGACCTAATCAACTAGCGAATTTTTACAGAAAGAATGATCATGGAGATAGCTGTAGACAAAGCACTTTTACAACTTTCCATCAGCAAGTTTGTAATTAGGAAATTCGCAAGAAGAAAAGTAGGTGTATCAATTTTTATGAAAACAGTACAGGTTTTACTAAACTAAGGATGCCTGTGCCGCCTACAAGATGCCGTCCGCCCCAATTCCAAATAAAGCCCTGGGCATCACACATTTTAGCTTTGCTGCCTTGGAGATGAACACTGCGGAGACTAAGATATTTAAAGCAGACCTGTCACCTGCTGGTTTATAATACAGTTAATATTTTTATTTTAAGCAGATGATATGAGAATCCATGGGAGGTGACACATGCTGGGCTCAGGGATACATGATGGTTCAGTGCATTAGCTAGAAAATGAGCCGTCAGTTTACAAGATAACATGGGAACACTTTGTCGGCTGCACACTCAAATGTAGCAGGTAATTAGATAATGAGTTTTAGGACGTCTCTAATTAAGGGATGATAATGCTCAGTGAAGCAAGATTTGATTTCAGCCCGGGATAATGGGATTATGGGAGAAAACCTACTAATGTTGGTAAAGTGATGGGAAGTATTTAACACTCAAGCAGCTGTAACCCACATGGAGAGAAGCAGCTGAAAGTGGCTGAGCATCCTGAGAGTCTAACTACTGAGCAACAGGGCTGCCAAATATCTTAGCTCTCTATCTACAGGCATCTGAATATGCATCTCTGTCTATCCTCTTTTTTTTTGCACAGACACCAGGACACATACCTCTCACCTACTACACAGTACCACTTACCTCTTCCTGATACACAGATATCAGAACCAATACCTCTCATCTACTACACAGTACCACTTACCTCTTCCTGATACACAGATATCAGAACCAATACCTCTCACCTGCTACACAGTACCACTTACCTCTTCATGATACACAGATATCAGAACCAATACCTCTCACTTACTACACAGTACCACTTACGTCTTCCTGATACACAGATATCAGAACCAATACCTCTCACCTACTACACAGTACCACTTACCTCTTCCTGATACACATATTTCAACCAATACCTCTCATCTACTACACAGTACCACGTACCTCTTCTTGATACACAGATTTCAGAACCAATACCTCTACCCTACTACACAGTAACACTTACCTCTTCTTGATACACAGATTTCAGAACCAATACCTCTACCCTACTACACAGTACCACTTACCTCTTCTGATACAGATATATCAAGTACTCTCACATCCACTTAATACGTAAACATCAGAAAACATATCTTTTATCTTCTTCTATTGTATGGACAATGTACCTCTTATATCTTCCAAAAACACCAACACCAGGACACTTACCTCTCTCCTCCGCCTAATACGCCAACATTCTGATATGCTCTTTCAAATTCTGACATGTGCCTCTAACCTCATACAAATACAAATCCATCAGGACATATGCCATTCATCACCATCTAAAGCACCAATATTAGGTCACAAATATCTAACCTTCTCTCCCTATAAAATGTTCTTACCTGGATAAGAGAGTCACATTTTAAGGATTTGGAGGTACATTCGTGTTGGCTGGCGCACCAAGTGCAATTCCATGGTAATGTCAGACAGCTTGTGCACCTGTGGAACATATAAGTGACCCATGAGTGTGTGGTCCTTCCATGCCCCCCTGGCATCAACTACACCCTTAGCCCAATATACAGAGTTTCTGAATCCTGGCAGCATTTCACAGATTCTTTGTATTTTAGAATAAATATAAGAAACACAAGAGTCAGAAGGGAGACCTCTAGCCACTAAAAAGGTTAGAAGAAGTAAAAATGCTCAGGCACTCACAAAGACCTGAGTGCAGGTAGAAACGTTGCTGTGCACTTGATGTTCCATTAAAATCCTGCTTATTCTTCAACACAGTGAGTACCTGAGCATTTTTTAATTTCCATACTTTAAATGTGGGGTGTGCTGGCCCTATATCGGTTTAGCACTTTTTCTTTTCCATACTTTACATGTGGGGTGTGCTGGGCCTAGCTCAGTTTAGTTTTTTGGTTGAGTGCAGTCCCTATTAATTTTCATACAAAGAAGGTTGGATGCTTGAGGGATTCTTACGGAGTGGTGGGATGAATTGCCTGAGCCCTCTTGCAGTCGTAGATGACAAGGCTGTGCCAAGTAATTTGGATTCCTCCAACTGTTATGGCGACATCAATAGTCACGTAATCTGATTGAGAAACAAAGTGAAGTAATATTTAGCACATTATAGTTAATAAAGGCTGTCGGAAGCTGTCTTGTTATAAGATAAAATCAATCATCCTCATCAGCATGTAGACATGTTTGGAAAAAAGTTGCACATTCCAGTTAAGAGCTTTTTCAATCCAGCAAAAAATATAGGTATTACTGGTTCTATTTATTTATCCATTACATGAGGCTCTGTTTTTTGTGGTTTCCCTGAATAGTTATTTTCTGATGTTGCGAACTATATTATAGAAAGGCACAAGTAGGGCATCCCATGCAAACCTGTTTACATTTCCCAAGACTCTAGGCTCATATTGGGTTTATTCGCTGAATCTGTCTGGTTATAGACAGTGTGTTGACTTAATTTGGGAAACCTCCACAAAAACAAAAAAAAAAGAATCTCTGTTGACATCAATGTGACCTTGTTCCCCTGGACTGCAGCAATAACTTGAGAGTGGAGAAATCTTAGGTTTTAAGAGTTTCTATATAAAGATAACTACAAAAATAATTATAGAAGGCATCATATCTCATCCAATGATGTATGACTGCTGGGAATTTGATTTGACTACTTCCCTTGATTTTTGTAAAGGCCTCCATTCAACCCCAACACCAACAGGAATAACGTTAATCTTAATCGGCCTATGAACCAGTGTTTTTTTAATTAAATACTTGGGAACTGTTTACATCTTATGAAGGAGAGTGCATAGATTGTCCAGGAGACCTAGAATGTTAATTAAATGTGTGCCACAAATGCAACTTGAATCCCGATTAGCAATTATCAAAGTTGAGAGATAAATGTTAATCTTAGCATAAGTGAATCATCAGCTTTTTTAATACGTGGCATTACATATGTATTTATATTTTATCTTCTACTGACTCGTTTTTATATTACAGGCTTTCTTTAATTTCCCACAGTGCACCTGTAAGTGCAATGGATATTCTATCACCTAGTCAAATCACATGAAAAACAGTAACATGACATGTTGATTGAAATGAACACTTTTTTCCCCCCAGATTTGCAAATTAATGGCAAACACCGATTTTTCACGATACCTACATTCATTAAAAGACTCTGCATTGAAACACATTTGGAATATGATCTCACATCATACCTTGATTGGATGGAAAGGGTGGATATTTCTCACTGGGGAGAAACGGGCAGGATACCCATTGCCCAATTGCATCGTAGACAACTTTTGCTGGCATGAGCACTTCATTACCGAAGTCACAGGACACGTTCATCTGTGTCAAGTTGGGCAGATTTCCAGTAACACTTAAAATGATTGACTAGTGGGAGAAAATACACAAAGATATATATCAGGGTTATTCACTAAGCACACATCTAGTTCAGACTCATAACATTTAGTTGAAGGGTTACTCCAACCACCATGACCACTTCAGGGATTTGAAGTGGTCATGGTGGTAGTAATCTGTATGTGCAGTGTTTATACTTGAAACTCTGCACATCTTGAGATAAGGCATTACCAATAGGGCATTAGTAATTAAGATAAAATCTATGTTAGAAAGGGTTAGAGTAACCCTTTAAATGAACTGAATTGCAACCAAACGTACAATTCTCATATTTAGTTAAATTCAGTTGAAAAACGGTAATTTCATCCATCTGAACACATCTTGTTCGGTACCATCTGGTGCCTGCTTTAAAACCAGAATAAAAATATTCCCACAGAAGTCACAAGAGACGTGACACTTCTGATTAGGCTTGCAAATTATTATTATAACTGGCATTTATAAAGTGCCAATTCCGCAGCGCTGTACACTTGGGGAAAATAGACCATATAGTACAGACAATCCAGTACAAAAGGAATAGAGGACCCTGCCTGTAAGCTGAGATCTAGCATTTACCTTTTATACAGAGTACCAAGCTAAATGGCTCATGAGCTTACAATCTAAAGGTTATTAAGGGGACTTGAGATAAAAGGGAGCAAGGGGGCGATCTAAAGGTAATGAACAGCTAGCCTTTTAGCATTTGTACCAACTGCAATATGTTTTGTGATCGAGGAGGTAATTGGGGAAGATGCCAAATAAAAAAATTTAAGATAGTGCTTGGAGTGTATTGTGATTAGAGACGTTTCTCAATCTGTGCACAGACTTCCATGGACTCATATGGAATAATTCTGTCTGCGTTGATTTTTTATGACTGCTCACTGTTTAGGAGAAATGCCCCCATCAGCGGCATGGCGAGTGGGAGCATAAGGGAGCCTTATATTTTAAAGTGGGGGCCATATTGACCCTCACAAGGTTTTTATAAATATCTTCTGCTACTGCCGCCAGTGGCAAAATAGTAAATAAAAAAGCATGTATTAGCCATTTATTGAGGATTATGTGCCTAACAAATGAAATGAAATCGCCTCATCTGATGTTTTCAATGTAAAGTATAGCTCTCGGTTTAGAAATTATAATTATGGGCTCCTGATAAGCCTGTAATGGTGGTAATTTAATTGATCTGAACCATTAAATGCCTTATTGTGAGCTGATAAACTGCTCGTACACATGATGCTTTAATTCATTCGAGGGCACATAAATGCTTTTTACAATGACAGCTTCTATTAGAAATGGAAACTGCAAGTTTGGTCCACCCAAATTGTACAAATTCAAGTGAAGTTGGGCAGAACTGCAGACAGACAACTGCCAGTTCTCAGTAATTATCAATGTATTTGAACAGTCAGTTGCATATTTCCATCATTTGGATCTGGAATTCAGCCGTACAGTGGAATAACGACAGGGTGATATCTGTCCTACAATCCAGGTAATTCAGAGCCAGCAACCTGGAAAAGCTAGGAATTAGTCAATCTTGACAACAAATGCCCCCGGATTATTTCTGATAATCTAGATTAAGGGTATTTAGTGCTTAGAGAACAACCAGGCAGGTATGAAAATTGGAAAAAATGCAGAAAAGATAAAAAACTAAAAATAACAATGAATAGATTACATAATTTATTTGATTTCATATTGGCAGATAGAGATTAGTAAATTACTACATCATGTCAGTGATGCTCGAACTGTAACGAGCAACATACCACACTGAAAGCGGCCAAGGCACATGTTCTGGGTTTAGAGGAAACATCCCTGGCATCGTTTAGTTGGACAGTTTATGTACACATTGTCACGCTGATATGATGCACAATATCTTTCCTCTGTGTGAATCATTTGTCAGATAACTATCCTAAATTTAACAGTACTAGAACGCGATTCCGGTTGCCCAGGATACCTCCTCTGTGAGACAACAGAGAATAGTAGCCAAAAACGGCTGCAAAATGTGTCACCACTCTTGTGCAGATGATTTAAACAGCGATTATGTGCCGTTACCAGGCGATGAGTAAACTTGGCCAATTCGCACCCAACATGCCAGATCACTGCCCTTGTGGGTCTCATTGTGAATCCCTCATAGTGCCCTAGTGAGCTGGAAGGCAGGTAGAGAATGAAATATAACCCACAGGCTAGGGGTGTTCTCTACTGGTTGATACTTCGCAAAGAGAAAAAGAAATCCAACATTTAATTAAATACCCTGCACTTTGATTTGTTTTATTTCTTTTTTTTTTTACATTTATGGAAGTCTACCAGTCAATCCATAAATGCTCTACAAATATGTGGTAAATTCTCATTTTGGGTGGTTTAACACGTTTTGACATGCGTTTTCGATTTTTCTTTCTTTGTATATTTTTACGCACTGGGAAGGTGTTGGCAATCAAGTAGATTCAGCTTTAACTTTTATTTAAATTTTAGATCGTATTTTTTAGTTACATTTTCCATTTTGTGGGGTAAATTTGGCCATGAATTTTTCATGTATTACACAGATAATTAAAAAAGTAAAAAAATGCAGTGCATTCAGTGTCTCTACCCTCTGCATGGAGACACTGAACTTTCCTCATAGAGATGCAATGATTTAATGATGCGGAATGAGAGATGCTTATTGGCCAGGGCTGTGTTTGGTTTGTGCTGGCTCTGTCCCTGATCTACCTCATTGACATGCTCAGCTAATCCAATGTTTTCTTATGTGAAAGCATTGTGATTGGCTCAGAACATCACTTCTGATTATGTCAGCCAAGCAGGCAGATCAGGGGCACAGCCAGCGGCAGCAGACTGCAATAAAGGTTAGATTGTGGTTTTAACACTATAGGATCAGGAATAAATGTTTGAGTTCCTGACCCTATAGTGTTGCTTTAAGGTTCTTACCTTGGTACCAGAGGACACATCGATTTCACTGGGAATAATTGTCATTGCTGGACACTTTTCCACCCCACCCATGCCTGGGTTGGTCCAAAATGTGGTATCTGTGGACCCTTGACATTCCTGCTGCAGGGAACATCTAGTGAAATCAAAACATACATTACTATCGTTAGAGAACAAACTCACAGCTTCTGGGTGACAAGGGTTAAAGAGCAGGAGCAAATGCCAACATAATCATTATCAGCAGTATACAACAACCCAAAATGAAAGCACCAAACACTGTCATCACTGTCAGCCGTATAAATCTATTCATCAACAAGGTATAAAACACCTCTCACCGGTCACAAAGAGACGGGACACCCTGTAGTTGCCAAGCGACTATTTGCTGGCTGAGAATCATACGATTAGAAGTTTATCAAATCAGAACTTATTCTGATTTGCTCTTGCAGTGCCTGGACACAATGAAGCCTTAATAGGTCATTGGAGAGAAACTGCTTCAGGATTAATGAAACTGAATCTGAGTGTGCATAGCAATGAGTAATTAGTGACTTATCAGAACAGTTCAGCAGCCCTTGACCTTCTTGAACCAATCACTGCATGAAAAATTCCTAGCGATGCATCCAGCATACATTCATTTACTGTCCTAATTAATTATATGGAAGAATTAGAGTGAGTCTGTAACTCTAGTAGTGATTTCCCTTTCAGTGCGTTAATTAGTGTTAGTCAAAATAGATTTTTACCACTGGAAAGGTGCAACATGTTTAGTGTTATATTAATAGGGGAGGACTGTGTATTACAAATGACAAATTACTTGCAAAGCAAAAAAGTGACACAAACATCATTATTTTTATCTGTGTAACACGTTAGCTATGGGTATGTCTGAAAGCGCTAAATGTTCCATGCAATTAATAGGCAGCAGAGGGGTTCTGCCACCCACAGATCATGAGGCAGAGGATCTACTTCAGCCACCTATACAATTGTAAGCCATACAAGATAGATGACACAGTGGATGCAAAGAACTTCATATGCATTGTTTTTGGGGGGACAGATGTGTACATAATCGCCATGACGGCCATATTTATATTTCTTCAACAATCAGAAGCCTGGCAGTGCGAACAATTCTAACAGGTAAATTCCCCTTTTATTGTAAAGCGCTGTGGAATAAACTGGCGCTATATAAATACCAATAATAATAATAATAAATGTACCAGTAAAAAATATAAACATGGTTACTTACTAAAGTGTTAATTCAATGTGAATTTTGCATTTTAGTACAAAGAACGCACAGCTGACGTAGAGAATTTTTCCAGTTCTGTTATTTTGACCTTATATTTGAAACTCTTCATACAATTAACAAAACAGGACTCACATTTCAAATGACAAAGTCCCTTTAAGGGTAAGATTGAAAGTATCGCTAGATGGTGTGTATGTGAGGGGTGATTTATAACTTTCAAGTGAAAAAAGCTGAGGATATACTTGTTGTTTCTTAGTAGTGGCAAAAGGAGAAGATGCTTGGAGAATAATTCTGATTGCAGTCCCGGAGGGGGGAACATGTGTTAGTAGAGCTTGAAGTGTAGTACTGGTTAAGGTGTTAGAGGGGCAGAAGTTGGTGTTTAGAGGAAAGGGATGTGAGTTTGATGGAGAATCTAAGTGAGCAAAGATGGAGGGTATGAAAGACAAGAGGTAAAGGGCTGAACCGATTAACGAACCTGGCTTCCATAGTGCACCAGCCACAGTACACGTCTGCTGCTTCCATACACTCAGTGCACGTCCGGAACTTGCTACATTCTGCCACTTTCACTCGGGCCATCTGGAAAAGGAAACAGGCAGAACTTGAGGGTAATTATGATTTCCAGAAAATATTTACCACAAAAGACTGAAGGCAGTGACTATATGGTAGGCTGTAAAGATGTATTCTCGGGGAGATAGTTCTGCCATAATGTTTTACAAGGGAAACAGCAGAAATTATTACATAAAATAACAAATCTTGTCTGAGAATATGTTCCAACTGACAGGTCACATCAAAGAGTGTAGAGTACGATTCAATAACAGTTGGCCTTAAGTGACACGGTACCTGGTATGATGTCATCACGTAGAGGTAGGTGGGATCCACAGGATCAAAGTGCATGATGTGATGAACAGGCTGACCCCGTGCTATCGATATGGACTGTCTGCTCACTACAGCCAAGCTAGAATTCAGGTTAATCTGCAGAAAGCAGAAATGGTCGGCATTGAAAACAAATCACATCAGAGAACAATCAGACAATCTGTAGCAACTGGGAAAATGTGGGAATGAAGTGATTAACAGCAACCAGATCACTCGCTATCACAGGATTAAAATCTTTACCATATAGCAACTATAAAACTGTTTAACCGTCACATGGACAGGACTTCAGGGATTCAGATCTAAGCTGACTTTAATCCAAGCCCTTAACTAGTTGCATTAACATCTAATAATAGCTCCAAACCAGTTGCCCTAACACCTAATCCGAATACCTGATTAATAAAACTTACTCCTAACCAGTAACACTACTCTAGGTCCTAACTAGTAACACTAACACTAGGCAATAACTAGTATAGCTATTACTAACACATAATCCTAACGTTTTTTTAATAATAGTGACTCCTAATCAGTAATACTGACAGCTAGTAACCCTAACACTTAGTAATAACTAACATGCATAACAACTTATGGTTCACTTTGTAATGGCACAAGGTGAACTAAAACCAGATTGAGATCTGAGCGGGGACCCACAGAAGGGCAAGCTACTTGTGCTAATGTCCTCTCTCACTTTTCTCTTGCACCCTGTTTTTTCTGCTAATTGCTACCGAATAAACTGGCAACACTCTCCCTGACAAAAAGATTTCAGTTTAGGGACTGACAATGCATTGCAACATCAGGTTATATGAAACAGGAGGAAAGATAAATGGATGATACTGATCATTCAAGTCTTAAGACAATGTATGTATATATAATGGGTACGTCTGGCTACAGAAGGGTTAATATCAGGAAGTCTCAGCCCAATTTTAAACCCGTCTCCACACTTAGTGACAATAAAACAATAGACTATATCCACGAAGGAAATTCCAATATTCCGTTTCCTATAATCACATCCCACCTCCTCCTTCCTCTCGCCTGTTCTGTTAAATTATTATCTTTAGCTCATAACCTCGCATTTCTAAACGCCACTTCCTTAATCATTTGGGATTTTTTGAATATTATGAGTCACCCGAAAATGCTGATCTTGATTATAAGCACCAAATCACCTCATTTATTGGATTATATGCCTATGTGTGATTTCGAGTGAAATGTGGTGAAGCAGAGAGAGAAGTGTGAAATGAAACCAGCTCCTCTCATGATGTTCATGGTCCCAGATGATCAATTGCTGTCATAATCCCCTATAGGGAACAGATTGAGAGACTTTCATTCTGTCTGTTAATGCTTTATCACTGCCTCTCTGGGGTATATGGATCTCAATTAAAATCTATAAAGAAGAGGTCAAGAGTATTTCAAAGTAGACAGTTTATAACTCAGAATCAGATTAGTTATGACTGCGTGGAGTGGGGAGAGTCTCTGTAGATATCTATTTACTAAACTACAACCCCCACCATACATTCAAATTGACTTATAGAAAAGAATGACAAGCTGTCTCTGGTAGAATACAAGCAGTGCCAAGCCAGCAGGTGTCTGAGAATAACTCCCATCACTCCCAAGTAGTCAAAGGTGGAAGGGGAGGTATGAAGTTGAAAAACTATCAAAGATAAAATAAATAAATGTATAGGAAAAAAACTGTCAGGGATATTTGTTCATCCAGAATAGACTCAGTATGTGATCATATTAGCACTTACTAATATGTGCAAGCATTTTGAGCCACACTTTATATCTTCACATGTTGCACACTCTATACATATATATTCTTTTTGAGATCGATTCTCTTGACAGGCACATCATCCAAAAAATCAACAGTACGTTAATTGGTGTACTGCAGAATCCCAAGGGCAGCCTACACTTCAATACAGAATCTTATGTGAGTTTAAAGTTAGCAATTACTAAGATGGTGCTGAGTTGAGCTTTTAATTGCTGTTTGCAGCAGTCAGTGGATTTTGCAATGGTTTGGACAGTATCACACATGCTAAGGACCTTCTCCAATTTCCTATTTCAGTTCCTGTATGGGCTATCACAGGTCAGGTCCACTTATGCCAACTTGCTGGTTCTTGAGAAAAAAAAAAAACTGCTCTTTCACCAAAAGTATACTCTGTACAAAGTAAGTGGCCGGGTTACTGACTAAACCAGAAGATGTTAGGAACTGTCGAGGGAATCTGAAATTTCCATATTACCACACAACAGTCCCGGGGTATATCATCAACCATACTAAAGAGACACTTCCAAAACAGCTGGGCAGAAAACATAGCTGACGTTTTCTAGTATAGCTATTTGGGCCTTAAAATTCACATTTACTTTGAATTCCCCACAAATCATTCTTTAATCAATAACAGCATTAACAATATAGGCCAATCACTGGTGATCCAAATATCAATGGTCAAAGCTCTATTCATTCAATTCATAAAAGTGAACAAACTGTATCTCTGAAACAAATAATGAATTGTGTCAATTTTATTTGATATCCAGTAATTTTAGAAAGAAGTGAGCCGCAATTCACCTCTCCACAATCAGACAAAAAAAAAATATTGTCGTTTTCATCCTTTAACATAAGGGAAAGGAAAAAAACTGAATGTCTTTGGCATTCTGCGGTGGTAATGGCTAAATCCTTTGGTTTGTTTCCGACACTGGCCAAGAGAACTGGTCAATATGGATAATTGCAGGATATTATCACAGTGTTTCATTTCTAAAGCTAATGTTTCATGTGTTTTATTTAATTTAATTAAAATCTGAAAAAGTAAACAAAACAAAAAACATATGCACCTTCAAAAGTTGGCCATTAGATGTCCCCAGAAATGCCACGGTGTAGCCACCAATGCTGGACACTGCCACGGATGTCAGTCCTCTTGCTTGAAACAAGGATGTAGCATTAAGGGGTTGACTGACAGCTAATGGGTGTTGGAGATGGGCAGCTCCGCAATCCAACTGTTCCTCTTGCAGCTGTAAAAAAAAATTACAAAATAAATTTAGACAACAGTTTGAATAAAATGAGATTAAAACCAAAACTATAAAGCCCTTAAACACATAACATGCGACTAGAATGCAGAGACCCAAGGAGTCATATCTTGGGACTGGCCATAGGGTTGATGTGTTTTTCATGTTTACATTTTTTTATTAATCCATAGGGTTGATTTTATATGAAGCTCACAGTTTTATTAACCCCTTAAGGACCAAACTTCTGGAATAAAAGGGAATCATGACATGTCACACATGGCATGTGTCCTTAAGGGGTTAAACAATCCCCAGTGATGTATCACAGGAATACTGTAATAATTGGGTTCTAAAGGGTTTATTACAACAGAGCCTATTATTCCCTGTGGAAAGCAAAGAATTTTAGTATTAACCCCATGTTGGGCTGTGCGTATGGGCGTGGAGTGAAATAATCGCAAGCTAATTGTTTCTGTCTGGAGTCTCGGGATAATTGCAAGAAATGGTTATCTGGGCCCATGCCAGGCTCGCTCACACCCCTATCCCTCTCAGCACCCCCATCCTTCTTGGTTACTTTCCTCCTATTCTGTAACCCACCCCCATCCTTTACTGCACCCCCATCATTCTTGGTTACTCCTCTCTTGCACCACCATCATCCTCCCTTGCATCCCACACCCATCGTCCTCTGCCCCCACACCCATCCTCCAAACCCCCTCCTACATTTAGGAACTGTTCATGCTGGGAATGTATATAAAAACAAATATACAAACACTGAACAGAAACCTCCTTCCTGGAGCTTCTCACGTGCACCGAGGTTTATACAGATTTCTCTGCACTGCATTGCTCCTTCTCTGTACATCACACAATGACTGCACTGCTCCTTTTCTGTACATCACGCACTGCACTACACTGCTCCTTCTCTGTACATCACGCACTGCACTGACTACCCCTTCTCTGTTCATCACGCGCTGCACTGACTGCTCCTTCTCTGTACATCATGCACTGCACTGACTGCTCCTTCTCTGTACATCATGCACTGCACTGCTCCTTCTCTGTACATCACGCACTGCACTGACTGCCCCTTCTCTGTACATCACGCGCTGCACTGACTGCTCCTTTTCTGTACATCACGCACTGCACTGAATGCTCCTTCTCTGTACATTACGCACTGCACTGCTCCTTCTCTGTACATCACGCACTGCACTACACTGTTCCTTCTCTGTACATTATGCACTGCACTGCTCCTTCTCTGTACATCACGCACTGCACTGACTGCTCCTTCTCTGTACATCACGCACTGCACTGACTGCTCCTTCTCTGTACATCACACTGCATTGATCCTTCTCTGTACATCACACACTGCACTGACTGCTCCTTTTCTGTACATCATGCACTGCACTGATCCTTCTCTGTACATCACACACTGCACTGCTCCTTTTCTGTACATCACACACTGCACTGACTGCTTCTTCTCTGTACATCACACACTGCACTGCTCCTTTTCTGTACATCACACACTGCACTGACTGCTTCTTCTCTGTACATCACATACTGCACTGATCCTTCTCTGTACATCAAACACTGCAATGACAGATCCTTCTCTGTACATCACGCACTGCACTGATACTTCTCTCAACATCACACACTGCACTGACTACTCCTTCTCTGTACATCACACACTGCACTGCTTTTTCCATTTACACCCGATAATCTGCACTGCTCCCTCCATGTATACCCCACACACTGCACTGCTCCTTCCATGTACTTCTACCCCACACTGCATTGCTCCTTCCATGTACTTCTACCCCACACTGCATTGTTCCTTCCATGTATACCCCACACACTGCATTGTTCCTTCCATGTATACCCCACACACTGCATTGCTCCTTCCATGTATACCCCACACTGCATTGCTCCTTCCATGTATACCCCACACACTGCATTGCTCCTTGCATGTACTTCTACCCCACACTGCATTGCTCCTTCCATGTATACCCCACACATTGCATTGTTCCTTCCATGTATACCCCACACACTGCATTTCTCCTTCCACGTATACCCCACACACTGCATTGCTCCTTCCATGTATACACTACACACTGCATTGCTCCTTCCATGTATACCCCACACACTGCATTGCTCCTTCCATGTATACCATCCACACTGTATTGCTCCTTCCATGTATACCCCACACACTGCATTGCTCCTTCCATGTATACCCCACACACTGCATTGCTCCTTCCATGTATACCCCACACACTGCATTGCTCCTTCCATGTATACCCCACACACTGCATTATTCCTTCCATGTATACCCTACACACTGCACTGCTCCTTCCATGTATACCCCACACACTGCATTGCTCCTTCCATGTATACCCCACACACTGCATTATTCCTTCCATGTATACCCTACACACTGCATTATTCCTTCCATGTATACCCTACACACTGCATTGCTCCTTCCATGTATACCCCACACACTGCACTGCTCCTTCCATGTATACCCCACACACTGCATTGCTCCTTCCATGTATACCCCACACACTGCATTATTCCTTCCATGTATACCCCACACACTGCATTATTCCTTCCATGTATACCCCACACACTGCATTGCTCCTTCCATGTATACCCCACACACTGCATTGCTCCTTCCATGTATACCCCACACACTGCATTATTCCTTCCATGTATACCCTACACACTGCACTGCTCCCTCCATGTATACCCTACACACTGCATTGCTCCTTGCATGTATACTCCACACACTGCATTGCTCCTTCCATATACTTCTACCCCACACTGCATTGCTCCTTCCATGTATACCCCACACACTGCATTGCTCCTTCCATGTATACCATCCACATACTGTATTGCTCCTTTCATTTATACCCCACATACTGCATTGCTCCTTCCATGTATACCCTACACACTGCATTGCTCCTTCCATGTATACTATATACACTGCATTGCTCCTTCCATGTATACCCCACACACTGCATTGCTCCTTCCATGTATACCCCACACACTGCATTGCTCCTTCCATGTATACCCCCATGCTCTGCTCCATGTGCTCCTTTCATGTATATCTGACACACATTGCTCTACTCCTGTGAAACTAACACACTACACTGCTCATTCCATCTACACCACACACAATGCTCTGCCTCATACATACATACATACATACCTCACACATTGGTCTGCTACTTGTGTGCCACAAATGCTGTGCCAGCTCTGCAGGACCAACACAACACTGACTGATACATATTATTTGTTTAATTTGCAATTTAACCATGATGAATTATAAAATCTAAGTGTTCATGAAATATATCACCAGAACAAAATAGCATGTAAAAGAACACAGTGTGTATTGTACATGATGTACGAGATTAGTTTACTTTGTCAATGTCTTTTTGATTAATAAACCACTACTAGTGTACAGTTAAAGTAATGTCTAGTTTTTTCCAAATGTATTCCCAACGCTGCAGTGTACTGACACCTATTTAGTTGCCCCCTCGTGTAGGGGTTTGATAAAAGGTCAGTATTACTTGTGCTCTGCCTCTTATAGATGATCTCATCAAATCTCATGTTTTCCCATAGAGAAAAACTGGGAGGCTAGCGCGCATGTAGGACAAAACGCTGCACTACGCCAATCAAATGGCCTCTGTGAGACTATCTGATTGAATAGCCAAGATTTACTTGGCTCTTGTGGCGAAAGGACCTCTAATGTGCATTGTACAGCGCTACGGAATCTGATGGCGCGATATAAATAATAAAATAATAATGTGCAGGAGTAGGCAGCCTTCAGCACTACAGATGTCGTGAACTATATCTCCCATAATACTCTTACAGCCAAAATGCTGGCATAGCATCAGGGGAGATGTAGACAACAACATCTAGAGTCCTACAGAACGGCAATGATTTCAGCTGCAGGGTTAAACTGACAGGGGGATGGCACCCAAATCACTTCATTTTGATAGTACAAGTCTCACATGTTGCTCCACTATCCAGGGGCTGTGGTCTAGTCAAACCACGTTCAATTCTACACGTCCACCACATAATGCTCTGCCTTCCATTAACAAACAAACTGCTCAGCATGTGATGCTTATTCTATCCAGATACTGTGCTGCATGACTAACAATGGTATTTTCTCAGCATAACCTCCATATACACTGCTCTGCATGACCCGTGCACACGGCTAAATTCTCACGCTGAAAGCACTGCACATTCCACTCACACTGCTCCGCATATCCCACACATTGTATGCTGCTGTCTGTTCATACCATACACATAATGCTCTGGCTCCATGAAGGGCAGACAGGAAGTTTGTGTTTGTGAACATGTTCAGCATTATTGTCAACTAGTATAAGTAATAAACAAATAGATACTTTTGGCACACAAGACTTATCAAATCGGAGAAGACACAGACAACTGCTTCAGCACACTGCCAGCCTACACTGTTATGTACTCAGCAATAACATACACAAGTAAATTACCCCCAACGACCTCATCTACACTTTGCTATACCAGAGATTATAGAGCACACTGAGGCATTATATCGCGGTCACAAGATCGCACTTGGGGACAAACGACTAATGTGAAATGTTGCCATTTTAATAATGTTACATGAATTTCCCTGTTTCTGAATTTGCTGTTGTGCAATGCTTTATTTGAAAACAAAATATCTTTGGAACCCAGTTAACAAACATGCCTAATTACAGGGACGCAAAACAGACGCCCTATTACATGTGAACTAACTGTTTATTGTCGGAGAAGATGTATATACAGCTGCAAAAATCAACGTGGTCAGAAATGCAGGAATATAGAGGGACTTATTCACTAAACAGCAAACTGTAGTGAAATGAAACCGAAAAAAAATAAATTAATTATTGTGGCCATCCTAAGGCACACCTGTGCAATAATCATGCTGTCTAATCAGCATCTTGATATGCCACACCTGTGAGGTGGATGGATTATCTCAAGGAGAAGTGATCACTAACACAGATTTGTGAACAATATTTAAGAGAAATAGGCCTTTTGTGTACATAGAAAAAGTATTATGTCTTTGAGTTCAGGTCATTAAAATGGGGTCAAAACAAAAGTGTTGCGTTTATAATTTTGTTCGGTGTATTTACAACACACATTAGGCACACACACAGAGATCATAGAACACACAATATATTATGAACTATGCAAACACGCAAATACAAAACACTATAAAACATAAAGTAAAAGCACACACTGTACACAGGGCAACACAGACCCACTGACTGCCAAACAAGAGGACACTGTGACAGCATTGTAATTAGCTGGCAGTGCTGATCATAAAACCTAACTTACATACCCCCCAAGTTTCCCTATTTAGGAGGGACAGTCTCTATTTTGTGCCCAAATCTCTCTCTTCCCTCTTTTCAAGGAGCTCCATTCTGTTGGTGTATGAGTGTATAACAGAGCTCCACAGCAATACTACTCACAGTAATTTGTCTTTAAACTACAATAATGTGTTTAGAAATCTCTTTGTAAGTAACATACATTGTTCTTGTTCTAAATCACATTTTATGTATAAATTGCTATTATTCAATGAAAAAGCCCTGCCTTTGGCCACATCTTCATTCACACCCCCAAAATTAAAGTGTTCCTCTTTGTCCATTTTAAATGTTGGGAGGTATTCACTTGTAGAATTTTTATTTTACATATCATAATCCCCTGTAAACAACTCTCCTGGCCTGCACCACATATATTGCCATTGTGGGCTCCATACAAACATTATGCTTTGATAAAGGGGTGAAAGAGTAAAAATAAGTAGCAGTATACCCAGATTGCCTAATGATGGCTGTCTCATGGTGCTATGAATTTCCTTCATATTTTGGACATTCATTAAACATCTATGGCTGAACACCCTTTGGTGCATGGATCTCCCTCCCTCTACATGATTCCGTTTGTCCCTCATAGAGCCTCAAATCGCTTCCATCCTCCCCGGCTTTCTGAGCCATGGGAAATATCCTGACTAAATTTAGAAAATTCCATCAGGATTATGCTTTTAGGAATCCCAAATTCCCCAATGTCCCAGAGTGGTATTACAATTCTGGGGCTATCTACACAGAATGGGGCAAAGGTTTATCAGAATTCATAGGAGTGTTGTTTATTAAAATGTTCATAGGAATGAATGCAAGTACTTTAAATCCTCAACGCCATATTCTTCCTGGGTGCATGATAAAGTGGTACACATTTAAAAGAAATACACATTACTTGATAAAACTAAATGGGAATCGGACCCTTCTGGGTGAGATTTAAAAAGTAATGTGAACAGAAAAGTGGTAAAAAGTGTTAAAAGTGGAGGAATCAGGGCGGAGCTTGACCGCAAGCCAGAGCGGACGCAACTCTGCATCGCTCCACACTAAAAACTGTTAAAAGGCCTGATATTCAAGGTTTCAAACCTCAAAGACCCTACTCCTGACCAGGGATATAAGCTGAGCGCCTCCCAGGACACCCTATGCCATTCGTATACCCGGCGAGGGTGAACCGGCGTAAACGCAGACCTGGGGCCTACAGACCCATGGCAGGGCTCCATTGGCCGGCACTGCTGAGCGGCTTTGAGTATCCAGAGTACCCAGAGGTAGAAGACTTCCCTACTTACTTGTCCCAGCATCGATGGGCCGACGGTTCCAAAAGCCACCTCCGGAATCACCAGTGGGGTCCAGGGACATAAGAACTGCAGCGACAACCACCTCCTAAAATGGTGGGAGCGGCGGACCGCGAGCCCACAAAGGTACCAGCAGACTCCGTACAACCTGACTTGCCTCCAGAGGAGGTACAAACAAACAAGGGGGACTCAGACGGGTCAGCCCCAGTTACACAGCGATCAAGAGCCTCCTGACAGCCGACGTGGCGACCATCAAGGTGGATGTGCAAGCAGTCACTGACAGGGTGAAGTCCTCGGAGGATGACATGTCATCTCTACAGGACTCTGTACTGGCCTTACAAGCCCAGCAACAAGCCCTCTCTCTCCACTACATAGCCCTAGATGACAGGACCCGACGTAACTACCTTAAGCTTAGGTGGGATACCTGATACCGTCATGCCTGACGAGCTCCCTCACTATATGAGGCGACTCGTAGCCTCATTACTGCCACCGACACATTTTAAAAAACGTAATATAGATGGGATCTACTGTCTACCATCATTGGGCAGAGCAGCCTCAAATATGGATCAAGATGTGATCGTGCATTGCTCTACCTCACAGGACAAAAGACTCCTGATGACAGCACTCCGTGGCAAGATGCCATTGACATTCGAAGATGCAAGTCTCTTAATTTACCAGAACCTAACCAGATCCACGCCACAATGGGGAAGATCTCTGAACCCCGTCACCAGCATCCTGAGAGAAGCGGGAATGGAATACTGTGACGGAACGCTGGCACGCCGACTGAGTACCTCCGCCAATCGATGCTCCTAGTGCTCGCTGAGGACTCCAAGCACTCCAACCGACACCATCAGCACTGCAGACCCCACTTCCAGCGATGTAACTGCGGCGGGGTCTCTGCTGTTTCCACCCACCCTGGACCCAAGGCCAGGATCCAGCTTCCAGTGGGTGAACCTCTCTTTCCCCAGAGAGCAGGAACAAATCAAGCTATTGCAAGAGCTTCCTCTGGGGAGTAAGTGATTATAGCAATCCCCAGAGTGTAGGTATCCCTTCCCCCAAACATGAGCCAAGGCTTAATGCTGGAACAAGACTAATTTACTGGCACACAGAACTCACAATTTATGCAACACAAAACTCCTCCTCTGGACCAGGCTAGATAATTGAGTTTCTACAATACACAAAGCTCAATTATCTGCTGGCCAGATATTATACAGTTTCATAAAACGCACAGGGACCCCAAAACATGCAATAACCCCATAAAAGGTATATCCTTGGAACTGGGGGATCTGGGTGAACCACATATCCAAAATTCACCCAGATCTGTTCAGTACTTTGGAAAATACAGTTTAATGCAGATTCTGCAGAACATATACAGGCTAAATGAAAAACAATCACTTTATAATGTGTCCCCTGCTGTATAGTCCAAAACCACTGCACGATGTCTCTGTGCACCAAATACTGGCGAGATGGCACCGTGTTGAAAAGTCCAACCAGTGTCTGTGAGTTAAAATGGCCGCCATCCATTGTTCTCACCATGTGCTTCTGATACAGGAAATGGTGGCCACCCAGTAACTCCACAGTATGTCCCCAGATGGTTCTTAAAGGGCCAGCAGCAGCACAACACAAATCCATTATGCCCAAATCATGTCTTTAAAGGGCAATACATCCCAGGGGCCATAGTCACAGGGCAAGAGGCGGGCAAGCAGTCCTCTCCAGGCACAAGTGGCGAAGGGCACTTCGTCACAAATACCACTGGAGATCCCCCAGGTTCCTGGTGGCCACACACAAGAGGACTGTACACAAACTATCCACACTGGCTGAGTCACCGACCTTCTTTAAGGCCCTGGGCCTCCCTGTTCCTAAACAGGTTACCAATCAACGATCCAGCACAGATGCCCGGGTTCCCAGGCAGGCAGAACCATCCACATCTTCTGACCACTTGAATCCAAAACCAGGAACCTGAATTCATCGGGAGCCGATCTACACAGCTGCAGCCCGAACATTCATATACTGTTTCGATGATGTTTGATTTATACCCAGCTTAATCGTTTCCCTACTTAGAGAGCCTTCTGGCTAGAAATTGCACCCTCTGGCACTCAGAATCTTGGGGTCTTGCCCCTATGGTAAGGAGTGTTATACCACTCTGCTGACAAACCCCCCCCTCGAGGCCCCCTTGGTTAGGAGCACAGCTAGAAAAAGGCCACCCTATAACAACCTGCCTGAATTACATTTAAGACCTCATGGCCAATAATAGGACAGGACGAGCACTACGCACCCATACTGGACCAACCCTAGAGGGGTCCCTCTGGGACTGAAACGAAAATCCTGGGTGGACTGGTGCCGACACCCTACGCTCTGGTGACCCTAACCTACTACCTTCCCTCTATCTCTATCTCTTCCTATCTCTCTCTTCCCTAGTTCTACTAGTTATGGGGAAAGTGGAACAACCCCAACGCTCCTAGAAGCAAATCACTTAGTTAAAACATCATACTGTTGTAAAATGAGAAAACGACGGCATACTGCCAAGCTGGTCTACAGGCCATTTCCTTAACTAAGAGGAACTAAAACCTGGATTAAATATTTGGCATCGAGCCACACGTAACGCAAGATTGGCATGGTTTATTATGTACTGAGCGAAAATAGTATACCTCTTTCTCCAGCACTACACACTCATACTTGACAGATACTGGAAGGACCCCTTTGGGACAGAGATAGAACACCTGGGTTGACTGGCACCAGCAGCGTATGCCCTGATGACCCCATTCTTCTACTTTTCCTCTATCCTCATCCTTTCCTAATTTTCTACTCACTCCTTCCACTAGTTATTGGGACTGTGGAACAGCCCCAAAGTTCAAAGTTGAAAATTACGTTGTGAAAACATAATAATATTGTAGGTGAGAAGATGAAGGCATCATGACAAACTGGACTGCCGACCAACTTACCTCACCTGATTTTCACAGTGAGAAGCACGCAAGCGCCTCTAGTGGCTGTCAATGAGACAGCCACTAGAGGATTAGGGGGAAGGCTTAACCCATTAATAAACATAGCAGTTTCTCTGAAACTGCTATGTTTATTAAAAAATGGGTTAACCCTAGCTGGACCTGGCACCCAGACCACTTCATTAAGCTGAAGTGGTCTGGGTGCCTAGAGTGGTCCTTTAATTTATCCACAAGTCAAAAGAATCCTACAGAAAGGCAAACTGCAGACATCATGGACAAAATGGCGGCACCCAGGTATTTAGTACAAGGCAAAAAGATAATAAATATATATAGCGGCAAGTAGAACGGGGTGTATAATCATTAAAATCAAAGGGGCATTACAACTAAATAAACCGGGGGAATACAATTATGACAGTGCTTTAACATTCCCATTTCCATGCTCTGTATGCTTCCTCCTGTTTCTGAAAGTTAAGGGAGTTTGTTTTGGGAGTCCGCTAATTTAGAGACAAGTTTACATTGATTTCAACTGACGGACACGGGTCGGGAGGTAACCTTAAACAAGATATGTAAGAGGAATTACATAAAATGTCCCTGCTGTGCCTTTTCAGAAGGCGGCTGCAACATCTGGGGCTAATTATATCAATCTATATTTATATAAAATACTCATATCTCACATGTGACAGATTTGCTTTAAAATAGAAAATGCCAGCAGCAGATATATTTTGGAAACTGTAGGCCCAGTGTTTGTAAACCCATCATTAAACACATTGTGTTCAAATCGAAAGTGACATTAGATGGCTAGATTTATCCCAGAGAGGGGACTTATTAAAAATATACTCTAATCACCATCATTTTATAGATTTCAATATAGCCCAGAGAGAGGAGGTAATACTGCATGGCACAGACGGGGTATACTGTCATACTGTAATGGAGGGAGGAGGTAACACTGCATGGCACAGATGGGGTATACTGTCATACTGCTTCCATAATTCTTCCCTGAGCTCAGGTGACAATCGAGGGTTGGAGAGCCGTGACCAGAAGGGATCGAGTCATCAGTTTAGCCTTTACATACTGCAATGGATAATGGAGGGAGGAGGTAACACTGCGTGGCACAGGCAGGGTATACTGTCATACTGCAACAGATAATGGAGAGAGGAGGTTACACTGGATGGCACAGATGGGGTATACTGTCATACTGCAATGGATAATGGAGGGAGGAGGTAACACTTCATGGCACAGGCAGGGTATACTGTCATACTGCAATAGATAATGGAGAGGGGAGGTAACACTGCATGGCACAGACGGGGTATACTGTCATACTGCAATGGATAATGGAGAGAGGAGGTAACACTGCATGGCACAGGCAGGGTATACTGTCATACTGCAATGGATAATGGAGGGAGGAGGTAACACTGCATGGCACAGACGGAGTATACTGTCATACTGCAATGGATAATGGAGGGAGGAAGTAACACTGCATGGCACAGACGGGGTACACTATCATACTGCAATGGATAATGGAGGGAGGAGGTAACACTGCATGGCACAGACGGGGTATACTGTCATACTGCAATGGATAATGGAGGGAGGAGGTAACACTGCATGGCACAGATGGGGTATACTGTCCTACTGCAATGGATAATGGAGAGGGGAGGTAACTGCATGGCACAGACAGGGTATGCTGTCATACTGCAATGGATAATGGAGAGAGGAGGTAATACTGCATGGCACAGACGGTATACTGTCATACTGTAATGGATAATGGAGGGAGGAGGTAACACTTCATGGCACAGGCAGGGTATACTGTCATACTGCAATAGATAATGGAGAGAGGAGGTTACACTGCATGGCACAGGCAGGGTATACTTTCATACTGCAATGGATAATGGAGAGAGGAGGTAACACTGCATGGCACAGATGGGGTATACTGTCATACTGTAATGGATAATGGAGGGAGGAGGTAACAGTGCATGGCACAGACGGAGTATACTGTCATACTGCAATGGATAATGGAGGGAGGAGGTAACACTGCATGGCACAGGCAGGGTATACTGTCCTACTGCAATGGATAATGGAGAGGGGAGGTAACACTGCATGGCACAGACGGAGTATACGGTCATAATGCAATAGATAATGGAGAGAAAAGGTAACACTGCATGGCACAGGCAGGGTATACTGTCCTACTGCAATGGATAATGGAGAGGGGAGGTAACACTGCATGGCACAGACGGAGTATACTGTCATACTGCAATGGATAATGGAGAGAGGAGGTAACACTGCATGGCACAGATGGGGTATACTGTCATACTGCAATGGATAATGGAGGGAGGAGGTAACACTGCATGGCACAGACGGAGTATACTGTCATAATGCAATAGATAATGGAGAGAGGAGGTAACACTGCATGGCACAGATGGGGTATACTGTCCTACTGCAATGGATAATGGAGAGGGGAGGTAACACTGCATGGCACAGACGGGGTATGCTGTCATACTGCAATGGATAATGGAGAGAGGAGGTAATACTGCATGGCACAGACGGTATACTGTCATACTGCAATGGATAATGGAGAGAGGAGGTTACACTGCATGGCACAGGCAGGGTATACTTTCATACTGCAATGGATAATGGAGAGAGGAGGTAACACTGCATAGCACAGATGAGGTATACTGTCCTACTGCAATGGATAATGGAGAGGGGAGGTAACACTGCATGGCACAGACGGGGTATACTGTCATACTGCAATGGATAATGGAGAGAGGAGGTAACACTGCATGGCACAGACGGGGTATTCTGTCATACTGCAATGGATAATGGAGAGAGGAGGTAACACTGCATGGCACAGACGGGGTATACTGTCATACTGCAATGGATAATGGAGGGAGGAGGTAACACTGCATGGCACAGACGGAGTATACTGTCATACTGCAATGGATAATGGAGGGAGGAAGTAACACTGCATGGCACAGACGGGGTACACTATCATACTGCAATGGATAATGGAGGGAGGAGGTAACACTGCATGGCACAGACGGGGTATACTGTCATACTGCAATGGATAATGGAGGGAGGAGGTAACACTGCATGGCACAGATGGGGTATACTGTCCTACTGCAATGGATAATGGAGAGGGGAGGTAACACTGCATGGCACAGACGGGGTATGCTGTCATACTGCAATGGATAATGGAGAGAGGAGGTAATACTGCATGGCACAGATGGTATACTGTCATACTGTAATGGATAATGGAGGGAGGAGGTAACACTGCATGGCACAGGCAGGGTATACTGTCATACTGCAATGGATAATGGAGAGAGGAGGTTACACTGCATGGCACAGAAGGGGTATACTGTCACACTGCAATGGATAATGGAGGGAGGAGGTAACACTGCATGGCACAGACGGGGTATTCTGTCATACTGCAATGGATAATGGAGGGAGGAGGTAACACTGCATGGCACAGACGGGGTATACTGTCATACTGCAATGGATAATGGAGGGAGGAGGTAACACTGCATGGCACAGACGGAGTATACTGTCATACTGCAATGGATAATGGAGGGAGGAAGTAACACTGCATGGCACAGACGGGGTACACTATCATACTGCAATGGATAATGGAGGGAGGAGGTAACACTGCATGGCACAGACGGGGTATACTGTCATACTGCAATAGATAATGGAGGGAGGAGGTAACACTGCATGGCACAGACGGGGTATACTGTCATACTGCAATGGAGGGAGGAGGTAACACTGTATGGGACAGATTGATGCTTTCATTGTGTTCTCCAGTTTCTAGGCCAGATGTTTCCAGTTGTGGCAATACACTAATGTTTAGCAATTCACAGACTCTGAAGTATCAAACCCCCAATTCTTCCCCCCGCCCTGCATCGTTTAGGCTGCAGCTGGGAGGAGATGCTGCCAGGGGCGCAGAGAGACAGAAACAGCAAAATGGGTGAACAAACACAAGCTGCAATCCCTGGCAATGGCACAATACTTAACAGAAATCATTGTTGCCCCATTAATATATCTGCTCTAAGGGGATCTCCCAAATTAGCATCACATTATGCTTGTGTTAATGTAAAAAATAAGCAATCACTAGATGTACACACGCTAGCAAGTATACTCCACTGGGACATGAATGGCTAAACTCTCAAATAAAGGATAACAGACAATATATAAAATATAGTTGTCTCCCGTCTTGCTGGGTTTAAGATGCAGTAGTAGAGATTTAGAGCCTGTCTGGGTAGTAATCCATTCTGAGACAGAAATCATCCATGGAGTTTTTGCATCATACTGTATGTACAGCGCTCCAGAATATGTTGGATTTATATACAGAGATAATCAGCCCTAGCCCCTTATATCATATTGTACTAGGCCATGGAAATCTGTCAGGACCAGGGTAAGTTAAGCCATCCAGCACAGAAGGAGTTAAATCAAAACTCATGGAAAATTCATGGTACTAGTTAATGATACTCTCACCAGTCACTACAAGTATTCCTGTCAGTTAGAAACAAACTAATAGAACACAGAAGCTAACTGGCTGCAGCCAAGTTTTTCTAACAAAAAATGAGAATTAGAATCACGACCCAGAACATATATTACTTACTTGGGTGCTGCCAAAACGACATAGCTATATGGCAGACAATGCAAAAAATACAACACAAAAATCAGGACTGACATGCTTAATTGGGGACAGGCATGCTATGAAGTACACATGGGTTGTGATTTTTTTTTGTGTGCGTTAAATTAACACTCCAAGCACCACAACCACTACATCTTACTGGCACGCCAATTTTAGGTACTCTATGTATTTTTGAATAGTAAGAATTATTACCTAAGGTCACCTAAGTGTCACTCCCCGTCTCCACTACTAATGCTGAAGAGTCAGAGGCTCCTGCCTATGCAGCTTCCATTTGCTATACTAAGCTAAGCCAACAACAATGACCTTTAAGCAGGGATGCAAGTAATACAGCCCCTGATACTGGTATATTCTGACATATCAACCTTAAGTTCTAGAACTGCAGAGATAGTGAAATTTTTCAGATTTTAAAACAGCGTTAAAGGGACACTGTATGCATTATAACCATGTCATCTCATTAAATTAGGTAAAGTGCATGGAGTCCCCTGGCATTCTCCCTCCATTCAATATTTAACCATTTTGAGCAATATAACACTAGTAGGTCACAAGCGACCCACAGGCCAGCCTCTACTGGAGGTTTAGACTATACTACACACTTCCATCTAGCCAAACCAATTCATACCAGCAATGGGCACTGTGATAGGCTGAGAGGGGTTTAGCTGAAACTCTCAGCCAATCACATCCTCCCACCATTGCTGCTCAGGCTAATGTTTCCTCTTAAGCCCGAGCAGCACAGGGGCTGCTGGAAACTCATTGAGACGAAGCTGTTAGAATGCATAGTGTCCCTTTAAGATGGTTTGTGTTACATAAATACTATAACAGAAACATAGGTTTCCAACTCAGTCCTCAAGTACCTCCCAACAACAGGGTAATGTTAAGTTCCTCCTAACATTACCCTGTTGTGTCTATAGTGCTTTTTCCTTTCTTTTTAGAAACATCTTAGACACAACTGGGTAATCCTGGATTGTTAGGGGGTACTTGAGGACTATAGCATTAGGAATACAAATGTGTATTCATATAGTTCCCTGTTAATAGTTTAGGTTCCCCACCCCTCTTTTTGTGATAAAAAAAAAAAAAACATTTTACTTACCTTTTCCCTTCTAGACAGTTATTTAAACCCTGCAATGTAAACATTGCAGTTTCTGAAGAACAGCAACATATTTTGCACTGCAGGGTTAAAACAAGAGGGACATGGCACCCGGATCACATCATTGAGTCTCTTTAAAGACTAAAGTGGTCTGGGTGCAGTGTCCCAGTTCCTTTAACCTTGCAACGTATGTTTACATTGCAGGGTTAAGACTGCCTCTAGTGGCTCTCTACCTACTATTTCACAGAGTTTAACTTGAAACAATGCTGGACAATGCTCAAGCTTTGCATTAAGACGTCTAGTGTTTTGCAAAACCCCATAGGAAAGCATTGATTCAATGCTTTCATAAGAGGAAGACCTAATGCGTGTGCAACACCTGCTGAGCTTACGCATTATGTCCCCTGCTATTGACGATGTCGGAGTAGGTGGAGACAAAGTCAGTGATGAGAAACCTTGGTGCTGGAATCAATTATTATTATCATTACCATTTATATAGCGCCAACAGATTCCATAGTGCTTTACAATTTTATAAGAGAGGGGATTTAACTATAGATAGGATAATTACAAGAAAACTTACAGGAACGATAGGTTGAAGAGGACCCTTCTCAAATGAGCTTACAGTCTATAAGGGATGGGGTATAAAGCAATTAAGTGTTTAAATAGTGGTTTACCCTTTATTTGGCACTGAGAAGGGGGGCCTGGACACTAACTTTAGGGCAGAAATACACTACAGTGTTAGATATAAAGTTTTGTATTTCTAACGCTATAGTGTTCCTTTACGCTTCTCTCTCAGTTAATGTTTAGTGGTATTCTTGAGGATGTGGTGCGTTTAACACAATATGGTGATATGGTTTAATTAAATCATATTTTGTAGTTGAGCAGAGGTGTGCAAATATAACAAAAAAAACTACTTGTCCAAGGAACTAAAGTGGTAGCCCAATCCACTTGTCCATAACAATATACAAAAATGTATTTCAAATTGGAAGTGTAGGGTTCCTGCTTAAATTCTCCTGTGCAGTTATAGTCAAAACTGGCTATTTTTGTCTCCGTTTTGCCACTAGGATTTCATTTGCGAAAATGTGGAGTTTAGTGTCTCGCCCTCTGTCGTCCCCTCCCCCACCTTCCCCCCATAGTATGTATGTGATGGCTAAATGTAATGAGTGTCTGTGGTGTGTGCTGGCTACATGTAATGTGTGTTTTATGTGTGGTGTGTGCTGGCTGTGCATATAATGTGTGTGCAAGCTTTATGTTTCATGTTTGATGTGTGCTCGCTGTTTGCAGTGTGTGGTGTGTGCTAGCTAGTGACATTGCTTAGCTTTCCTGGTAAATGTTATCGGAACCCTTTAGATCCAACGAGGAGGGGTCATATTCCCTTGCATTCTAGTGGGGTCCTGGATTCCTGGTGGGCTGGTAAGAGAGCGTGAGGTCTGCAGCTATGAACCAGGAAAATATTACTACAATATTAAATCACTTACATGAGACATACAAAGTTTTAATTCGGAAAAAAAGGATTTGCTAAGAATTTTGAAGACACCCTCTGGCAGTTTAGTTGTTGGGCACTAAATAGTCCATCATGTGCATGATTTGTATCTATAACTAGAATACTATAGCATAAGGAATACATGTTTGTATTCCAAACGCAATAGTGTTTCTTTCACCCAGGCACGTGGGAGTATAACTGAATTTTTACCATGAATTTTGCTGAAATATTTTGGTGAAATTACAGGGCATAATTTCAAGTTCTACACTACTAGCCAGACCTTACAGTTAACCTGCTATTAAAAATTTTACTTACCTTAAATCACACCCATATACATTGAATACACCATATATCCATATATCACAAAGATATATGGTGTATTCAATGTAAAAGATAAAGATTTACTCACTTTTCCTCTGTTCCAGCGCCGACATCAACATTTATGGGTTCATGTAACACCCACCTCCGGGCCGTCCTCCACTCCGCCTCTGTTCTTCTTTGATTTACCCTGTTTGGGATGCACCCCCAAGTAGTGCAAAGTTTGCTAGTGGTTTCTGAACGCTGGATTTGTGGTCAGCGTGCCGTCGTCGGAACAGACTGACATCACGTCACTCCGTTTCCATACTCCCTAGCCGGTGCTTGAAGTGCAGGTTAGCGAGTTTCCATAGCAACCACAGCGCTATGCTATGTGGGAGGTCTTTTCAGCTCCCCTTTGTCAGTCAATGCCTCTGCATTTTTAAATAGGTTTTTCTCCTAGTCTATACAACTGCTAGCACAATGTATAGATAGAATCTTATGTTCAATCTAATGAGCATACGTTGTTTGGGGCATGACAGGTAGCCTTTAAAAGTTACTAGCCACTGCATTCCTGCCCCATTTAACATTGGTGAATTCCAACTCGCCATGACTAGAGAAGAGTGGAAATTTTGACCCTGCATGGACATATGCCAATATAGCCTGCTTAGTGCGTTTCACAATATTGTCCTATATTATTATTTTTTTTATTTAAATTCTGCAGCTTGTTACAATTTTACAAGGGGATAAAACAGGAAATGAGATACAAAATACTACAAATGTTAACAGGGATAAAAGGTTAACAAGGTTAAAATCAGATTATAATCTAGAGCAGAGGTGGTCAAATGTAGATCATCTCCAGCTGTTGTAAAACTACTTTACTAGCTGGGAGACTGGCAATGATTCATGGGAGTTGCCGTTTTGCAACAGCTGTTCAGTTTAGATTAACTAGTCCAGAGGCACTCTATTAGAGGGTACACACTTAGGAATCTCTTGTCCAAAACAAACAGTGCAAGTAATATCACAGCCATAAAAAGCTAAATCAGTGAAGTAGGTGACAGGCCATTAAGGACTGGTCAAAGGTCATAGTTATGGGATTAATAGTATTTTCTCTAAAGTGTTCAGACTAGTGACCTCCTATGGTGTATCAACACATTTATCCTGATTCCCCCACCCTGAATGCCATGTGCAGCAAACCACAACTCCCAATTGCCCAGACACCCAAAAATTAGGCAACCATAAGAATTCCAGCTCTTCTGACCTATCATTGCAAGATGTCCACCAAATGGTTGAATTTGGAGCAATGAAGGCCACCTTTCAGCTGAATAAGCATTATAGGAGCTGGAATCCACATAGGCTGACGTGCCAAAATACTTCTAACCCCTGCTTTAGCCTGTCCCCCCAGCCTCTCTGTCCCCACTGGTAAGACTCAGGCCATTGCTGACACAATGCAGAGCCTGGAGATGAAGGAGAGAATTATCAGGCTTTTTATCAGTGCTCATTAGATTAGTGTCAGGGCCGTGTTTAAGAGATGGATGCGGAGGCACTAGGGTGGCAGTTCTAGGAAAGCTGATACTGCTGCTTACATGTTATCAGGGGCTGAAAGCAACTGGTTTTATAGACAGTGCACAGGTGGCTGAGCCATCCATTGTCACATTAAAACAGGTGCCAGGATTAAACAACGGGACTTGTTGTGAGGCAATACCTAGGCCTTAACAGAACCCTGCCTGAAATATTCATGGTATTACTACACAGGCAGACAGACAGACAGACATACAAAGCCTCATCTAAAGTTTGTGGGGAAAGTGAACACAGATAAGTAGATAGTAGAACACATTTAAGAGTGGCCATTTCTTATACTATTATGACCAACAAGGCTGCCAGAGCTTACAAATCATTGACATATATTCATTCTCATTGCCGTACAACAGTATAGGCAACCTTTTAGTAGTACTGTGCCAAAAATGTATTTTTACTGCGTGTATGCTTCCGTATTGTGCTTGTGTTATTTATGGGTGCAGCAGTAACTTTGTAACATTGTATTTGTGCGTATGTGGGCTGTTATATTGTAGTTTGTGGTATTGTGTATGATATCTATGAATGGGGGCTGCCTGTGTAATTGTCCTGTGAGGACTGTGCTGGTCAGATACCGTTTAAGAGCAGGAGCTGTGATAGCTGCTAGTGTTTAGTTACAGGGGGCTTGTCTTGCAGAATCCCAGCTAGGAGGAACCTTCTGTTAGCACAGGTTCTCAAGTTAGTCAGTGAAATCTATTCACTAAATACCATGCCATGATGACTCTGTTTCGGCACAAAAAATATATCAGACGTGGGGGAAAATATCCTCCAAATTGGCAGTATGAAGACTGTTTCAGACTAATCCATTTTAGCCCAAATTTTCAGTCAGTTCTTAAGTCGTCACAACTTACTGTTCAGTACATAGGCTGTTGATACTTGGCAGCACACTGGCATGTTTAGCTGGCCATGCATAGGCACAATGCGATCTAATGTGGTCAAAATAAAATCAAGGCAGAACAGGCTTTGCAGCTGCAAGATGATAGTGATACTGTAATATTGTTTATCCGTCTCTTTCGCCCATTACGGCTACTGTGTCATTTTGGCCTAATTAATGCCCTGTAACCCAGAGAGAGGGAACCTGACACTGCCGCTGCCCGCCTGCATGTGATTATCATGGGACAGGCTCCAGAATCTGATCCCTATGCTAAGAGAATTAATCATCGGAATGGTCTGAATGCTGCTCTCTCCACTTGTGTTTTGAAATCATCTGAAGTGGGATTAAGACGTGCTGACATCCCAGGATGTGTTGAAGTTTATATCCCTATAAAGCCAATGTTAAGAGCCTGTAAGAGCCAAGTGACAGAACTGATCAAGTATACAAATTGCTTTCTCTTCTTACTGCAGCCTGGGAGTGCCGTAGGGATTTCCTCCTCGATGCAATGCTCACCCCTCTGGCACTCTGTGGGTTAACTCAGTAGTGGGTGGGAGATTCCAGGCCATTCTAGCAAGGTTTCAGTTATAAATTAAGGAAATCAAGATAAAGATCATTTAAAACCAGGACAAAGTTCAAAAAGAAAATGAAATAAGAATCCATACGAAAAAAAGAGCAGGAAACCGTTCATTCCTAATAATGGAGCAATACCGGATGGGAGCATTTGAGTTATAGAGGATTTTACTCTGAGAGTTTATATTTCTGATAAATCCATCCTTTGTGCAGCGCGGCGGAATTTGATGGTGCTTTAAAAAAAAAAAAAATGGGAAAAGCAAAGAAATAACAAAGCAAAAACAGATATGAAGAGGAACAAGCAAGAAACATACGCTCAGCAGAGGTGGTAAAAGTAATAAACGGTGTTGAATTTACCCATGGTCTTTTATCCAGTATTACTAGCTGATTGCTTTCTTTTGGACATCATGGGAGAACATGACAGCTGTCACTCCTTTTCAAATTTAAAAACTAATCAATATAAAATTAGACACTTTTGATCTCACAATGCCTGTGAGAGGAGTTTCTCCCATTAAGTCACATCTTTCTTTAAGTGATACTTTAAAATTCCACAATTCTTGGAAATATTAGGATATAAATATCAAGACATAAATAGCTTATGTAAGTGTAGTTCCATATCCCATGAATGGGTATATTCCCACATCCTATGGACAGACTTACAAGCCATGAAGTGATATATCCCCAATCAAACACAAGGAAAGGCATATCCCTAAATCACATGGACGGGCATATTTACACAATACAAGGAGGATATCATAGGGACAAGCATATAAACACATAGATGCATAGGTTGAACAGCTTCATATTCCATTTTATGCAATGATTATTCTAACTAATTAAGACTTTCCACATCTAAAAACCCAAAGACATTTTGATTTCTTAAAATTTTGATTCCTGGTATGTCTATAGAATGTCCCATGCTAGGCCGAAGCCACCAGAGTTCAGCAGGCAGTCTTTGCTGTACAGCGAGCCGCGAGTATATGCTCAGTGTTATAGCAGAGTAGGCACCTGCAATGTGAGGAAAACGTACCCGGCCGGAGAGGAGTGCCAGTGAGGGAGCTCAGTGTTCCTGCTCCTCACTGCTCCCTCGCGTGCGCCGTCTGTAGTGATGCCGGGCGCCGGAATATGATGTCATATTTTGGCACCCGGCATCACTAAACCACGCGAGGGAGCAGTGAGGAGCAGATAGAAAATCCCCACTGTTCCCCAGGGGGAGGCCCCACATCGGTTCCAAAAGTTAGGGAGCAATAAAGAAAATGTGTGTGCAAGAATGTGTAAATGTATGTATGTCAGTGTGTGTGTGTCTGTCTGTCGGTCAGTCAGTGAGTGTGTCTGTGTGTGTGTCTGTCAGTGAGTCTGTCTGTGTGTCTGTCAGTGAGTGTGTGTGTTTGTGTGTGTGTCTGTATCTTTGTGTGTCTGTCAGTGAGTGTGTGTGCCTGTCAGTAAGTGTGTCTGTCAGAGAGTGTGCGTGTGCTGGTCAGTGTTGCATTGGCTGTGACTGGACAGTGGAGTACCTGGAGGTGCATGGAGGCACGCAATGCCACGTCACATTCCGACGTGCTCCACCTTCACAGGGTTTCAAGAAGTAGCGGGAGGATCAAATTTGGCACAGAATGCGGACGGCGCCATTTGGGGTATACCAGAGGCCAGACTCCAGAGTTACATACTGGCTAATCACACACATGTGAGTGGAGTCTGCTTGTTGGCTAGGTATTTAGTATATGCGGGGGCACTGCGATTTAGCAGAGGGGGGCTGCTGTGGTTTAGTAGAGGGGGATGCTGTTTTTTTTTTTATATACTGTACTTTTGAAAAGTAACCTACGTTTCTATGAAAACATAAGGTTTTTTGGGTTTTTTTTGCGGCCGACATAAACTTAAACCTTAAACCTTGTTTATGTGGCTCGTGCTAGACTTTGAGTTTGACATGCTTGCTGTACAGTACAGAGTAACTGATCAGACTATGTATTAACATCACTTACTGCAGTCATTATACTGGACATCTGGACCCACTCTAAGACACTGAATTCTACATATAAGCAGCAACTCGCTAGCCTTTTACCCTTCCAACTCATTTCATTCAAGCATAACCAATCCTGTTCTTCCATCCAGTTTAAGAACCTCGGCTCACACAATAGAAAACACAGTGGGAACCTTTGGACATTCCCCTTCTCCTCAGTGTAAGTATTAGCCTTTTGGCCACCATTCACAACCGAGCCTTCTGGAAACCCTTAGCCTTTACAATTGTATAAATTTCCTGTTCTTGTTACCCGCATGCTTCTTCAAACCTTGGCTTGTCCTTATTTGAACACCTGGGCTTGAATTTTCCCTATGAGACTATTGCTCAGCTATTCTCGCAGTTATTTAATTATGATCACTTTCCCTTACTTAATAAACTTAATTATGGGAAAAGGAAATGAACTCTCACAAAACGTTCTATCTAACATCTCACTGCTCACAAACTAAAGAATCGGTCTAGAAAAACCTCTCTCGTTCTGTGTCCGATGTTTCTTATATGTACTGTGTCCAGCTTCCCATTTCCTGTACTGTGACCAGTGGCACTATCCTGTACTGTACTGTAATTACAGAGCAAATCACCATGTCTCATAGCAAAGATACAAAAGCGTCTATTGACTTAATTTACAAAAACTTTCAATGCTGCTACTTTTGCCTAAATGTTCTTTAAGTTAGACTTGTTGAATAAAGACTGTTCTTAATTCACAAACTTGCTGTTCGGGGAAACAAATGAGCTGGGTTGCACACTAATCACCATCAACTCCCATGATCCCTATCCATATTCTAGTTTACTAATATAAGATATGTACCCTTCCTTCACAAATGAATAGGTGTTCTCCGATAAATACACATACAGGAACACACAAGGCTAATGATGCAGGAGGGAGACTCACCCTATCTTTTCTTTGCATACAAAGTCTCTGTAGTCCACGATCTTATAATCACACTATTTTAGTTTCATATTACGTAGTAGGTTCAGCTTTCTAGAATGCATCACAACTGTGTGCGAAATCTAGCTCATTTACCAAGTAAAAGAAATGCACCCACACATTTAAACCTATGCAAAGCTCAATAATAAATATTCCTTAAAACGTCTGCAGCTAATCTTACTTCCTGCTATGCTAAATGTCCTCTTTTAAAAAAAATTTTTTTTTTTTTTTAAAAACACATCTGTTCTGCATTGTTCTTATTAATAATCATCATTGTCTGGCTCTATATTGCCTAAAAAAAAAAAAAAAAAAGAGTTATTGCTAAAGTGTAAAGACTGCTGCATTTTATGGCCCTTTGTTCCGATGACAAGCTTATCTCCTTAGTTTACAATGCTTAATCTTTCCATCTTTTCCAACACAACACATGCAGCTTGGCTGAAGGCTAACCTCAACCATCATTCAACCTACACCAGTAGAAAGAAAATGAACCACTCCCTCAAATCAACAGGTATATTAGGCAAACTTTCATTGTGCAGTTTTTTACTCTTTAAAGAAACATTTTTCTCTGCCATTGAACTCTGACAAAGAGAGAACGAAAATTGTGACCCTACACTTTCGAGCACATTTGTAGGTCAAAGGTCATGGCTGAATTTTCTCATTCAGAAATTGGGAGATGGAGTGAGGGCATTCAGAACTCAGCACACTACAGGCATTCCTTAGTTGCAACAGCAGCCTATAATGCCTTTGTACCCACATGCAGACAATATTTTTATTCAAACTAAACAAAAACATGTTCAAAACAACATCATACAGTCAGATTTCTAGAAATAATTGGAGTAGCTTTAAGTAAACGTTGCCTTTCCTCTAACTACACTTTTGTCAAAGAATGCACATAAATTCTATTTGTTTGAACCATTTTCTAGCAGAGTAAATTGCTTGCATGATGTGTTTAATGTTTTTACCCTCAAGAAGACAAATGAATTCAGAATGCACTACAGGGAACAATGTATAAACGTTCTATTAACTTGCAAATACTGTATCATTGAAACAAGGTTATAAAGACAAAAATGGTTCGGCTTCAATTTACTGTTTTGAAAATATCAAATATAACAGTTCCAAATATCATTTAAGGCTGAATTCATAGCACACATGGAGAGAGCTATTAGTTTGCTCCAGTGCATTTTATGATCAGCAACCATGGTTTAAATTTGAGCTCTCCTCTGATTTGGTAAAATACAAATATCTAATTGGAATGCTTTTAAAACCAAAACATTCCATTGTTAACTTAAATATTTAACTGCTTATTAACTGATTTATCTCAAAAGGAGGGGCTCCCACATCGCTAAAGAAGTATAGCTCACATTTAAATGAGTCTAGAATTGTATGGAATAGCCTTCCAGCTGATGTGGTGGAGGCTATAATATGGGAGGAGGGTTAGGCATAATTTTGAGATATATAAACTGCCATCCAGTGGAAGAAGTAAATCAGTAAAGAGAACAGTAGATATCTGGAATAGTTTTTTAGGTCTATTTGAGCCTTTTTAATGTCCCTGGTTTGGGGTGTATAACAAGTATTGAAGGCTAGACCAGTGGTAGATGGTATGATTAACAGGGTTTCCTGTCCCTTTAAAATCCTTCTTGCCCACAGAAATGACTGACTCTGAGATATATATTTATATATATATATATATATATATATATATATATATATATAGTCTTTGTTAAAATAACTACACATTATATAGAGGTCCCTCACCTCCCCCACCCCTACAGGACTTACGTCAGATTTTGGGAAAATATTAAGTATTTTGCGATTGAGGTTCGATCTCAATACAAATTACAAAATAAAGCATCCAATTCCCCTTCCCCCAAACATCCCCGACCACCCACTGAATGGGCAGAGAGAAGTGTGGTAACCCAATGGCTGCTGGCAGAGAGAACATTCCGTGTGAGAGACAGCCTGGAGGACCATTTCCAATAAAATATCTGCTGGGAGTTAAGGACGGACAGCAATTTGTGGTCACAAGGCATTTTCACTTCACCATACAAGTGGCTGCTAAGAGCCACAATTAGAATAAGACCAATATCTACAGTTCCCTCTAGGTTTATGTAATTAATTACTATGTCATACCTGAAACTAAGTGTGCCACAATACGGTGCATGGCATTATAAAGTGGAAAACTTTGTTGGCATTATTTAGTTAAGACTGCATATGCTAGGTTTCATCCCCCCTGTATTAACTAGACAATTTAGGGTCACTATAGTCACCAAAACAACTTTAGCTTAATGAAGCAGTTTTGTGTGTAGATCATGTCTCTGTAGTCTCACTGCTCAATTTTCTGCCATTTAGGAGTTAAATCACTTTTTGTTTCTGTTCATGCAGCCCTAGACACACCTTCCCTGGATGTGATTGACACAGCCTGCATGAAAACAAAATGGTTTCATTGCCAATCAGATGTTAACTTATTTTAGAGGTTTTTATCTCCTGCTCTGTAAATGGAACTTCAATCACACACAAGAGGCTCCTGCAGAGTCTAGCAAACTATTAACAGAGCAGGAGATAAGAAAGTATAAATTAAACATAATGTGCAATGAAGGAAATATAAACATTAGATCTCACTTTACAGGAAGTGTTTGGGAGACTGTGGACATTACATGCAGAGATGTGTGACTAGTACTTTATTTTAAAAAAAAGTGATTTAACTCCTAAATTGCAGAGAATTGAGCAGTGAGACTGCAGTGGCATGATCTATACACCAAAACTGCTTCATTAAGCTAAAGTTGTTCAGGTGACTAGTGTCCCTTTAAGAGTAACCCACAGTTGTATCTTCTCCAAGGCAGGGTGTGGGGCAGTGGGGTACATACTGGGGTCGCAGTTGCGACCGGGCCTGGCCCACCAGGGGGCCCGGCCGCCCTGCGACCCGGTATGTACGCCAGTGTGGCCAGCCTCTTCTCCAGGGGGGCCCAGGAGCAGGCCACCTCAGATCCCCCGAGGCTGGGACTGGTATCACTGGGTGGCCGGTCCTGCAGGCGCGCGAGGGAGCACTCTCCCATGAGCGCTCTCTGCCCAGCTCCCTTGCGCGCACCATACTGATGCCGGAACCAGCTCCGGCATCAGTAAGCGGCCCGTGAGGGAGCTGGGCAGAGAGCGCTCAGCCAGGGAGAGTGCTCGCTCGCACGCCCGCAGGACTGGTCGCCGGGCAGCGCCACTGTACCCCAGGGAATCCCCTCAGCACTCCCAAAGGTAGGGAGCCTGGGGGATCACATTTTTTTTTTTTTTTTTTTAAACGTGTGTTTGTATGTGTGTTAGTATGAGAGTGTGTATGTGTGTTAGTATGAGAGTGTGTGTGTTAGTTTTTGTGTCAGTGTGTGTGTCTGCTAGTGAGTGTGTTAGTTTTTGTGTGTGTGTGTTACTGTGTTAGTTTGTGTGTGTCTGTTATTGAGTGTGTGTCTGCTAGTGAGTGTCAGTGTGTGTGTTAGTTTGTGTGTCAGTGAGTGTGTGTGTGTCCTTGAGTGTGTTACTGTGTGTGTGTCGGTTAGTGAGTGTGTGTTTGTCAGTGAGAGTGTATGTGTGTGTGTGTCAGTGAGTGTGTATGTATGACTGTCTGTCAGTGAGTGTGTATGTATGACTGTCACTGAGTGTGTCTCTGTAAATGTGTATGTCTGTTAGCTAGTGTGTGTGTGTTTAAAGCCCCTTCAGCACTTACCTTTCTCCAGCGCCGGACTCCCTTTGCGCTGGGGATCCCTCAGCCCTGATCCGCTTGTTGGCTCCGAATGCGCATGCGCGGCAAGAGCCGAGTGTGCATTCAAACCGCCCATAGGAAAGCATTAATCAATGCTTTCCTATGGACGTCCAGCGTCTTCTCACTGTGATTTTCCTTTAAGTGTATGTGTATCTGCATGCACTGGCGTACATACAGCGGGCGCAGGGGTCGCACCCCTGCAACCAGGTGCCCGCCGCCATGTGTTGCGTCCCCGGCCCGTGCAGAGTAAGCACAGACCAATTTTCGCACTGGGGCACCATGGGTCGTGTATACGCCGCTGGTGTGGGGAATTATCCTTCTCTTTAATAATCCTGATGACCTGTGCTCAGCAATCCAGGCCTGTATCACCGGTGACAAAGGAGGCTTCCTTTGTATCCTTTGTATCTTTAAATAAAGTTTCCATTTTTCTTACTACCTTATCAATCATCAGGACTTCAAAGTGAATTTCAAGTTTTAAGACAAGAATAGCTTATCCAAAAACGTAACTGACTTGGGAGAATATTATTCCAGTTCAGCTGTTTTATTGTAAATTATGAAATTTACTAATTTTACCAACAATTCAGACTGGAACTGCTACTGAGCCCATTGATTCTTCCACTTCATGGCCCAGCAGCTTCTAAGCTTGACACTAAAAAGGTTAATCACTAAAGTTCCAAAATACTTTGGATAAATTACTCACATTTATCCCTTTAGTAAATGACCTTGTATATAAAAAAAAACCCACACACACGTGAGCATTAGATTTAACCCTTTCAAGGCTTCCTACTCTGACATTGAAACCTTGCAAAGGGTTAAAAGCCACAGTTGAGCCTAGATATTATCCTCCTGTTCCTGACATTTCGCTGTATGTATCCCCCAGATTCCAGAGAGTTAAGCAAGCAAAAGGTCTATTTTCATAACCTCAAGAAGAGGGGGATACTTTTACAATTTCCAGTGATTTTTCAGCAGCAAATATTTTTCCAGAAAAGCCACAACATGACACTGAGTCACTGGGAGCCTCGGAGAATAAACCTGCATCCCGCAAGAAATCAGGGTTATCTTCCCAGCATCCAGGACCCAGGGACAAATAGGAGACAAAAGAGGAAGAATGGTATATATACTGGAAAAATCTAACCAGATACATCAGCAGGAAAACTAAAAATAGCCACATCTGAAACAGATCATATGGCGAACCAGGGAACCAATGTAACCAGTTTAATCTTTTCCAGAACTTAATGGCAACCTCCAGCGGCTGGCATATGTGGTATTAAAGAAGCTGGGTATTAAAAAAGATGTGTGCCATTCACAAATCTATTCATCTCTTTGTCTGTCTGTCTATCATCAATTTTGCCCTGGTTATGGTGCCAGTAGTCTTTGGGTGCTATATTTTGTAGTTTTTTTTATTTATTTTTTCATTTTAATGTGTTAATTCAGTGCTGTAAGAGAGTCAACAGACATTTGGTACACCAGAAAGTATACAATGATTTAGATTGGCAGAATCCTACTCCAGTGTGCAAATCAAACACATATATTATATCATAATGAGGAAGTAAGTGAGTGAATGTCAGATAGATGGGTTGCGTTAGGGTGTCAGCAAATATCTTACTTTGTCTCAAGCCTTTAGAAAAGTAGGCTTCACTCAGGGCACCCTAGCACTTTAACCACTACAATAAGCTTTTGTGGTTATGGTGCTTGTTATGTCCCTTTAAACAATTGGAGTGATCACATCCCTACCCAGCATATAGATTAAGTAGTTTGTGCATGGCTTTGCTGACCTGAGTAGATGGTGTGAACATGCTCTGCTCACATAGAGGGGACGTGGGAAAGGGACCAGCTGTGAGCTCAGACCAGTGCCTGAGCGTCTGTGACTCATTAAAGCGCCGGGGACAGAGGACGTGGGAAAATAAACTCGCTCCATCATGAAGCGCTTTTCTTCCATTTCCAGAAATGCAATATTGGCCAGAAGCAATGAAAAAAAATACATTCATCTGGCAGCTTTAAATCCACAGCCCTCTCATAAAACAGCAGAAGTCACATATACAGCAATACTGAGTATGACCCCCCAGACACAGCTATTACTAGATATTATAGCTGCTGACCCCATCCCAAAATTTGTACAGAGAATTTTTACAAGCTTTCTTATAAAGAGCGTATGTGTTATGCAGAGCGTATGTGTTATGCAGAGAGAGAGATAAGATGACATACAATTACTCTAACACAGCAAAATCTGTCCACACTATATAAATAAAATATAACAATTTCAAGAACTAAAGGTGATAAGGGTACCCATCCCCAGTTTTCTGGATTTTAACGTGTTAATGTCTGTGCTAGGGATAATTAGTGTCCCATTGCACTGCCAGGCTAATCACTGCAAGCTGCTGACCTAGGCTCAGTTTTTATCTCACTGAAACCTCAATAGTCTCTGGCTCATTGTGTTGTTAAGTTAGTTACACACACCTGTGACATTCTTTCCAGGCTATGTTTTTTAATGCTCCGATGGCCCCATAGTACTGGGTGTCATTAGAAGGGGTGCTAGGCCTGCAGGTGTGTGCCCATTAACGCCATCCAAGATATGCTATGTATTTACAGAGCCATAAACAACATTGTCCTCATGGTGGGAACTGTCAGATGTTGATAAGAGCTCACCTGCTCTTGCAGGGCACCCAAAGCAACCCTTGTAGACTCCATTGGTCTACAAAGCATGCATGGTTTAGCTTCCAGATTCTGACTCCTAGCTCAACCAGTGTACCGCGACCACATTATTCACTGAACAGCAAGTTATGGGTGACATGACGACACCCGAAATGTACATTTAGTAACTAAAATGTGGAGTTGGTTACATTCTACAATTGACAAATTGCTAAACAATTCACCGCAAACCGTTTAGTGAATAAACCTACTATATACTAATCTACTATCTACTAGTCACTACTGCCCCCTTTCAGAACGAGATCTAACCACATTGATGCCACGATGTTGAGTCATCCAGCAGACTCTGAAAGTGTTATCATTTGAGCACAAAATACAGATTAAGGAACAGCGTACACAAAAAATAAAAAAGTTCTAAAAAAAAATATAGCTGGACATTTTACAAGGCTACTTAAACTCACCTATCCTAGCTAACAAATGTGGGGATTATCATTTGCGTAGTGAGACAGAAATCCAATCTCTGTAACACTGGTGCCAACATATTCTGCAGCACACAACGATTTAAGTATTGGGCAAATTAAAGTACCACACAAACCACATGTATGTATTAGGTTACAGCAGGAGCTGATCCTACATGTGAGTTTACAATCAGTGAACATGGTTTCAGGACAATGTGGAGCCCTGATAATTCCATGTGCCAGGTACATTGCATGGATCTGGTTTTTGAACAACTCAAATCTGCAAGTTCATAAAACGTGTACTATGCTGTAATAGTGCATCACCTATTAATTCTATGAAAAGTCCTCTAACATAAAGCAGACTGTAACTACCATCATTCTCAGTCTGGCAAAAGTTGAATGAGAGTAACTGGAATTGAAGCCCCTGAATACCCACAACACACGCAAGATATGTCCCTAGTCCACCCATTGTACAGCGCTACGGAATTTGTTGGCGATATTTAAATAATAAAATAATAATAATAATAACTAATGTGTAAAACTCAATACCCCAATCACTGACACTATGTACTCCTTAGCTCTCTGTGGCCACTTACACTACCATGGACATCAAAATGGACTGCCAACCAAAGTTTTAGAGTGCCGTGATCTCTCTCCCCACTAGTTTAATAAAATATACAATCTACTGACATTTAAGCTGTAGATATGCAGAACCCATATACATGATATCAACAGCATACAACAGATGTATAATATTATTATTTATATAGCGCCAACAAATTCCACAGTGCTGTACAACGGGTGGACTAGCAGATATGTATTTGTAACCAGGCGAGTTGGACACAATAGGAACAGTAAAGAGCATACACCAAAAACAACTGTATACAGATGGAACAAACTATATACACACAATATTGATTGCACACAGCATATACACCATACAGATTGACGCACACCTCTTATGTGGCACATGCAATATGCACAGCATTCACCATACACACCATGCAGATGGTACATACCATATACCAACAGAGATGTTGCACACCTTACACCCAATATTTAAGGCACACGTCAACCAAACAATATAGCTTGTGTACACCATATATACAACATAGCTTGTGCACACCTTATACACAACATAGGGAACAACCACACACTAATTTCACACACAGAAGCAATGCGTCCCAGACATATTTGGAATTTCATAAGATCCACGATAAGTAATATGTAATCTAGCCTTTACATCTAATGTTGGAGAGATATATTAACTATTAGGAAATCTAAGCAATGCCCCTGGCAAACAGCAACGTGAGGCTCAGAATAAGTCTCTTCTTCTCTGTTAGGAAATGAGTTTGTGCCAGAGAAGGAGGTACTGAATTGGCATCCTGTCCAAGAAACTGTAATGTGCTATAAAATGGAGTGAGTCTGTAGGGAATAATGTGTGTATGACCCATAGTAGCAGAAGATCTGTCATAATGAGCATCACAAAGATTTAACTTGTTAGAACTAAAGTCATTAATTTAATAACCTGTATTTATAACTGGTTTGATTTATAACATACAGTAAAAAGAGAGCATTAAATCAGTACAGAGTATAAGGAGACAGATTCTAACTATGTGATCCTAAGAATCTGCCTGCTTATAACCCCAAACCCTGGCAATTCAGTCTATTATACCATGAATCTGACCAATCACCCTCATTGCCACATAATCTGTCCCATATTCACTAAAAGCACCCATTCAACTAAATACTGAGAATCTGTCCATTCACCTTACTAATAATACCCAATGATATGTCCATCTGCCATTAAAAAAACTGAGCATCAGTAAGGATCAATTTGTATTCCAGCAAGGTCATATTAGAAATATAGAATTGGTTCAAAGTGTCATATATAACCTAGGCTTTTTAGTAAAACTGCAACACTCATCCCCATAGAAACCAATGTAATGTCACTAATTTATCCACTTCATCCTAAAACTGAACTACTTCAGTATTGGTAAATGGCACTAATTCCACATTCCAATGGTTTCCATGGTGAATGATTCACACTGAGAACTTTGCCAGGAAATTTTTTTACATGTGTTCTTTACTCGTGTGTAATTTACAACTGACAGATTAATTTCGGGATGGTCTCAGCAGGCCTTATGAGTATATATGAGTTCCTAAACAAGATAAACATATAGTAATAACACTGGCATGGTGGCACAGATCTATCATATTGTACCAGCCCCATGTGAGTGGGGCCCTTACCTGGATATTCCTGAACTCACAGCTGGCAAAGGGTCCCTGCACCTCGCTGTCCAGGACATACACTCCTCCGCCTTTCGGTTGTTTGAAGCAGCGTTTCCGCGCCCCGCGGATCTCCTCCCCCACGGTGCGGAGTCGGAACGCGCACAGCGCAGCCTCCCCTTTGCCCTCGAACACGCCGTAGATCCGCTGGTCGTCGGAGAACACAGAGAGTAGCCTGCCGAACAGCGTGTCCCGGGGCCCCAGACAGCGCAGCCCTAGCTGGATGTAGGACTCGGTGAGTTTCCGCGGTTCCCCCCGGGAATCAGGCTTCAGACAGATCCGCGCCAGGACGCTGATGGGACGACTGTCCTTCCCCGTGGGGGCGGGCTCTACGTTCATTGCCAGGTAACCGAAGGGCCCCCGCTGGAAGGCCCGCACGAAGAGCAAGCGGTGGGCTTCCTTCTTGTCGTGCTTCACCTTGAAGATGTTGTCGTCCGAGGGGCTGATGTCAAAGGTGAAGAGCTGCGCCGGGCTCCGCGCGTTCAGGGCGCGGATCGAGATCTCGGGGCTGTTCTCCAGGCGGTGATCGACCACACTCTTATTCCAGTGGAAGAAGGGGCTCCCGTAGCCGGTGTATGTGGCCCCTACCAGCAGCCGGGTGTCCCCCGAGGGGTTCCTGAACAGCATGCCCACCGTGGAGGCATTGGGGTGGTTGGCAGCCACGCTCAGCATGCTGGGCACCACTTCGGGCGGAGGGAAGGGCACTGCCGCCTGGGAGATGTTCCCGGGGGCCCGGAGCTCGCACAGCCCCTGGTAGACCGAGCCGCAGACCACCAGCAGCCCCTGCTCCGCGTCCAGCAGGAGGAGCTTGTTGTAGTTGGGGGTCTGGCTCCGCGGGAACTCGCACTTGGACTCGGGGATCTGCGGGGCATGGCACAGCGGGGAGTCCGGCACCGGTCCCGTCTCGTCCTCCAGCTCCACGCTCAGGTCCCGCCGCAGCTGGTACAGGCGGTTCACGGCCGCCAGGTAGAGCCGGCCCCCGGCCCCGTCTACCGCGAAGTTGTTGGTGAGATGCTGCGGGTTAAAGGTGCTGAGCAGCCGGAGCCCCGGGGCTGGAGCCAGGAGCTGGAGGGCCAGGGAGAGCCCCAGGAGCAGAGCCAGCGACATGAGTGGGCATGGGGGGGAGTGAGTGTGACTGTACTCAGCTCTGCCTCACACTGCACACTGGTGTCTCCAAATACTGCTCCACTGACTGTCTCTCCAAATACTGCTCCACTGGCTGTCTCTCCAAATACTGCTCCACTGACTGTCTCTCCAAATACTGCTCCACTGGCTGTCTCTCCAAATACTGCTCCACTGTCTCTCCAAATACTGCTCCACTGGCTGTCTCTCCAAATACTGCTCCACTGACTGTCTCTCCAAATACTGCTCCACTGGCTGTCTCTCCAAATACTGCTCCACTGGCTGTCTCTCCAAATACTGCTCCACTGGCTGTCTCTCCAAATACTGCTCCACTGGCTGTCTCTCCAAATACTGCTCCACTGACTGTCTCTCCAAATACTGCTCCACTGGCTGCCTCTCCAATAACTGCTCCACTGGCTGTCTCTCCAAATACTGTTCCAGGGGCTGTCTCTCCAATAACTGCTCCAGGGGCTGTCTCTTTAGCTAACCCTCTACTGGCTGTCTCTCCAATACTCGTCTACTGGCTGACTCTGGACATGGGACTGTCACTTTCTTTGCCCTGTGTCTGTTTCACAGTCTGTCTCTCCTCCCGCAGTGTCTCTGCCTGTTGAGCTGGGTATACATTACACTCATGGTCTTACTCTGGTTTCCCTATGACACTCCCCTTACTGCCTCCCCTCCTCCTGCCAGGATAACTCTTAGTGTAAGGGATGGAGTCCCTGGCTGGCTCCATCTGCAACCTTTTCTCCCTGTCTTGAGTCTGTACAACTCTCTTTTTGTCTCTCTTCTCTCTGTCTGTCTGTCTCTCTCTAACCCACTACTCTCTCTTAACTGTCTCACTCTCTCTGTACCACAAGTATGTCTCTCACGATCCCATTCTTTCTTCCTTTCTCTCTCTCTCTTTCTCTAAACCCAATCTGTCTCTCCACCCCAGGTATGTCTGTCTCTAACCCACCCTCTGTCTCGCTATAAAAACCTTCCTTTTATTTAGTATAATAATTACACTAATAATTACATACATCTGCTATCTGCTAAACTTGCAAAATACAGTTCTGCTAAAATCTATAATAAGAAGAATGAACACGAAATGTCTTTATGTGGAGGAATGTACTGAATGATAGAAGGGGCTGGAGCAAGGATGGGTAGGTAACCTTATGGCTGGCTGAGCATCATGGGGAATCGTTTACAAAACTCTAGGTCATCCATCTCTTGTAAGCCACCGGTGGATCTCTAGATGGCTAGGGCTGCAATTCACATCATTCTCAGCCAGTCACAGAGACTTAGAATATGGATATGGCAATGGTAAGATTGCAGTCAGAGAGGAGCAATTGTAAGTTACAATTTATATTATGCCTCCACCAGGGGACTAGGGGAGTTCATGTTTTGCATAACAAATTTGTTTTTAGAAGTCACTGTATTCAGATTTCATTTGGCCTGTCAGATACCGTGGACTGCAACTCTAATCATGCAGTGTGTCATGTTATGAGGGAAGAATAGCAACCATAACATGTTGCAGAATGCAATGCAATAGCTGGTACTGTCTGCCCCTCCTTGGGCTGGTTGCCATGTATGAAGAGCAATTCTGGGGTAAAGTTATAAAAGTGGAGGAGTTACCATAGAAACCAGTGGACTGTCACTGCTGATTGCCCCACATTTATCCTTTTGACCTAGAAATGCTTTTTGTTTTGAATAAAATCTCCTCTAGATGTTTAATCAGGGTCCCCCTTTCTATGTATTCTGCACAGCTCCCCTGTCATCATTCTCTGTTCTCTCTCTTACTCACTCTTTCCCCACTGCTGTCATGTGAATATGATTAAGTGATGCCCTGTCATTTTCTTTCATTCTTTCTGTTTGTTTGTTTGCAGGAGCTGAAAGAAGTAAACCATTTCCAGCTCTCAGAAAAGAAAGAGAGCGGCGGAGGAGATGTAGGAACGGCGAGAGGAAGAGAGGGGGGAATAAAGGGGGTGACGTGAGGCCTTTATGGTACATTCTGCCTCTAACAAATAATCCTGTGTTTAAATTGGTCTCAATTAAATTGAATATAAAAAAAGACGATTTTAAAAAAAAAATGCTGAAGATGAAAGAGATGGAAGTGAATTGGGTGAAATAAGGGATCATAGGCTGGATGTAAGACTGAAAACTCTATATAAATGATAACTGGGGTTGTATAGTGATCCCAAGTATCGTTTCACCGTACTAGTCATAGTCAAAGTTACACTGACAGAGCTATTTACTAAAAGGAGAATTCAAACTGAATTTCAAATTTAAAGCAGCACTGTCACCCCATCTTTATCTAATACTTATTTTGACTGTGCTGGAATTTAACTGGAATTCCAACGCGGTCAATAGATATACAGAGACAAAGTAGACTCTGGATGGAGCTATAGTATCAATCCTGACAGCCGTCACCAGTGCTGGCTGCAGGGATTGGCTTTGTTTATGGAGGGTATCGAGGGATCCTCCATAGCCCTCAATGCTGTACTCTTGCGCATGCGCGATGCCCGTGCGGTTCAGGTAAGTAAATCTCATCTCTATCTTTCCCCACGGCCAGCAGCGATGTCACAGTCGGGTTATATACCGCTTTAAGGCCAGAGTAATCAAAATGAAAGCATAGCTGAATTAGAGACGTTTTCCAGTTGGCTATTTTGAGGTTGAATTTGAAATTCACATTGAATTCTCACTTCAGTAAATAACCCCGTGAGCATAACTCAACAGAAATTGCAGCTTAAGGCCAGATTGTGCTCCTACTACCATTTTTAGATATTTGAAGTAGGGATCGACCTATATTGATTTTTTAAAGGCGATACCGATAATCTGTGAACTTTGAGGCCGATAGCCAATAACTTGCCGATATTCTGTACATTTACCATTTTGAAAAAATAAACTATTTCTAAAGGTAAATGCACAAAATATACATGCCACATGTAGTGGATGCAGTGTGTTTAGACAGAGGAGCTGTGTGTGTTTGTGTATTGTGTATAGTGAATGCAGTGAGTGTTTGTGTAGTGTGTATAGTGAATGCAGAGTGTGTTTGTGTAGTGTGTATATTATAAATGCAGTGAGTGTTTGTGTAGTGTGTATATTATAAATGCAGAGTGTGTGTTCGTGTAGTGTGTGTATAGTGAATGTAGTGTGTGCGTAAAGTGAATGCAGTTTGTGTGTAGTGTGCGTAAAGTGAATGCAGTGTGTGTATATAAGGAGCAGAGTGTGTGTGTGTGTTTAGTATGTGTATAGTGAATGCAGTGTGATTGTGTAGTGTGTGTGTATATAATGAATGGAGAGTGTGTGTGTGTGTGTGTGTGTGTTGGGTAGGTATTTAATTTATGTAAAATGGGGGGGGGAGAGGGGCATTTATTATTTATTTATTTAAATTATTATTATTATTTTTTTTTAAGTTTTACTCTCCCCTCCCTGCTTCTTACTTGGTTAGGGTGGGGGATATGGCATTCCCTGGTTGTCCTGTGGCATGTGCTGAGCAGTGGGGGGGCCGGCAGCAAGCTCTTACTTACTTTCTGAGCAGCTCCCTTCAGCTCCCCTGTGTAAATCTCGCAGCCTAAGTGCCGCGCAGAGCGTTGCCATGGTAACCTGTGGCAACAGTCTGACAGCCGTGGGACTCGCGAGATTTACACAGGGGAGCTGCTGGGAAGGTAAGTAAGAGCTTGCTGTGGGACTGGCATGGGCCCGGCGGTCCTGGTATGTATTATCGGCAATATCGGTATCTCTATAGGCGGAAACCATTATTGCCGAAAATAGAGAATATTGGCCGATAGTATCTGCCAGACCGATAATTTGTCAATCCCTAATTTGAAGTGACTGAAGCTTTTATGCCTTTATTATAACAGCTCTTAATCAGTTGGCTATTTTCCCTAAGAAGCATATAAATATCTTGGCAAGTCCATAATATCTTCAGAATGAAACTCCTACAGGTGTGAAACAAACTAGATTGGAGAAGGGGTTAAATCAGTGATCACCATATAACCCTTGTATGTTGGTTATACTGATAATATGTATTCATTTGTGTCTCTTATGCCATTGACCTCAGAGTTAAAAATAAATTACCTAAAATAACTTCACCTCTAGCTGTGGCAGGCATGGTGTGATAAGAAGGGGTGGGTTGACAGATTCGGAGCTAACTTGTCACATGGCTGCTGGGATGCATAATGGAGACTTCCTATAAAACTATTGTTGCACTATTGAGGCACAGTCAGTGTTTGTGCCTATGTATGTAATTATCGCCACCAGCAAAGCAGTACCAATATATGAAAAGAATAAATAAAACAAATATACATCCAAAAATGAGATTCCAGGAATATCCATCTTAAGTTCCAACATTGCTCCATCTATGTTATGAGGATCGACTGTCGAACAGCTGTGAAATAACAATAATAGTAGATGGATTTATTTACTAAGCCCAGAAATGTCCAAGTTTATTTGAGAAAGTATAATCTCACATTGTTCAAAAAAATTTACTTGAGCCAGTGTGGGCAACAAACTATGAGTACCGACAGCTGAGCGTAGGTGCACTTGCTGCCTTTCAGGACAATTAATACCATATTTACTCCAATCTAATGCGCCATCGAATCTCATGTGCACCTCAATTTTTGAAACCTGGATGTTGAAAAATGTTTTTGCTGCCGAATGTAATGCGTATTTATACAAGATACGACTATACATTGTGCTACAATGAAAATGTTTATTGCAATATTTATCTGGAAATCTATTCATAAACAGGGCTATACATAGGACACGAGGTCACGCATTTAGATTTAATCTAAGGCAAAGGAAAGAGGTTTTTTTACAGTAAGAGCAATAAGGATATGGAATTCTCTGCCTGAAGAGGTGGTTTTATCAGAGTCCATACAGATGTTTAAACTGCAATTGGATAAATACTTGCAAAAACATAACATACAGAGATCTAATTTCTAATTAGTGGGGTAACAGCTGCTTGAAGAAGACGTTTGACTGCCATTTTGGGGTCAAGAAGGATTTTTTTCCTAATTTGTAGCAAAATTGGAAACGCTTCAGATGGTGTTTTTTGCCTTCTTTTGGATCAAGAGCAAAAACATATGAGGAAAGCTGAACTTGATGGACACAAGTCTCTTTTCAGCCATGTAACTATACCCTAGTAACATTGGTGGTATTTCAATTTTATTGTTACATGTTAAGTCTATTCTTTTTAAAGCACTCTTTCATGAACGAAATTTGCCTGTGTGAATTTGCCAGAATGAAATTCACCTCTTTGAATTCGCCGGAAAATGTTAAAATTTGCCCGGTATGTAATGTGCCATTGAATCTAATGCGCATTCACATTTTGGAAACTTATTTATGAAGGTGTGAAGTGGAACATCTTTGGATGACAGCAAATATACATAAATTGAAGTTGTTCAAGTTCACATTCCTTTTGTGTATTAATTATATTTAATAAAGATAGGTGGTATGTAGCATGATTGGCAATTATTGTGCCAGAACCCAGCAAAATAAAAGAATGTTTATGAGTGGTCCAAATACAGAACCCTTTAAAACACAGATTCGGTATAGCCTTGCTGCAAAGCCTGGCTGTGAGTGATAGACGTTAAAGTTCATAGTGTCAAGAGGTTAATGCTAGATTGTCTTTGTGTGCCTGTCAGTGTTTGTATCTGTATGAGTGTCATTGCATGTGTCTGTGTATCTGTGTGTCCTAGTTTTTTTTTTTTTTTTTGTTTGTTGCAATATTAGAAGTGCTTCAGACTGTTTTTTTTTTTGCCTTTTCTTGGATCAAAAGCAAAAACAAATGTGAGAAAGGGTGAACTTGATGGATGCATGTTTATTTTAAGCTATGTAAATATGTGCCTGTATATCTGAATGTGTATTCATGTGTGTCTGTGTATCTGTATGTGTGTCAGTGTGTATGTCTGTTAGTCAGGGGTGTATTTACCCCCGAGGCAAAAAGGGGTGTATTTACCCCCGAGGCAAAAAAGGCATTTGCCTTGGGTGTCACTTTCTGGGGGACGGCCAAAAAAGCCACCCCCCAATCGCCCTGGCAAATGTCTTGCCAGCCTCTTGTCCTGGGTGGCCCAGGAGCTGGCCGGGTTGCCACCTCAGGGCCCCCCAAGCTGGCAGCGGCAGAACTTTCCGGGCGGGCGGCAAGGAAGGACTGATCCTCCTGTTCAGCTCCCTCACGCGCACCGCAGTGATGCCGGAGCCGGAATATGACATCACTCCGGCCCTGGCATCACTACACGGCGCGCAAGGGAGCTGAACAGGAGGATCAGTGCTCCCTCGCCGACTGCAGTAACCACCCGCCAGCCCCACTGGACCCCAGGGAAAGTGATAATCCACCCCAGCATTCCCAAAGGTAGGAAGGCTGGGGGGATTGAATGTAAAAAAAAATAGTGTGTGTGTGTCTGTTAGTGAGTGTGTGTCTCTGTTAGTGAGTGCGTGACTGTCAGTGTGTGTGTGTGTCTGTTAGTAAGTGTGTGTGTCTGTTAGGGAGTGTGTTACTATGTGTGTGTCTGTTAGTGAGTGTGTTAGTGTGTGTGTGTCTGTTAGTGAGTGTGTATGCATGTCTGTTAGTGAGAGTGTATGCGTCTGTCTCTGTTAGTGAGTGTGTATGCATGTCTGTTAGTGAGAGTGTATGCGTGTCTTTAGTGACTGTGTGTGTCTGCTAGTGACTGTATGTGTCTGTTAGAGAGTGTGTATGTCTGTTAGCTAGTGTATACGTGTCAGTCAGTGAGTGTGTATGTGTATTTAGAAGGCGGGGTGAGGGTGCCTGGGTTTTGTCATGCCTAAGGCAGCACAAAATCAGGATATACCTCTGCTGTTAGTGTGTGTGTCTGTGTATCTGCGTATTTGTGTCTGTTTGTGTATCTGTGTATTTGTATGTGTCAGTGTTTGTACCTGTATAAGTGTCATAATGTGTATCTGCATCTTTGTCATTGTGTTTGTCTGTGTATCTGCATATGTGTCTATGTCAGTGCATCTGTATGTATATTAGTGTTTCTCTGTGTGTGTGTGTGTGTGTGTGTGTGTGTGTCTGTTGTGTATCTATGTGTCTGTATGTGTACCAGTGCGTGTTTCTGTATCTGCATGTGTGTTTGTGTATGTGTATCAGAGTGTGCGGCAGCATTTGTGTAAATGTGCATACACCTCCGCATTCAAACTCTAACACTATACACAATTACACCCCTGCATTCAAACGTCAACACTACAAGCAGACACAACCCTACATTTAAAGGCAAACACTACACACAAGTAAACCGCTGCTTTCAAATAGCAACAGTACATAAAAACACAGAACACAACACTACACACATATATTCCTACATTCACACACACATACTCAATACAAAAACATGCTAAATACAACCCTGCAAGGAAGGGCAAATGGTACATCTCCAGCTACCATAGCATTTAGGGAGTTGTATGACAACACTACCAAATAAAGACTGGGATCTACCAAATAATGCGCTTGAGGCCCTGGAGACCATGCAAGAGCACTGGTCTTACAGTCAGAGGGGTTTAAATAGGACTAAGCACCTTGCATCAGATTAGTGCAAGTGCATTATACCAAACAGGATGCCAATTAATAAAGATAATAGGCATGAAGATCGCAGCTCATGTTAAGTTAGGATGGATTTAAGCTAGAATGACGTGAGTGATGTTTAGTAATAATAATGGTGCATGCAGATGAATTGGTTTTGCATAAATTTGACAAGGTTTTGACAATCCCAGTGATTGATCTCCCAGATTAAAACTTGTTCTAATTTGCAGAAAACATGGTGTTGTTGGTACGCCATTAATGATGTGTTCTCTCGTATTTTGACGTTAGTACCTGGGGTGTTGGTTAATACAAACAAATGACACAGGTGCATTAGTATTGTAAGGGAGCCTTACAATACCCCATCCTACTTAATATTAAAGGGACACCATAGTCACCCAGACCACTTCAGTGGTCTGGGTGCAATGTCCCTCAGGTTTTAACCCTTCACATGTAAACAGAGCAGTTTCAGAGAAACTGCTATGTTTACATAGCAGGGTTAATTCAACCTCTAGTAGCTGTCTTCCTGAGCATTGAGAAATGCTTTCCTATGGACTTTTAGAATGTGCACGTGGCTCTTGCCGCGCATGCACATTCCACTCCACTTGGAAGCTGACGTCGGCGGCGAAGGAGAGGTAACTAGTGCTGAGGGAGCCCGGCACTGGATTAATGTAAGTGGCTGAAGGGGTTTTAACCCCT